CTTCAAACTATTAATGGTCCACATCAGAAATAGGCAGAGTCACCACCAATACCTATTTCAGTAACACGTTTCTCTTAAATTTCCTCGAGCTAAAAGTAGGTAAGGCTTACCAGCGCATCTAGTTGGTGAGTTAAGTAGGTCATGGCTTCTTAGTTCGGACGTTGGGTAACAGAGTGCACGGGGAATTGTTTGGTGATGCCTTCTTGTGCAGGCTTACAGCGTCATCATCATTATCCTGCCCTTCTCCCAGTCACCTGGGATCGGCGCAACATGTTTTCTCCTTCCATACTCTTCTATCATATACCATTTCTTCGCTTACTCCCTTCATACCCATATCGTATTTCACACAATCCATCAATTTCTTCTTAGGTCTACCTCTTCCTCTACATCCTTCCACATTCATAGTTAACATTCTCTTACCAACCTCATTTTCATTTCGTCTCATCACATGTCCATACCATCCCAAACGCGTACCTCTCCAACTTCTCTGTCACAGGTGCCACTTTCAGACTTCCTCTAGCATATTCATTCCATTCTCGTTACTCCACACATCCATCTCAACATTCGCATCTCTGCTGCATGCAATCGCCTTTCATCCCCCACTTTAGTTGTCCAATAAGCGGATCCAAACAAGGTGATTGTCCGGGGTTACAACCGTAAAATTTTACCGTATTTGTTGGGAAATTTTATGACTGAATTTAAAGTACGGTATAATCGCAGCGGTGGAACCGAATAGTCCTTTGCGTCTTACCTATTAAGCACTCTGGTCGGATAAGAATGGACCCCAATATTTTCCGTTCTCTTGGAAGTCGTATTTATTAGGTACCTACGCGAATGAGAAGTGTTCTCGAGTAAATCGGTGGCTTTTAGCAAACGCTATACTCACTACACATATCGAATGGCACATGTGAAATAAGTATGTATTAACAGCGTCGGTAGCGGATACCAGTAATGGATTCTCATTGAGGAACTGTACACAACCATCATCTTATTCGATAAGGGCTTTTTTTCATTGCTATGATAGGTGGACGAGCTGACGGCCTTCCCGGTATTAAGTAGTCACCGAAGCCCATAGAATTCAACCATGTTAATACCGCTACCCACCTCGAGACATGAGTTTTAAGTCTTAGTTTTTACAGTACAAAGACTGCCTCACACTTCAAACCAAGTGGCCTAGACCAGGTGGTGGTCCCTACCCGTGAGGAATTACAAAATGCGCTTCCACCAGTAATTACGGTTTTTTTTATTGCTTGGATGGATGCACGAACTCACAGGCCACCTGGTATTAAGTGCTTACTAGAGCCCATAGACATCTACAACGTAAATGCGCCACCCACCTTGAGATAACCACCTTCTAAGGTCTTAGTATAGCTACAAACGTGCCACCCACCTTGAGATATAAGTTCTCAGGTCTCAGTAAAGCAACAATGGCTGCCCCACCCTTCAAACCGAAACTGCTTCACGGCAGAAATAGGTAGGGTGGTGGTACCTACTCATGCGGACTCACAAGAGGTCCTACCACCAGTAATTACGCAAATTATAATTTTGCGGGTTTCATTTTTATTACACGATGTTATTCCTTCACCGTGGAAGACATTATTTTGTCAGGTACATATTTCATTAGAAACTTTTATACCAGCTTGGAGTTTATCGTTTCGGCTACGATGACTTATATAATATAGAATTTTTTAAACATATAATAATTGGGACAGAAGCTCTTTTCATCGCGAGACAAAATAATGTTAACATCAAATTCTCTTTAACTTAGATGACAGACACAGTCTAGAAGAAAATCCAATAAAGTTTTGATGGATTACACAGCCCTAGCTTAAAGCGCTGAGGTTTAACGATATTCTCTAAGCCCTCATTAAACCCCCTTAATACCTTTTTGCCTTTCGGGAGACGTCTTCGCGAAGTGGACACAGGAAGTGTAGGAACACTCAATTAGGGAAAACGATTTTAGGTAATTTTGAAATGTCTTCCAAAATGTCCTTAAAAATAAAGACGAATACAGCCCAACGTGAAGTTTAAAGAAGAAACCTAGACGCCGCATCTCGGAGGGTATCAGAAATGTGACTTCACAAAGTTGAGTTTGAACTAAATTATGTTAAAATCACACGGAGACTGTTCACTTCGACACAATTTTTGATTGTTTCTCTGACATCATCTTCTTTGAGAAACTCAGATATAATTTTTTTTTTTATTGCTTAGATGAGTTGACGAGCTCACAGCCCACCTGGTGTTAAGTGGTGGCCCATAGACATCTACAACGTAAATGCGCCACCCACCTTGACATATAAGTTCTAAGGTCTCAATATAGTTACAACGGCTGCCCTACCCTTCAAACCGAAACGCAATACTGCTTCACGGCAGAAATGGCAGGGCGGTGGTACCTATCCGTGCGGACTCACAAGGTCCTACCACCAGTAAATGTCATTGGTTAGAATGAAAAGCGACAGAAAGATTATCTATCGTACCATGTAAAAAACTAGCGTTTATGATCATGGTATCAGAGCAGCAGCCGTCAATGAGGATTGTGATGCTCCGGTCATCCAAAAAGCTACTGAGCCAATTGCAAAGTCCATTAGGGATTCCGTAGTGTTCTTGACGAAGATCTTGTTCAGAACTCACAGGTAGAGCCCCGCTCTCTCTCTTACCAAGACTTCAGCTTAGCTTACTTCAGAATGAGGTCCGCAAGAAAGCCACCAGATGAGTAACGGTCTGACAATCCTAGGAACAAGATATAGCGGTCTCCATCGCCTTCGAAAGCAAAGCTCGTAATATATTATCTAAAACCGCTTCGTCCATAGACAGTGCGTTTCCAAAGATCCGTTTTGCGTACGTGCCATCCGGCTTTGGAATAAACTCCCCTCCACGGTGTTTTCCGAGCGCTATAACATGTCCTTTTTCAAACGAGGCTTGCGGATAGTACTTAACGGTAGGCAGCGGCTTGGCTCTGCCCCTGACATTGCTGACATCCATGAGCGACGGTGACCACTTACCATCAGGTGGGCCATGTGCTTGTCTGCCTACAAAGGGAATAAAAAAAAGACTTGTAACTCGAAAATTATGGCCAACCTTTTTAGCGAATAGAGTGGAAAGTGGGCAAGTTTTCACCCAGACCTATTCTTCCACCAAGATGGAACCCTGTTGGTGCTGTATGAATACATACACGTTAGCACGAGTGTGACTTTACGCGTGCAAATCGTCAATTTTTTCACAACATTATTTAATATTCTTTATTAATACAGAGCATCCCACGTCAAATCTTTACATAGGGTATAAATATAAGATTATAACCCTTCACAGTATATTGGCCAGTACTACTTCAAAATTTTGAGATAGTAAGTCAATATTATAACAGCCCGTTCAAACAGACCGTATATCACTAAAGCTACATGGCAGCATGACGTACCTCCCATTAAGTACATGACAAGGGCCAGTCGTGAACTTTTCGTAACTTATAAAAAATATCTGGTTGAAATGTATATGAGCACACGTGGGTCGACACCACCGACCTGCATATTCTGGTTGCAAAGTTTTCATACGGCTCGAAGGATCATCCCTTAACGTTGCAGTAATAAGCTGTTACAGTAATAACGTTGTAATTAAGACATTCATCTTAAATTTCGGTACACTGATAGCTGCATGCACAAACATCCTGTTTTCGACTACGAAGCATTTAAACCTTTCGATTTGATCATGAGATAGTCTGTATTCAACAGCATTGAGATTTCGACCTCATCTCTACGGCAATCGCTTTCTAATATCTAGGTGTGACAGTAATCGACAATGGTCAAACATTGAAGTCTTCTGCCGATGCTATTAAATAATTATATATATTTGCCATACCGGCATTGACTCTCAACATTGGCAATGCCATCGACAACGGGTTGCATAGCGTTTACTTCCAAATATATTATACATAATAATAAATGTAGTACAGAAAATAATGCAACACACATCTCTCATGGTTATGTTCGATTCCCACGTGAAATAAAACGTGAAGTTGTAGAGCTTTCAGAAGCTCGTTTATACGAAAACTTTCGTTATAATTGCCAACCGAGGCGTGAGTGGGGAGTTGCTCATGTGAAAAGCTCGCTCGGATGCCCTCGAAATACTATGCGAACTTTTATGTTGTTTCGTGAATGCCTCAATTTGGTGCCGTGATTAAAAACACCTTTATGTCATCCGTGACCACAGAAGCCGTTATTGAATTTAGTAAACTTCAAATGGTCCGGTACTTTGTAAGGTTTTTCTGAGTTGGAGACAGGATGATGATTAAAAAACTTTTGTAGGTTTTCAGTTTTCATAAATTCATCTACAAAATAATAGAGGGTATAAAATAATTACTTATTCTACACGACATCAGACTGACTACAATATTTACAATAACAACCAAAATATAACGCTACCACAAGTCTTATTGTATAACATGTTCGTTATTATTATTATTTAACAATAAAATAATTTAGTAAACAATATAATCCATAGATCTACCGTGAGGTAATCATGCATTGCAGTTTGGAAGGTGAGAACGCCGCTTTACAATAAGAGAGTGCGTGCTTTTGTCTCAAGGTACCTTCCACGAGATAGGCTGTGAGCTCAACCTGCTTTATGGGGCAATATTTTTATGTAAGGATTCTTCCTACAGTATGCTGTAGAAATAGACAAAAAGGAAAAGCCTTCAGCGGTGGCTAACAAAAAGCCTAAGAGTAAGCTCAATGTTTTTTTTTTAAGTTAGATGTGTGGACGAGCTCACGGCCCACCTGATGTTAAGTGGTTACCAAAGCCCATAGACATCTATCACGTAAATGCCGCCACCCACATTGAGATATGAGTTCTAAGGTATAGTTACAACGGCTGCCCGACCCTTCAAACCCAAACGCATTACTGCTTCACGGCAGAAATAGGCGGGGTGGTGTTACTTACCCGTGTGGACTCACAAGACGTCCTACCAACAGTAAATTTTAATTAATTTGTTTTTCTCTTTGTTTCAGGGGACCAACTTCCTTCAGAGATAATCCTACAAAATCCTATTCTATTCCTTAGTGTATAAGTGTGTTATTCGAAACTTTTTCCTACCAACATGCTGTTGCACAGCGTATGACATTAGACGTTCGTGGTTGGGGATCGAGACTGGGTAGAAAGATATATAGGTAAGATTTTACACCAGCGTTCTGCAGTCGCGAACCGACATTTACTGGTGATAAGACACATTGTTAGCCGGGAACCCCCTACTCTGACAGGCTTCTGACCCCGACCGGAGATTGAATGTTGGGTCATTGGGCCCGCGGTCTGCTCCCAACATCTGTGGACCGTCAAGTCCCACATACTCCGCGTACCCCCTAGGAGCCGGCCACCTGGGTCCCACGCCCAAATCAATGCCGCGAAGTAGTCGTGCATACCGATTTAAAGGGTGAGACAGCCAACATAGAATCCAATTGAGTCTGCGACTTCATGTTTCTAAGTGGGTCGCAACGTATATGGGTTTTAGTCACTTCAAAACTCAAATGATCATCCAAAGTAATTCAAAAGTCTAGGAACACCATCCATATTGGTCCCCTTGGGATCCAATTATAGAAATTAGGCTAAATTTTTACCAACATATCATGAGAATAATAAACCTTAAAAGTATTTTAAACCATATACTAGAAAGACTTTAGAGTCTAAAGTCTTTCTAGTATATGGTTTAATGGTCTAAAGTTTAGACCATTAGCTGGGCTTGGCTAAATGTGTCATCGAAAATAAAATCATATAAATTAATCGTCATTTCTTATTGACTACCCACGCCTGACCCTCGAATTTCTTCAAACGCCGGCGCTAATTCTTTGAAAATATAATCTTATTGAATTCATTGAAATTTATTAGTAGTCACTATTTCTTCCAACTCAAGATGACGGCGTTTCCGTTCTATGAGCTCCTATGACCATGAAATGTCGTAGCTCCCATGTCGTTCTATGCTAACAATAATGGGATCACATAAGCATGTCTATCATGTCACATGATGTTATATAACCCAACTATGCAACGAAATACTGTTCTGACTGTAAAGTGATAAATATATCGGTTTAATAAGCTTTTTGTTCGTAATCTCGATCTTTAAAGCTTTTAGGACCTGGTAGTCGTCCTCCCCTCCTCCCGCCCCGCGAGATCACTGACCCCAAATATCAGCTGATTGTAAATAGAGATACATTACGTGCTGTCCAGATCTTCCTTAAAAATGTTCAACGCTGTTGACGATGATTCACAATGTATACAAAACACATCTACTGAGCTTCGGTACGTGTGATTTATTAAAAAACATTTTATGATTCGAATCTCATACATAATAACGTGTTAAGAAAACATATGAAGAGAGAATGTTCAGTGCAATGTTTTGACGTCTGTTACATTTATCAAATTTAATCATAGCAACGTATCCGTTGAAGTTTTTATCTTTAGTATTTTAATAAAGTATATATTTGAACTAACGCCGGTGGATGGGCTAACGATAAAAATAAATTGCAGGCCAGATGTTTAACTATAGTTAGAGCTCATAAGGCCCACTGCAATAACAAGCTGTCTAGAGATAAAATGTAGAAGTCGTTGAAACCTAGAGGCACCTGGCGAGGGAGGTCTGAATCTCAATCGAACGCAGGAATTTCACTAATTTCCAAAACCAATTAAAATAATTTCATTACTCTGGTCTGCAAATACTGAATAAGATAAAAGATTAATTTAACTTTCAATTCGATTCATTATTATAGCATGTTTTTTTTAAGTTTTTAAATTACTCAACTTAATTATTTATTAATGTAATAAATTGTTCTGAAAATAAATTACATACAATCTATGTATATAGTGCAGAATATGTGTTGTTACAAATTTCTAAAATAACAGTGGTCTTAGCCGTCTAATCTCAATTGATTCAAACCAGATATCGGATAGAGGGTGTTGTGTGCTGGGGCCACAGCACAGTCCGTCGCCCAAGGCCGACAATAAGCTCTAAAAGCTCTATGACTGTATCTAAAATTGCTTATGGCTTGTACGCCACGCCGCAAAAGGAACACATGTTTAGTCTGCTAGTTTACCGCCCCAAGGTCACACGTAAACGAATATTATAATATATATTTCCTGCATTTTGAAGTGGAATATAAATTTCGAGCATTTTAGTCTCAATTGCATTGGGATAATATATAATTTAACTATCCGGAATGAAACGGTATCTGGCAGACATAGATGCTGGTAGTATTTTGGGCTGGTTCTACACGCACTACTGCTAGGTTGAGGAACAGAAGAAAGCAATAGAGGCAGTTACTATGATGATGTGGATACTACTGTTATGGAAACTAGGGAATAGTGGTGACATTATATAACCCAACCAGACCGCGGGCATTACACAATAGAATCGAGTGTTGTAACTCGTGTCTTAAGTTTTTTTTTTATTGCCCTTGTAGGCAGACGAGCATACGGCCCACCTGATGGTGAGAGGTTACCGTCGCCCATGGACTTCAGCAATGCCAGGGGCAGAGCCAAGCCGCTGCCAGAGTTGGGTAGTGGCCTTCACATTGCGGTGTCCATAGACATCCATATCCACTACACTATAATTTTCTTATCTCCTGATGGATAGCTACGTGTAGATATAGTATTTAGATGTAGAATCCTCTATGCATGTTTGGTATATATAATAGCAATTGCAGGTCAGGATGAACGCGAACGGAGATTCTCAGGGCCTCGTGCCAGCTGCCCCCGCCACCACACCCACCGCCCCCCCCATCACCACACCGCCTGCTCATGTCGACGGCTCCTTACTTCCGATCCCACCAGTCGCCCCTAGGAAACCAGTCCGCAGGGGAGCCAAGGCACAACCAGAGAGGCCGAAGAGAGCACTCTTCTGCTTGACGATGAAAAATCCTCTCCGAAAAGTCTGCGTTGACATCGTTGAATGGAAGTATCCTTTTCAATACGTTGCAACATAAAATTCTTGGCGGAAGTATGCACCATACCATCTGGAATTGAAACTCTATTCTATTTAGTCATTTCAGCATAAACGCTCTGTGTTAATTTCAAACAGCTGTTTCTACTTCACTAAAAACAGAACACGCCACTTCTGTTTGTTTGTTATACTGATTTATCCGAAAATAATGAGTGTATTTTCCACATAGACCTAGGTTTCATACTTCAGTGATTTTCCATGATCCGAAATGACATTGTTTATGACGACCGAATGTCGACTCTCTGTCATCTATATATTATTACGTGAAGCAAAAACTTTGTACCCCTTTTTACGAAAATTGCGCGAACGGAGGAGTATGAAATTTCCCACACTTATAGAGAACTAGCGACCCGCCCTCGCTTCGGAAACATTAAAACACACATGAAACCAAAAAAATTATTTTTTTTTTTTTTTTTAATTTAGCCTATGTTCATCAGGGACAATGTCGGCTTCTAATGGAAAAATATTTTTTCAAATCGGTCCAGTAGTTTCGGAGCCTATTCGAAACAAACAAACAAACAAATCTTTCCTCTTTATAATATTAGTATAGATATAGAGAAGGAGTGCAGAATGTTAATATTTTTTTTAAATTATACCCAAAAAATACATTAAATCAATAAAAAAATCATTACACACACTACCATGTATTTGACGCACACACGCATGCATACTATTTATTTATTGTCAAACTTTTGTTCTTGACGTCTGTGGTCAAATTGAGAATAGATTAAATATTGTTTGTCTTTATTAATATTTACCTAAAGTGTAGTCCAAGACTACAAGAAATCTGTGATTAAAGAAGTACAATAATTCTATAGTGTACAAACTTATAATTTCAATTAATTACAGTCGAATTTCGACTACCGTGGGACCACTAGTTCGATTGATGCTGTCGTCCATTTTAATCCCATCTGTCAAAGAGAGCAACTGCTCTTAATTTAAACTCGAAGCTCGCCTGCTCCACTGAAATTAAGATGCAACTTTTGTAGCGACGCTATGACATGTCCTTCTTCAAACGAGGCTTATGGAGAGTATTAAGCGGTAGGCAGCGGCTTGGCTCTGCCCCTGGCATTGCTGAAGTCCATGGGTGACGGTAACCACTCACCATCAGATGGGCCGTATGCTCGTCTGCCTACAAGGGCAATAAAAAAAAAGCCTGCTCCTTAACCGTGCAGCCTCTCGTAAATTGACATTTTATTTTCCATTTCCGAAACCCCATCTATTCAGGATCGATAGTAGGAAATAAGGAGTCGGCTTCCCAGCTGGACTGAAGCCAAGAATACCGCGATAATGAGTGAATTCAGTTCAATCATAAATTTATCATCTAATTTTAAACAATATAGAATCTAATAATCTTTTACGAGTTTCTATTTTGAATTATCTGATGGATTAATTAGTTGACGGCGCTGAGCTGCGTAGGCGGTTTGATTGGTTTGGAACAACATTTTATCAGCACTTATTAAATAGCACAAGAAACCTAAAAAATCTGAATCGCGCTAACGACATTTGTAAAGTAATCTTGATACATGACAAACAAAATTCGTACTGTTTATCAAGCAAAAATAGTCTATAGGTAAAAGACCTTGCCTTTGTTATCCCATGATGAAAGGGGTCAAAAATATGGCTTATCAGTCTCTTTGGAGGAGACCTACACAATTTATTTATCTATACTAATATTATAAAGAGGAAAGATTTGTTTGTTTGTTTGTTTCGAATAGGCTCCGAAACTACTGGACCGATTTGAAAAATTCTTTTTCCATTAGAAGCCGACATTGTCCATGATGAACATAAGCTACTTTTTTAAAAAAAATTTTTTTTTTTTTTTGGTTTCATGTGTGTCTTAATGTTTCCGAAGCGAAGCGAGGGCGGGTCGCTAGTTTATTATAAAAACAAAATTAGGCTAATTGTTACACTGTAATTTTTACTAGTAACAATTACTTTCAATAGTGTAATCAAATTACATAATAAGGTTTAAGATTTGGTTTCATTTACTGCTATTACTATCATATTTTTAGAGGAAATCTAAAGGCTTTATAAATAAATGAACAAACCGATAACCCCCACGTTATAGCTACAGTGACGGATTGTACCATTTTTAATCTCTCAAATTAACAGGCGTCGCTATATAAGATTTCAAACAGCTCTAACAAAATTTCTGCATAAGATTCATATTTGGTTTACGGAAATATGATCATGTATCTGAATTTCGCACTAAACTCAAGTGGTTACCAATTCGCCTTCGCCGCAATACTCATGTCCTTTCATTACTATACTGTACTCTCTTTAACCCTCATACCCCTACATATCTCAAAGAACGTTTCGAGTTCCTAGGTGATACGCATAATTTTTCTCTGAGATCATCGGATAACCTGAGACTGAAAATGCCGGTACATTCATCATCATTCTTTGACAATTCATTCACCGTCCAGGCGGTTCGATTGTGGAATGCTCGGCTGGATGCAGTGAGAAGTGCTCCAACTTTAAACTGTTTTAAAAGAATGGTGAAGGAACACTACTTATCTGCTTAGTGCTGTTTGTTGCATCATTATCATTTATCATTTCCATACTGTTGATTTATTATGTGTGTTTAAGTATATTAGTATGTATTGTATGTAAGTATGTATATTGGTATATATTATATTATGTAAACGGTATATATCTGTTTATTATATGTATATATTTTCTATAATAATGTATTGTCTATGGTACACTGCAACATACCTGCTATATTTTTTATATTTTACAGAATTTCTGTAAATTAAACGGTTGTCTGGAAGAGATCGCTTTTAGCGATAAGACCGCCTATTCTACATATGTGCTTTTTGACTGTTTTTTTTTTAATGTAAATTGTGTTGGTGTGCAATAAAGTGTATTCTCTCTCTCTCTCTCTCTCTAACGAGTTTAAGCTCTAACACTTTGATGACCTCGTTGATCGGATTGCTGAGAATCTTTTCTGTTGGTATTGCCTATTTTGAGACCGCAGGATATGTTCCACCACCCTGCATATATCTGCCGTCAAGCAGTACGTTGTTGATGTGTCTGATAACCACTCGACACCAGTGGGCCATGACCTCATCCAATCATCTAAAAAAAGGATATACGGTAAAGGTATCTTTCTAAAGCATTGCTGTTCGACAGGGTCCCTCTCTGACTCTGTAGAAAAGGATTGTGTTGAAATGAGAAGTCTTGGTAAGAAGAGCCCACTAAACAACAGTGAGTTTAATGCTGATGGACGGAAAAGTTTAAAACACTTCGTAATTGCTATGATTCTTATTTTTCCGTTACAGATACATATTAATAATATCAGTCAGTATAAATACCATGTCCTCGAAAACACGTTAGCCATTTCGCATACTACGGGCCGGTAATGGATAAAAAATGTTGGCATCCCGCCAGACTAACAATGTTGCTAGCTGTAAAAAAAATTTTACCGAGTTCAACTACATCATTTTGGTGTTTACAGTCATAAAACATTATTTTCAAAGAAAACTAAGTCCTTTTAAATTGAGTCATTCAAACTTTATGTTTATTGTTCTCCTTTCTAAAAGCACAAAGCTTTTAATTGTGCGTTTTTAGACGTTGCTATCGTCCATACGCGACCTAAACTAAATGATCGTGTGAATCAAATGTTCGCCTCCATGCAATACCTTCAAAAAACCCTCAAACTTCCAATTATACGTTGGCCTTTCAAAATCCCTTAAGGTATAGTTTTCGTTGCGCCCCAACAAAACATATTCAAATTGGTCATTATTACTAAAGATGCTCTAAACTAGGGATACTTTTGTATGTACCTCGTATTTTAATATTTCGATTTTACTTGAGATGATTGCGAATTACAAACACCACTGTGCAATCTATATATGTATATAAAAATGAATTGCTGTTCGTTAGTCTCGCTAAAACTCAAGAACGGCTGGACCGATTTGGCTAATTTTGGTCTTGAATTATTTTTCGAAGTCCAGAGAAGGTTTAGAAGGTAGATAAGTATCAAAATGCTCGGAATTAAATGAAAATAACAGTTTTGTTTCTCCTTTGATGTGAACCCCGTCGGACGAATTCCTTTTGTTTGTTTTATGTTTATTTTATACAAAACTTTAGGTCTTTTATTTATCGATTGAGGCACTACAATGCCTGTAGGGGCAGCTAGTTATTAATAAATTAACACCATGTTAATCCGTAACATGGAAAGCTCAAAAGCTTGTACTGATTTCGTGATAAAGTCCTAAATGATAGACGGAGACTTAGCTATGATTCCCTCCTTGTTCATGTTCAATAACACAAATAACCCCCTTACAATGACAGATGAAATAAATTACAAATGAGAATTATGCTGACAATTAAAAAATATAATTAAGGTAACTCATCTCAACATTTATTATATTTGGTAAACTATTTTTGTACGGTAAACGGAATTTCTCGGGAAAATATCTAAAGCTGGTAACCTCAAGAAACAACTAGCCGTGTGTATGAATGGATGACGGAAATGTATGGAATTGTGTGCGATGCATCACCAACGTGGGTTTTTGTTTATATTTGAAAACGGAATACTAAATAAATTCCACGTTATGTGCTTTACTTTTTACTGGCGTGGTTGGGAAGACGACTCACTTGCTATTGGGAGCTGATCGAAGCCACTTTCCGTCCTGAAATACGTCTTTATTGGAATAAATACTATATTAATAAATAATAGTTTAAGAAAACTAACAAAATAAGCTTTTATAGAAAATCTAACTAAAAAATAGAAAGTAAATTTTAATAAAATTGAATTAAAAATAGTGTAAGAAAAAATGATTTCATTGTAAAAAAGCGTGGGGTGTTTTTCAGGATATTATCAAAATAACCCTTCTACTCATATCTATTCATAAAATATTTATAGCTACTGATACCATGCACCCCACGCTTTTTTACAATAAAATCATTTTTTCTTACACTATTTTTTATTCAAATTTATTAAAATTCATTTTCCACTTTTTAGTTGGATTTTCTATAAAAGCGTATTTTGTTAGTTTTTTTAAACTATTATCTATTTTAAATTTTTTAGTTGTATTTCAATCTTTTCAATTTTTTTTTTAATAGTGAATTGTCTTCGCTCTTTAATAAGTATACCAAATTTTGAGTTAATCCGACGTTTTGAAGGGGGTCAAAATCATGTTCAAAGATCCGTTACATAGTAACATACATACGTCTGAAGCTAATAAAAGCGTAATAAAAATGTAAACGCATGGATGTTCCGCAGCAAAAGAACACCTGCCAGTGATACCTATCCACGTAGGCTAGTAATATCCTAATTAAATATTGTTTTCTTCTTCTCGAACTGTCTTTTCACTACTGGAGAATACCCATCGCTAACTAAATGTGATTTATCTATGACCTAGCGAGACTGCTTCCCTAATAATTACCCGTCCACTCAAGCCCACCGGATTGACTATTATCTTTGTTATTACAAAAAAAAAACTGTACATAAAAGAACTTGCTGACTTCCCCATTAAATACGTTATAGCTGTCTATAAATTTGGTAGTCTGCGGTTAACAGGGGTAATTAGGGAATTAAAACTTCTTTTAAAATTTGAACACGCAAAAAATATTATTAGCACAATTATCATGACTTGAGACGTTGACTTTAAAGCTAAAGATAAGTAGCGGTCATGTTTATCGGCTCACATAAATAACTACTTAACGCCAGGTGGGCCGTGAGCTTGTTCAAGCGTCAAAACAATTAAATATCACTGTAACACTTTGCACCGAAGTGTTAATATTTTTTTTATTTTATTGCCTTTGTAGGCAGACGAGCACACGGCCCACCTGATGGTCAGTGGTCACCGTCGCCCATGGACTTTAGCAATGCCAGGAGCAGAGCCAAGCCGCTGCCTACCGCTCTCCACAAGCCTCATTTGAAGAAGGACATATCGCATATACTGATTTCATTATTTCATAAAAGCCCTTAATGAGTACTCCCAGACCCTTCGAGTGGATGATCCTAACGACAATATTCGCGAACTGTATCGCCTTGGCTGTCTACACGCCGTATCCTGCCAGCGACTCCAATTACACCAACTGGGTTCTGGTAAGTCACAAACATCCACATTTTCTAGCTTATAAGATTTTATAGGTACTAGCGGACGAACTATCGCGATAATACCGTGTACAGTAATCCTCCTATAACGCGGTAGATTGGGTCCGCGTTATAGGAAAATGTTTTATAGGGGTATTCCCGTATAAGGCGTTTTTACGACCACGTATAACGCGTTACGAATAAATTACTCATCACGTGTAACTTTTATGGTTTATTTTTTTATTGGAACGAAGTTCCTTATCGCGCGTTGTGATAGGGGGCTAGACGGAAAAAATTCTTACGAAAAGTTGTCACGACACTTTTTAGATCCGTCATTCTAACCAATCAACGTGTAGGCGCTTATCGCGTGACATTGCTCGTATCCGATTGGTCCGCGTAATGAGTACAGTTTCTCGAGATAGCGTTTCAACAATAGTAATTTAGTTCATAGTATTGTTTTTTTCTTCTTCATAATGCCGTAATTTATTATTATAACTTAAAAAAAAAATTACAATTCCTTCACTAATTAATCGAAAGGAACTTCGTTCCATCCGGGTGTCCCTTGACACCTCTGAAGTTTTTTTTATATTTTTTTATAAAAATAAAGTTTAAACTACACCTTTTAATTTTAATACACAAATTTAATAAAATAATTTAATTTTGTAACGATACAATTGACACACGTGCAAAGGTACGCGAAGCTAAGCTAAGCTAAGCCCGTGTTATACGGGGGATTGAAATCGCGTAATATGAAAACGCTTTATAAGGGTACCGCGTTATAGGAGGGATTATTGTATATTACCACAATTGCTTAATGAACGAGGTACCAACTTACTGTCGTAAAGGCTGACCTTCGTTGGTTTTTTTATTGCTCCTGCCTCCTGGCAGATAAGCATACGGCTCACCTGATGGTGAGTGGTTACCGTCGCCCATGGACTTCAGCAATGCCAGGGGCAGAGCCAAGCCGCTGCATGGTCTAGCTAATCCTGTGCAAAGAAGCACCTACGTTGACCATTTTAGACACAAATGACGATTTACACTTTGCTCCTCATACACAATTCCTCCGCGTCTGAAAAGTATCAATTTTGTGCGAAAATTCAAATGTCTCATCTGCAATCAACATTTCAGTGCGATCAGAGTCTGCAAACATTCCTGTAAAATTGTGGATCATTTATCATTCTTCGTGTTACCATCAATTTGGCTACACAAGACATAGCCAAGATGAAATCGATACCAGTTTTAAACCATTCACCATTTTACCATTACCAAATTAACACGTTGACTGTCACGTAGGGTGACGTAGGTCATTGGTGCCCTACGCGGCACACTAAAGTAATTATGTCGATTTCTCTCTTCGATCTTCCCACTATGGCGCCAGAGTATCTAATAGACTCTGGGAAAGGCGAATCCGAAGATAATGAATCTATTCCTAAGAGACTTAAAATACTGAAACATACATTACCAAACAAAAGAAGGCATAACTAGGCAATCCAGGCGCTTAGTAACAGAAATTGACATAATTACTTCAGAGAGCGGCGTAGGGCACCTTCATTTTTTTTATTTATTGCTTAGATGGGTGGACGAGCTCACAGCCAACCTGGTCATAAGTGGTTACTGGAACCCATAGACATCTACAACGTAAATGCGCCACCCACCTTCAGATATAAGTTCTAAGGTCTCAGTATAGTTACAACGGCTGCTCCACCCTTCAAACGGAAACACATTACTGCTTCACGGCAGAAATAGGCAGGGTGGTGGTACCTACCCGTGCGGACTCACAAGAGGTCCCACCAAAAATAGCATGTCACGGCAGTCAACGTGTTAAGCATTTGTAATTTCTTATCTACTTTATTAATAACAACAGCAATAACTTCCCGCAGGAGAAAATTGAATACGTATTCCTTGTGATCTTCACCGGGGAGTGTGTGATGAAGATCATCGCTTATGGCTTCGTGATGCATCCAGGGTCGTACCTTAGAAACGGCTGGAATTTGCTCGACTTCACTATAGTCGTTATCGGGTATGTATGCGGTTCTCTAATTTTTATGGTAGACAAAGAAGCTGTATACGGTGACTGCTATGCAACTCTGTGAATCCGTCTGAGTATACCAGAGCTCCTATCAAATCACTGCTTCAAAGGAGTGCTGAAGTTTTTTTAGGTGTTTACAAGCAGGGAGCTCTTTTTTTATGGCTTAGATGGGTGGACGAGCTCACAGCCCATCTGGTGTTAAGTGGTTACTGGAGCCCATAGACATCTACAACGTAAATGCGCCACTCACCTTGAGATATAAGTTCTAAGATCTCAGTATAGTTACAACGGCTGCCCCACCCTTCAGACCGAAACGCAATACTGCTTCACGGCAGAAATAGGCAGGGCGGTGGTACTTACCCGCGCGGATTCACAAGAAGTCCTACCACCAGTAATTACGCAAATTATAATTTTTCGGGTTTTGATTTTTATTACACGATGTTATTCCTTCACCGTGGAAGTCAATCGTGAACATTTGTCGAATACATACTTATTTTGTTAGAAAAATTGGTACCCGCCTGGGATTCGAACATCGGTGCATCGCTCAATACGAATGCACCGGACTTCTTATACTTTAGGCCACGACGACTTAAATGCATTTTGACGGAAGGCGTCCGATCCTGCGAAATTTTATAGTACTCGAGGGGTAGACAAGCAAACGGTCCGCCTGACGTTAAAGCGCCAGAGCCTGTAGACATCATAACCTGAATGTTGCACACAGCTTTGAGACATCAACTCGAACACCCAACTGTCTCACGCACCAAACCGGAATTCGTGATTGCTTTGCGTCCATAATATTCAATTTTAAATAGTTTAATTCGATTTAACTAGAAGCATAACATGTTGAATATCAAAATAAATCTACCGCTAATGTAGACACAGCTGACAAGCTGACGAAAGAAACTCAACCGGATATACTTTGACGTACTCTTTTTACATTATTTTGCTTTTAAATCTACGTCAGCAATTTTACTTTTTAAAAGATAGCGGCCCGCTCCGGATCCGCTCGGGTCTTCAACAAAAATGTCAACGATATTTAACGTTGTTTTATTTTTTTAAATAAAAGATCACTTATTGCGGCATAACTATAATAGTTAGACATATGATATCGCGACACTTTTTGTAAATGATAATGTGTTCTACAAAGTCGTAGTACATTATTTTATTCTATCATCAATAGTTTTCACAGCGCACGCGATGTTATGAAAATTTTAGGTAATCTGTTTACACCTTGGGTTACATTATTGGAGTTTTAGTAAGTTTCCCTAATTTTTTTCAAAAAAGATTATAGCGGGAATAGTGTAGCTTTCAAACAGTGAAAGAATTTTTCAAATCGGTTCAGTAGTTTCGGAGCCTATTCAATACAAACAAACAAACAAACCTTTCCTCTTTATAATATTAGTATAGACAAATCAAATAGGCAAATCGAAAGGATGTCCATGGTTATTATATGCCTCACCATCATTAAAAACGCTTAAGATGGATTGTAAACTGGACTGACTGCTCGTGTATATCTTATCAAATAACTTATCAAATAACTTCATTATTCATACAAATTTGAGTTAACTTTTACGCTATCGAAAACGTTAAAGAACTCGCACTAAGTACACTGATCCCATTATAGGCTATCTCCTGTACTATTGTAGCTATGACTGTGTCTTTTACGATCGGGCGTCACGCCGGCGCCATACCTCCTCGGCAATTATTTCGTTGTCGGCTCCAAGCTACGGACGGTGGCAGAATATTAAAACATCAATCAAACGGTCACGCTTTCGTTACAATTATTTTATCCAGGATGCGATAAAAACAAGAATTATGTGTTACTGTTTTTATTTATTTATTTATTTTTGTCTAATGTTCGTAAAAATCTGATTTTGTTTAGTAAAGCTACTTTTACGGCTTAATCTCGTGTTGGTTATTTAATTATTTATTTTTTTGTTATTTCGAAAAAATTACCGCTTGGTGATTTTATTATTGTTTATAGAAACAGCTCGCCGGGCACTTGGTCGTTATAAGAGCCCAAAGAAATCTCAATTTGGTTACCGTTTTATACCTTACATACATTGTATAAGGAATGCCGCACTCTTTAGATCGGCCCAATGAAGAAAGAAACAAAAAGGCTTCCTTTTCTTTCTATGTATTTAAAATCATGCGAAGGACACAGCTAAGCTACTATCCTCGCCAATTCCCGTTTGAAAAAGTTTCATAGCGATAAAAAAAACACTCAAAGCTACGCTACCAGCACTTCGGTATAAATGTAATTAAAATTCAGACAAATATTCTTTATTGCTATGTAAAATTAATTGTATAAAAGCAAATATTTGAATGTATTTTAATCAGACTGGTGGTAGGACCTCTTGTGAGTCCGCACGGGTAGGTACCACCGCCCTGCCTATTTCTGCCGTGAAGCAGTAATGCGTTTCGGCTTGAAGGGTGGGGCAGCCGTTGTAACTATACTGAGACCTTAGAGCTTACATCTCAAGGTGGGTAGCGCATTTACGTTGTAGATGTCTATGGGCTCTAGTAACCACTTAATACCAAGTGGGCTGTGAGTTTGTCCACCGACATAAGCAAAAAAAAATTAGTAACATACGGGATGCCCCATATGAATGAATTCATGCAACTGTAACAGCACGTTGCTTATTGTGCTGAGCCTTCTATAGGGTATTTAGTTGAACTCTCAAATGCATTGAAACAAAATTTCGACCGTAGTAATGATTAGAACTGTCAACCCATGCCCATCACTCAATTCATTGTGTTATTTAGAGTTTTTTTTTTTTTATTGCTTAGATGTGTGGACGAGCTCACAGCCCACCTGGTGTTAAGTGGTTACTGGAGCCCATAGACATCTACAACATATATGCGCCACACACCTTGAGATATAGTTCTAAGGTATCAGTATAGTCACAACGGCAGCCCCACCCTTCAAACCGAAACGCATTACTGCTTCACGGCAGAAATAGGCGGGGCGGTGGTACCTACCCGTGCGGACTCACAAGAGGTCCTACCACCAGTGATTAACAGTAACTTCTGAACCAGTCAGCTTTCGACCAAAAATACTCATACAATTCAAAGGTATTTTCATTGTACCCATCTGAGGCAATAAAAAACCGGACCTGACAGGGATTTAACAAGCTTTAATCCGTCAATGTTTGTTCTAGCATGGTGAGCACAGTCCTGTCAAGTATCTTCAAGGACTCTTTCGATGTGAAAGCTCTACGAGCGTTCAGAGTCCTTCGCCCACTCAGACTGGTCTCTGGAGTACCGAGTAAGCATTTTTAAAGACATTCCTTCTCCAATCTATTGTTTTTATATTACATACTTGAACATATAAACGTGGATTTATATTTTTAAATCCCTTGTAAGCAGACAAGGCACACGACCCACCTGATGGTGAGTGGTTACCGTCGCCCATGGACTTCAGTAATGCCAGGGGCAGAGCCAATCCGCTGCCTACCAATGTTCGATTTGCCTCTAATGTCAAAAATTACATCATAACGTCGTGTTATATTGTGCATTATAAGTTAAAAAGTTATCTAAACGGACCAAACAGAGTGCATGGCGCAAAACACACAAAGCCCGACTAAACCAGCTTACCCATTGACACTACAGACGTGCCAACTTCATATAATAGTCAGAGGAAATATTTGAAATAATCCGGTAATCCCCCTCCGATAATAGCAGCACACGGTAATGGCATTCATACCTACCATCTGGAACTATTAGGTTCATCGACAGTGTGAACGTGATATTAGCCTGGAACATCTGGCTATGAGACTTCCACTGAATTGTCCGAACCCTAAGACATATTCTTCTTTAAACGAAGTTTGAAAGTCCTCAATGGTAGCAAGCGGCTTGGTTGTGTGACCTTGGTATTATCCATGTTCTTGATCAGCATTAACCAATAATAATTGGTAATTATTTTAAAATTATTAAGCTTGAAGGTCATATGCAAGTAGGTATTAGAAGTAGACTTGTTATCCTGAGTTAGACACAAGTTCATAAACTGGTTGTTTTCGACGACAGGTCTGCAGATCGTGCTGAATTCTATCTTAAAAGCGATGGTCCCTCTCCTCCACATAGCTTTACTTGTGATATTCGTCATCATCATCTACGCCATCATCGGTCTCGAGCTGTTCTCCGGGAAGATGCACAAGAGCTGCTTCAATAAATACACAGGTCTGAATTGTGTTTAGTCTTTAAAAATAATCTCTATAGTGATTATAATGTATAAGGCGATTGCATGCAGCAGAGACGCGAATGTTGCGATGGATGTGTGGAGTAACGAGAATGGATAGAGTACGGAATGAATATGTTAGAGGAAGTCTGAAAGTGGCCCCTGTGACAGAGAGACTGAGAAGTGCGCGTTTGAGATGGTATGGACATGTGATGAGACGAAATGAAAATGAGGTTGGTAAGAGAGTGTTAACTATGAATGTGGAAGGATATAGAGGAAGAGGTAGACCTAAGAAGAAATGGATGGATTGTGTGAAAGACGATATGGGTAAGAGAGGAGTGAGCGAAGAAATGGTATATGATAGAAGAGTATGGAAGGAGAAAACATGTTGCGCCGACCCCAGGTGACTGGGAGAAGGGCAGGATAATGATGATGATGAGTGATTATAATGTATAGCTAATTCTGCCTATCGTTCGGGGCTGTTTATTGTGTTCGATTTTGCTCATACCCCACAGTTTGCACCATCTTTGTTAACCCATGACCACAAATAATAATAAAATAAATAAATAAATAAAAAGTTTAAGTGAGCTAATACACCGGAGAACAAAAAAGGCCTTGTTTTGTGGGGTAAACTTCTTGATTTTTATTAATTCACTCAGAATAAAGCAAGATTATATTCTACCTAGTAATGGTACATGTGGTTAGCAGCGCATTATATGCTCGCGTGATCTCATGTTGTACAGCTTAGTTGATTTGTAGTCTCAAAATTCCAGATGAGATAATGGACAGTCCCCATCCGTGTGACAACGACAATGGCTTCAACTGCTCCTCCCTCGGCCCAGAGATGGAGTGTCGCGAGGGCTGGCCCGGCCCTAATTTCGGCATCACCAACTTTGACAATTTCGGTCTCTCCATGTTAACCGTCTTCCAATGCATCACGCTCGAAGGGTGGACCGATGTCATGTATAATGTACGTAGCTTATCGTAGATTTAAAGGAATTTATGCATCCGTGGCCAATATGTATATGTCGATTGTCGACAAAAGATCTTTTACAATTAAAATACAATACAATTCTATCAAACTTTAACATTACTCGTTGATTACAAGAAGCCACGTCTTAGTTTTTACACAATTAGCCATTTTGTGCTGGTTATAGCAACTACAACTTCTTTTATACAAACAAATGTAATTACAAAATATAGCTTAATATTCACAATACATATTTTAGTGATTTTTACATGTTCACTGGCGTTAATTTATTTTTTATGTTAATTATTGCTAATAGTGACGTTTGCGCCCATATCTATAAGATGCTCGATATAGTGATATAGTAATGAATGTTTATATCTATATTGTACTAATTTTAATAAATGAGAAAGTAAACATATTTGGTCATAAGTGCTACCACTTTATGTTAACCATATCTTCAACCCATTAAATTAGAACACGTGCCTGCTTTTGGATAGAAATTTAATGCTAATGATCGTTACTGCTACAAATCAGAGGTCTTAAGTAGACTATATGACTTGGACCTTCAACCACTGCTACCATTTCACTTTAATCCATTTGCCTATCTCGGTTTAACTGATGACGATACTGTAATTACTATTTACTGTAGATCCAAGACGCCATGGGCAACAGCTGGGAATGGATTTACTTCGTTTCGATGGTGATTCTGGGAGCTTTCTTCGTGATGAACCTGATTCTCGGTGTGTTGTCCGGGTAAGAAAACAATGTCCAGTCATAGTAGGAACTGATTATTCTCAATATTGAAAGTTATACCTAATTAAATGCAATACCGAGCCGATGAAAAATCTCGTATACCCTAATGATCCAAGTAAGTGGGTCAAGACATATGGCCAAAGTAATAATACATATTATATTATAATGTCGCGGTCCTGATACGTGTACATTACGAAGTCATTTCGAACATCTCACTTTGAAACTCGAATTTAGCAAACCATTCCCCTTCTTTTTTTTTCTACCTATGTTGGTAGCTTTAGAGGGCTATGCCCGCGTTACCGAACTAGTAGGTGAGCGCACGGGGCTCTAGCCTGGTGAGGATGCTAACGCTAGCCCTAGCAAGGGTAGTGCTTCGCAGAATCTACCACCGGATCGGAAATGCGACCCACTGAGAAGATCCGGCGAGAAATTCAGTAGGCTGTGCCTGTGGGTTAATTTACTCGCCGAACCCTTTGTCGCTAGCGACGGGTTCGACGAGAATGATGACCGATGCTTAGGGTACCTAATAGCACCGTTAGTGGATCGGGAGAATCCCGAAATAATGTGTTTAGGGCACATTCCACTGATATCGATCGATCGCACTGGATCGATAGATCGATACACATCACGCTTATTAACTTGACATGTTGATACAAGGTGTTAAAAAATTTAATTCGTTATAAAAAGTTTTTTTTTGTTGATTATGCTATTGAGCGACCAAAAATGAAATAGGCTTGCATTAACTGAACAGACGAACATATATTTAATTTATAATTTTACATTTGATATGCATAATTACTGATTATAAAATATTCTCATCCCGCAGTGAGTTCTCCAAAGAAAGAGAGAAGGCGAAGAACCGAGGTGACTTCCAGAAGTTAAGAGAAAAGCAGCAGTTAGAAGAAGATTTGAAAGGTTACCTAGATTGGATCACTCAAGCGGAATACTTGGAGCCCGTGGACCAACATGACAACAGCAATCAGAAAGGAGATTTCGGAGGTACAAAAATAAACTTGTTCTCTTGTGAACTAATCTGGTTAAAGTATCGTAAAAATTTATTGGTATTAGCTGGCTGAGAAACACAAACGGAACAGTAAAATTCGGAATCAATTGTAACGGGATAGTTTGCAGTTTAATGTTCGTCTGTTGTAATTACGAGTAGAATTATTGTGTTACTCGCACGTCGCTGTTTCGTGGCTTTGTTTTTAGCATAGCTACCCACATGCTCTACATATTTTAGTGGCAGCCATGTGTTCTGGCTTGGAGAGCGGAAGACAGCGGTTAAACTATACCATAGAGACAGACGCCAAGTCTTAATATGAGTAGCAGAATCACGTATATTTCGTTGTGCTATTACGGTGTCCACTCACCACAAGGGGGCTGGGAGCTCATACACTCATTTGTACAATAAAAATGTATTTCTATTTCATATGTACAAGTATTTCTAGTTAACCATAACACGGGCAAAGAACCTGCCATTTGACCATTTTGATCAATATGATCAGCTTTTTCGATATATTTCCCGGTCAAACGCCCCGATTTTTGATATGCCTTATTCTGGTTTCGCTAATAGTCTGATCCAAAGGCTACCACTCCCAATACGACTTTACGAAATGCATATGGCTGGAAGTGAAACGCTGTTTACCAAATACAACAATAGCCTTAATATGGTCGACCACACCATTCTAGAACGAATCTAAGAAGGCGATGAAGGCTCTTTGTTATTTGTACCCAGGACCGACACAGAACGAGCACGATTCCACGGATCATCTCGGCGTAGAAACAGTTGAACCACAAAAAGTGTCGATCTCATGGAAAAAGGATTTTGATAAGGTATTGTTCTTTTTGCCAATTAATTATTGCCATATAATTTAAACAACAAGTAGTCGATCAATAGATTAGTGCAGGTGAAGAATTTAATCTAACTAACAGGCAATACAGATTAGGAAAGAGCAACGTGGAGCAAAATATAATATGTAAGCTTAGAGAAGAAAGACCCTTGCGAAAAATCACCCAGAAACGGGAACATCTTGGATACAACCTAGGGACAATTATTTTCATTACGATACCTTTTCATTATATTTAGGACTAAATCTTATTATTGCAACAGATACAGAGCTGACGTTTGAAATCGCATTCCCAGGTGAACCGCCGCATGAAAAGGGCCTGTAGGAAAGCAGTCAAATCGCAAACATTCTACTGGCTGATCATAGTTTTAGTTTTCCTGAACACGGTAGTGCTCGCCAGTGAACATTATCGGTAAGGTTATTAAACAATAAATAAATTTGTCTTTTAAATATTCATCAGTTTTTTACAGAGTGTGGTCTTCAGTCGTTTATCTGGAGTTTATTGATGTTCTATACGAATTGCTCCAGCCTCCATTACAATGTTCTACCTTGTATTGTTGCAGTGATTTATTTGACGGTTGATAGGTAATTATGGCGTATTTAGGCAGGTGCACTAACCAATAGTCTCCAGAATAAGGTTCTCTGGTTTTTATTAAAGCCAAGTTTCAAGTCTCGTTGGAGATTGAGCACGGAAGACCCTATGTATTATGAAATTTTAATCGTGGACGTATTCATTCATCACATCATCACGCCACACACTTTAGGACATGAAGTGAAGATCCAATTATTTTAACGACAGTCATTCCACTCATTAAGAAAATATGCATGAATACCTTGCGACGGAAATTACGCGACCATATAGGATGCACCAATGAAACCTGTCTTAAGTTACAATCATTTTTCAAATGAGGCTTGTAGACTATACTTAGTGGTAGTGACGACTTAACTGTGCTCATGGTATAGTTTGAATCCATGAGCGATGGTAACCAACTCACCATTAGGTCGACTGTATGCTCGTCTACCTGAAGGCCATAAAAACAGGTATGTGTGGAAATCACCACTGACGCTAAGTGTCATGATATGTTGTTCCAGGCAACCAGAGTGGCTGGACCATTTCCAAGAATACGGAAACGCGTTCTTCGTGGCTCTATTCACTTTAGAAATGTTAGTCAAAATGTACAGCCTGGGATTGCAAGTAAGTGATGTAAAGGTTTTTACAAGTCATGAACATAAGCAAAAACAATTTTGACATTCGGGACATTAAGTCCTACGAATAAATAATAAGACTTATTATTTAATCGTAGATTAAGTCCCAATATTAATTATAACCACTTCTCTGCTACTCGTAGGACATATTCTGATGCCACACGGGTAGGTCCCAACGTCCTAAACATTTTTAGTGCGGAGCAATAATGCGTTCCTATATGAAGGGTGGAACAACCGCGATGTTACAATTGAGATTTAACACAACAAACAACAACAAAATGACATTTCAACCTTATGTCTGAAGGCGGATGACTGTATTTACGATGTGATGACTAGAAGCTCCAGGAACTATTTATTACCTTCATTTTTTATTTATTGCTTAGATGGGTGGAAGAGCTCACAGCCCACCTGGTGTTAAGTGGTTACTGGATCCCATAGACATCTACAACGTAAACGCGCCACCAACCTTGAGATATAAGTTCTAAGGTCTCAAGTATAGTGACAACGGCTGCCGCGCCCTTCAAACCGAAACGCATTACTGCTTCACGACAGAAATAGGCAGGGTGGTGCTACCTAGCCGCGCGGACTCACAAGACGTCATACCACCAGTTCTGACCTCGTCCATCCTAATAATCCAACAATAAAAATTGTGACATAATAAAATCACACAGCTAATTAGCAAATCGTACTTTATGAATTTAATTAATCGTATTGTTAGTATTGATATTATATAACTTGTATTTTCCTCATCATCCACCTCCTTATATTCTCAGGGCTACTTCGTTTCCCTATTCAACCGTTTCGACTGCTTCGTCGTGATCGGCTCCATCAGCGAGATGGTGCTGACGAAGAGCGAGGTGATGCCTCCACTGGGCATCTCCGTGCTGCGATGCGTCAGGCTGCTTCGAGTCTTCAAGGTTACGAAGTGAGTTCCTAGTTACAAACTATCTTTTTGACGTGACAACGTCTTATAATTCGATGGAGCCGGCTGCACGCACGAAAAAACATGACTCAGGAGGCGTTACCTCGCTCTGAGGCGTTCCATTTAAGGTTTGAAGTGCAAGCGAGAGCACGCAACGAGCGACAAAGAGGCACAATCGGCCTCCGCGTTCGGCAGCGTTCGACATCTGTCTCTCTCCTACTTGAGTGAGCGATGCATCCGCGTGGACAGCTGCTATACAATAATACATTTACATGTTTTCGTCAAGTATGAAGTTCAGTGAAAAGTGAATGTGGTGTCAATTGTTTATAGCATTAATAATTGCGGCGATAAAGGTAATGATTCTTTCGATATTAAATATATGTTCAGTGATATATTGTCGAATATTCGTGCTTTCACCTTTTCTTTCAAAATTTTCTTTTGAAAAATGAAACCATTCCATCAGTATTTTCTTATGACGTTGTCACGTTCAACTATCGTCAGTAAACCGACTTTACAGACGCGCTCACGGTTCACCTAAACATAAGTGCTGACCACTGCTCATTACTGGTGGTAGGACCTCTTGTGAGTCCGCGCGGGTAGATACCACCGCCCTGCCTATTTCTGTCGTGAACCAGAAGCGTTTCGGTTTGCAGGGTGGGGCAGCCGCTGTAACTATAGTTGAGACCTTAGAACTTATATCTTAAGATGGGTGGCGCATTTAAGTTGTAGATGTCTATGGGCTCCAGTTATCATTTAACACCAGGTGGGCTGTGAGCTTGTCCACCCATCTGAGCAACAACAAAAAAAGCTTCATAGCTTAATAGCCTTAATCAATATATTCTTAGACTTTTTCAATAACTTTCAGATATTGGCGTTCACTGTCTAACCTTGTAGCATCACTCCTCAACTCGATCCAGTCCATCGCATCTCTACTTCTGCTACTGTTCCTGTTCATCATGATCTTTGCACTCCTCGGGATGCAAGTTTTTGGGGGGAAATTCAACTACGACCCTGTGGAAGAAAAGGATAGGCACAATTTCGATTGCTTCTGGCAGGCATTATTGACTGTTTTTCAGGTAAAAATATTCTTAATTACCACTTTTCTGTATTACCTAGAAAATATAGACTAGTTGTGTATTTTGAGTTCACACACCCTGAAACTATAATATAAATAACTTATTCTGCAAAATATGCACGACAACAGTCATGTTTGAAAGTAGATGGCGATATTTTGTTTGTGGGATTATCCAGTTTGAATGGACTATTTTTTTGTGTCAGCTTGTCATCTGCCTGTCCATAATACTGGACATTAACATAAACTATGTTAGATCAAGCCAAACTATATTAATACTGTTTCAGAAAACTTTGGAAAAATAGAATGATTTTCGACAAGACCTTAATCTATATATATATTAATACGTGAAGCAAAAACTTTGTATCCCTTTTTACGAAAATTGCGCGGACGGAGGAGTATGAAATTTTCGACACTTATAGAGAATATAGATAAGAAGTGTACAATGCTAATATTTTTTTAAAACAATGCATAAAAGATACATTAAATCAATAAAGAAAACATTACACACACTACATACCATGTATTTGACGCACACACGCATGCATACTATTAATTGTCAAACTTTTGTTCTTGACGTCTGAGGTCAAATTGAGAATAGATTAAATATTGTTTGTCTTTTTTATTAATATTTTTTTATAGTGTAGCCTTGGCGAAATTTGTGATTATAGAAGTATAAAATACAATCATAATAGTGTACAAACTTATTATACAATTCCAATTAATTATAGTCGAATTTCGACTACTGCGGGACCTCTAGTAATAGGAATTGGTTGTTTCTTAATATGTTTTTCTGTTGTATTGATCCACTACTTAATAAACCTTCTCATCCAATTAGATCCTGACTGGTGAAGACTGGAACGCTGTTATGTATGAAGGTATCAAGGCATATGGAGGCGCAGGCACGGTCGGAATAGTGGCTTGTATATATTTCATCATATTGTTCATTTGCGGCAACTGTATCCTTTTCTTGTAAAAGTCTTGACGAGTGTTAAGGAACCACAAGTCTGTGATGCTTTATTTATTAATACCTAGATAATTGCACAGCTACCTAGTTACGACCTACTTTTTTCCTTCTTAATCGTTGGTAGCCTAAGAGGCTATTCCAAATTCGCGGAGACTGGTAGGTGAGCTCACGGGCTCAACCTGAGAGAATTGCTAACACTCTAGCCCTTGCAATGACAGTTCTTCGCTTATCTACTACCGGAAAACAACTTACAATAATTGGAGCAACAGTTAGAAACCGATGCAGAATTAAAACTGAGAGAAGTACGCCTGAGGATGGTATCGATCCTACAAAATTATCCTCCACTAATTTAGTGTAATTCATTTCATGTAATATACCAAATGTTCAAAAATTATTCCAATAAATCAATTCCAATTTATTTTACGATGCTTATCATCCACATGGACTCTTACATACGGAAACATGTTTGGTTCACGAGTGCTCACAGCCCGTTAGCAACGTAATGGTAACGTTAATTACGAAATCGCCTATTTCCTGTCTGAAGACAAATAAAGAACCTACATAAGAGTTAAAAATAATTCATTAACATATAAATAGATATTCTTCTCAATGTGTTCTTGGCCATTGCTGTTGACAACTTGGCGGATGCTGAGTCGCTCACTAATATCGACAAGGAAGAGGGGGTAAGGCTCTTACTTACTTTGAATACCATATTTTAAAAGCTCTAGCCCAAATGGCATATGGCAGTGGGCACAGCACTCGGCCAAAACTCAGTGCAAACTAGCGGCCCAAATCGAATCCATTGCTAGAAATATGTAGATAGCTTTTTGAAGTCGTCGTGGCCTAAAGGATAAGACGTCCGGTGCATTCGTTGTTGCGATGCACCGGTGTTCGAATCCCGCAGGCGGGTACCAATTTTTTTAATGAAATACGTACTTAACAAATGTTCACGATTGACTTCCACGGTGAAGGAATAACATCGTGTAATAAAAGTCAAACCCGCAAAATTATAATTTGCGTAATCACTGGTGGTAGTTGTGAGTCCGCACGGGTAGGTACCACCGCCCTGCCTTTTTCTGCCATGAAGCAGTAATGCGTTTCGGTTTGAAGGGTGGGGTAGCCGTTGTAACTATACTAAGACTTAACTTATATCTCAAGGTGGGTGGCGCATTTACGTTGTAGATGTATATGGGCTCCAGTAACCACTTAACACCAGGTGGGCTGTGAGGTCGTCCACCCATGTAAGCAATAAAAAAAAAAAAAATTGAAAATTATGACGATGAAATCAGCCGTCATAATCAATCCCCCTTGAGTAAAATTATACTATTTATTTATTCTGCACGTAAAATATCTGCCCATGTTACATACCATAGGTTTTAGGTTTTATTTTATAGGTTTTTATTGCTCAGATGAATAAACAAACAAACAACTTACCTGGTGTTAAGTGGTTATTGGAGTCCATAGACATCTTTATAGTCTTCCTCCACGCGTCGTTTTCCTCCTTACTGAAGGCAGTGATTCCTTTGACGAGAGCTTCATTTCTTCTCAGCTTTATCTTGCAACACGGTGTTAATAATTGGGCGAATTATCTAATATTCTCTAATTATCTGATAGTATGAATAATAAATATATAAGATGCCGCATTTTCAAATGAAACAATAAATTACATCAAAGAACAAACAGTTTTTAAATATCAAAACAATATGTATTACTAATGTTAAGATTATTATCCAGGCTTGTGAAGAAAAGGAAGAGAGTATGGTAGCTATAGAAGGAGTCCAAGGTGATACTGATGATGAATACATACATGATGATGAAGCGTATACCACTGATAAGTACGTAAAATAACGCCTAAAATATTCTAAACAGAACCTCCAATAACATCGCACATATCAGCTATTGTATGTATGATGCAGCAATGTATTAGGTAATAATTGTAACGCGAACGATTGTGCTTAAGCTCTTAGACTTTCTGTTGATGAAGAAAATGTTTTTGATATAAGGTATAATACTGTTACGCGCTGTGGTTCGGGATAAAAAGTTCCACCAAAGTGCAAATTAAAACTCTATTCATCACTTAGAACATTCACAGAACACTTTTCAATTCGTTATTCGCTTCTTCCGCTTTGCTGCAGGTGATCCGTTCGCTGTTTCACTTACAGTAGTTCCAATTACTAACTGATTTCGTGTCATCACTGCAACGCTTTTATGGTCGATACGACATCCCTAGAATTATCGAGAACATTCCTTACAAGTCGAGTATTTTCGATGTGTGTTTCCGCTATCTGGCAATAGATGGCGTAAAACTTCTCGAGCGTTCTCGATTTTACTAGTTCTTTTGAAATTCGTTTCTACTTTTCGACGATAGATGACATTGCTCTTACCGATGCAACAGTATTAATAATTGTAACAGGAACAATTGTGTTTAGGGTCTTAGACTTTCTGTTAGTGAAGAAAATATTTTTGATATAAGATAAAATACTCATTAAACATCATACTCATACTATACACTCGCAGTAGTATAAGGAAGTTCCATTCGTATGAAGTCTGACTTATAAGCATGCTTACGGATTCCGGAGGGACCGATTGTCATTTTAATTATTTTAGCACTTCAACAAGTGAAAGGTTATACGTTATAAGTTATAAGCGTACCTACTCTAAATTGTTAATTAAGTAACAATTTACAAAAACAATATATTATTTTCATGTTTAGTTCTGAAAGGGAATATGAAGAAACAGGGTCAGAAGGTGACCCGCAAGATGAGATCGAAGAAGAAGAAGAAGAAGAATTAGATGAGAACGAGTTAGAAGATAGAGTCGAAGAGGAACAAGAAAGAGATGAAGATATGGAAATGATGGAGGGACACCAGCGGAATCATATAGGTGTGTTATTCTCAATCTTAACAACAGATTAAAGCGTCGTACTTATTTAATTGTAGAAAAATTAAAGTAAAAATAGTTTCTAAATAATGTATTAAACTAAAAATTTGCACAAGAATTTTTGTTCCTGTCGTTTCAAAATGAAATCTTATCTTAATAAATATGTGTTAATTCGATAAAAGAATAAGACGGATAATTTTCAACAAATATAATCCAAGATGAGCAAAATCTAAATATTTTTCTTAAAAGCGAAACTTTATTTGGAAACAGTCAAAATATTCCAATGGCTGCATTGTATAAAAATCCAACAGCTTATGAAAGGAAGTATAATGAACCATTGATATGTGAGTGGTAGAATCTAACTAGTATAATGCAGTGAACACAGAGTTTGCGGAGGAGCATCGTTTGAAACGCAAACCCACTACATCATCAGCTCGACCTCGCCGCCTCTCCGAGGTTGATATACACGACTCAAAGAAACCGATACCCGAAGCGTCTTCCTTCTTCATATTTAGCAAAACAAACAGGTTAGGGACAGGAAACAGGAAAATGCTCAGAGAAACAGCTTCTATAAAATATCTAGATGTACCATTTCTCATTTATTAATTTAACGTTTTTTTTATTTTATAGCTTCGTTTATTAACACAGAAAATTATATTATTTGTATCTTCTGTCTTGAATTTTATTTGTTATAATTATTTTTTATTGTGACACTATAGCTAATCTCACTTTGCGTTTGCATTCTACACTATTTATAAATTATTAATACTTAAAGCGTTAGTATATTAACAATTTCTCACGGATACGGCATGTTAGGGAATTAGCAGGCATAGGGCTATGATAGTTCTTAGATCAGCACTAAACAGTGTCGTCAAATATTTCTCACAAAGATGGCGGCAAATCCGAAGAGGAGGGAAAACTGGTAACAGCAAGACCCCGACGCATATCAGAACTGAATATGCCAAATCAAACGCCGCCAATACCGAACGCTAGTAGTTTCTTCATATTTTCACCAACAAACAGGTGACTGGTGTAGCCCGTGGTACCCGTTTCTCATTGTACCATTGGCAGTGTGATGTCCTACAGCCTTATCAATTGGCAATCACATGAATGTATACTTCTAATTCACAAGATTGATTCAAAATTTTGTTATAACAATGAGCTTACTGGGTACCTATATCGTGTGTCCTGTTTTAGACTATTAGGTATGTTATTGTATAGCCCTAGGAGTTCATAGCATGGTAACCCTGATTCCTATAGAACTATAAATCCAATCAATAGGCTACTAATGATACTATAGAATCCATTTAAAAATCCAAAAGCATGTTTGCATGTTATATGTTTTAGCTTTTGTCGTGTATAGTTACAGCTTCGTTCATTGTTATAAGGTATTTAATTTGAATCAAACTGCGAAGAAATAATGTTTGTAAATCTAAAATTGCAGGTTTCGAGTTCTGTGCTACAAATTGTCGTCTTCTTCGACGTTTGGAAATATAATATTGGTCTGTATTATGCTTTCGTCGGCCATGTTGGCTGCTGAAGATCCGTTGGATGCAGTTCAGAGTGGATTCAGAAATTGGGTTGGTATATTTTGATTAATATTTAATTTTATCAGCTGCCATATCTGCAGCATATGTCGAGGCGGCGATTTTTTTTTATTGCTTAGATGAGTGGATGAACTCACAGCCCGCCTGGTGTTAAGTGGTTACTGGAGTCCATAGACATATACAACGTAAATTTACCACCCATCTTGAGATATAAGTTCTAAGATCTCACTATAGTTACAACGGCTGCCCCACCCTTCAAACCGAAACGCATTACTGCTTCACAGCAGAAATAGGCAGGGTGGTGGTGCCTACCCGCGCGGACTCACAAGAGATCCTACCACCAGTAAAAATTTGATGGTGCCTCAGAAACTACTGATGTCCATAAGCGCCGGTAGCTCACAATCAGGGGAAGGGGGACATATAATCTTCTTCTGATTACAAAAGCAATAAAAAATAAATTCTTAAAGAAAAACTCTAAATAAGCTAAAAGTTTTCTTTTTAACTTCCTTCTTGATTCTGTTTACAATTTAATTATAGCAACTTTATTATACAAACACCACAATGTTGCAGTTTTATCTACTTTCTTGCTGACAATTACAGAAAGAGAAAAACTAAACGGTTTGATTTTTTGCAAAACATTCGACTGTGGGCCATGGATTATAAATTGTAGTTTTTTTTGTTTGTTTAGACGTAACAAGAAACAAAAACGATTAACGCTTAAACAATCTCTTTGTTGGGGTCCGAAGGGAAGTTTGTAGAGTTCCAAAAGAGTATGTTGTTTGAGCACCTTTATTATGTTAGTTAAGTACAAATGGTAGCGTGTTAACGAGTACGTGTTGCTAAGTGCACTGCTATACAAGAATGTAATAAAATAATTTGACACCACAATGACGACGCACTGCGCGTCAACGTATTGAGTTAGGTATGTACAAACCGTACACTCTTTGAAAAAAAAATTGTTGTCAATTGTGGAATTAAAGTGGTTTACATATTACTAGAGGTCCCGCAGTAGTCGAAATTCGACTATAATTAATTGGAATTGTAAGTTTGTACACTATTATGATTGTATTTTCAACGCAAAGACTACGCTAAAGAAAAATATTAATCAAGACAAACAATATTTAATCTATTCTCAATTTGACCACAGACGTCAAGAACAAAAGTTTGACAATAAATAAATAGTATGCATGCGTGTGTGTGTCAAATACACGGTAGTGTGTGTAATGTTTTCTTTATTGATTTAATGTATCTTTTATGCATTATTTAAAAAAGAAATTAGCATTGTGCACTTCTTCTCTATATTCTCTATAAGTGTGCAAAATTTCATACTCCTCCGTCCGCGCAAGTTTCGTTTCAAAAGGAATACAAAGTTTCTGCTTCAGGTATTAATATATAGATTATTTTGCTGTTCTGCAGTTACTCAGCCAATTCGACGTGTTCTTCACTGGTATATTCACGCTGGAGCTGTTTCTGAAGCTGGTGACGTACGGGCTGATCCTCCACCAGGGTGCCTTTCTGCGATCCGCCTTCAACGTTCTCGACATGCTGGTCGTTTGCGTATCGCTTGTGTCTATGAATCTTAAGTGAGTTCAATTTAATCTTCTTTTTTTTAAAGCTGGGGAATCCGTTTACGGATACCCCGTCGAGAGGGGTAACAGACCGGGTTATGTTGGACTCCGGCGCCTCCAAAGAAGAAGAGGGAGAAGAGGAAGACTTCCTCTTCTTCCAATTCCTACCGGGAGACTACGCCTTGAGAAAGGCGCGCGAGGCGGGACCCGCCCCGAAAAACCGACTACCAACTAAACCACATCGAGCTCCACCACTCAAACTCCACGAAACCTACGGTGCCACACAGTGGGCGCCGAAGGTTCGCCGTCGCCGGTACCCGTCCTAACAATATGACGGGATTCCATCCCCAGAAAGATCCCGCAGGACGTCGTCTCGGGAAGTTAAATTTAACCTAAGATCCAGCCGTTTGACAGAACCGACATTGTGTCTCATCATTTATAATTTGTTAATTTAAAGTCTCTCCGTCTTTTAATTAGAAATGACTTGTTGTTTAATACACCATATAACATTAATTCTTTCGCATTTGGAAGAGTTGGATGAGAGTTTGAAAATGTAATTTCTAAGAATTCCAATAACATCGCAATAGTGTACGATAATCTTTGTTTAGCTTGACTAACAAAAAACGTATACTGAAATTATCTGTTCGTTTCCACTATGATAACAATGACGTTGCGTCAACAGGTCTGGTAGTATATCCGTGGTGAAAATATTACGAGTGTTCAGGGTGCTCAGACCGCTCAGGGCTATCAACAGGGCGAAGGGTCTTAAGGTCAGTACAATTCAAAAATAAAATCCTCAAATTCAATTAATGCCCTTGAAATTTCAAGGATTAAGATGCGATATTCTGCAAACTTCAAAGCTACTGGAAAAATCCTCACGGAATCCATAATTTTCGATTTGGCAATGAGTAATCAACAAATTTCTTCCCATTAAGACAAGTTAATACTGACTCATATAACTTCCTCAAATAAGGAGGAGTGATAAAAAACTGCTTTAGACTTGCAAAGTGTAATGAAAAGAACATTTGCCTGTGGGGCATCATATTATGCCAAAATTTAACAATTACATGATACTCTATTTTTGTTAGTATAATGTGAAATAAGGTATAAAATCATTCTAATTTTAAGTTACAAATCTTCCATGAATTTCATGGAACTTTGAATCAAGATTAATGAATGTAATGTAAAAGAAAACATTAATATCTTAACATAGTAACAATGTAAGATAATCAGCGTAACACCAGTAGATATTAATAAACCGCATAAAACATTTCGAGATAAAAAAACAGGATTTCACTGTCAGGAAGGTTTTGTTAAATCAAGACATTCAAAAAGATATTCGTTTTGATGAAGGCTAATTACAATAATTAATCAAATTAATCACGCTTCAAGATATTTTCACAGTGAAATCTTAACTCAATATTGACTTAGACGATTTCTTAAACTACTGCGAAAATCCTACGCATTTTTGTTTTTAAAATGACGATATGTTTTCCGTGATTGTAGCACGTTGTACAATGCGTGATCGTTGCAATCAAAACAATCGGAAACATATTATTGGTTACATCGTTACTACAGTTCATGTTTGCCGTGATGGGAGTCCAAATGTTCAAGGTAGGGGGTTTATTCAACCACCAAAGCACCACCACCGAATCTTGTGTGACCGTTGGCCACGATTGACCAGATCCTATACACCTTTGGGTATTTAAAATCTATCGTCTGTCTATATTTATTTTTACTACAAATTCAAAATCCGTTCTTGAAGGGAATTGACTGGTTGACCTATCGATAAACTAGTTGATTGACCAATTTAAGATAGTATCGTATTTAAAATACCATGGCCACTGGCTGTATTTATCAGATATCAATTATTAAATAATTAACTTGAATTGCTTTAATTTCCAAAAACTCCTTAATATGAGGTAAGAGCTTGATATTATGTTTGAAGATTTTTTGGGACTATGTGATTTCGTCAGTCAGTCAATTACAAATTTACATTTTTATTACCTTTCTTTCTTTTCTCACGATTTGCCTCGCGATTCTATCATTGAGTTTTTTTTGTCTCAGTTATTTTACTGCTTAAAACTACGTATAAAAATTTTGTTATTGTGAAACACTTATAAATGTTGTTAAATTTTGTACCTATTCCATGTGCTTTTTCCATCAGTGTTCTGTATAGAAATTATTAGAGTATTAAACGTGAATTAGTCAAGCATGTAATAAGGAGATTCTTAGGTTCCAAGCATGATTTAAGGATCCTCAAACCCAAAGGTGTAGTTTCACTAAGTAAATTTTCAATTAGTGACTAATACCTAATTCTCTAGAAGACATAACCATCCCCCTACCTTGGCGTTTAAATACGTTTGGCTAACAATTTCGGATACCCATAGTAACCGTCGACCTTTGTAAAAAATATCCTATGTGATTAAAAAAATGATTTGCTTGTCCCCTTATGCCCTGACGCTGCGTGGTTGCCGGATCATGGAATTATCCTTACCCCTTTCGGTAACGTATACACCCCTGCGACTAACCTGCATATTTTGACTGCCCTATGTAGTATGTGGTGAAATGTGTGATAGTAGCGATTAAGACAATAGGAAATATAATGCTAGTTACATATTTATTACAATTTATGTTCGCTGTGGTCGGTGTGCAATTGTTTAAGGTGAGGCTTCCGGTTAAAATGATTATTAATGCTTTAGATGTTACAAAGTAGATTAACAAATAGGATTTGTTGACATTGCCATACTATTTATTAATATTACAAGGAATTTGAGACTGAAAAGTTGCATCAGACTTATTCTATTACCGACTATATCTTCACGTCTCACGATGACTACAATACTTGTGTTAACAATATTATCTTTTATTAGTAGATAGTAGTTTATCTCACTACATATTCTAAGAAAAATGCATGCTAAATTCAGTAAGTTAATCAGATCTTGTGTTGCATGAAATCTTTCAAAATTATTCAATTTTAATTGTCACCTCATCTGTACATTCGTAATATCTAAAACGTATTTTCATAAATTAATTTCCATTATACTTTTAAAGTTTTGTAAATTAAACAATTCTTTGCTTATTTTTCATGAAATATTTTCATTTTATTTTATTAGCCTTTTGTTAGATGTCATAACATAGTCCACAAAAAATGGAATACATGTTTTCTATATGTACGTTAGAAGTTACATTTTCTTAATATGGTTGAAAAATATTAATGCGTACGTAAGTAGAAACAATTGTATAACTGTAATACATAAATATCAACATAAAATTGATAAAGCCGTGCTTAATCAATTACTTGCAGTTATTATCAAAACAAAATGTCAAAAAAATTCGTTTAGACAACCAAAGAAGTGTAACTTCAAAAGATAATAAATACTTAGATTAACACTAAAGATTTGTTTCAGGGTAAATTTTTTAGATGTAATGATATTTCTAAGATGACAAAAGAAGAATGTCAGTGAGTATCTGCTGTTTACATACATAGTTACTACAAAACTAAAAACTAATTTTTGTTTTGAATTAAACTTATTGTATGCTACTTATCTTAAATACACTTCTTTAATTTACCTACACAAAAAAGATTTCAAACTACAACAAATGCTTTTTAAGTTCGTTGCTTTATTATTAATAAAATATTGTACTATATTCCAACCAAATAATTAGCAACATTTATTCATATACAAAACGTCCTTCTAATATAGACTTGACCAAAAGCTTCCATCAAATTTCAGGGGAACCTATTTAGTATTTGAGAATCGTAATTACGTTGTAAGAGACAGGGAATGGAAACGCAACGACTTTCATTTCGACAATGTGATGAAGGGAATGCTTACTTTGTTCACTGTGTCAACGTTTGAAGGCTGGCCAGGGTATGTTTATTTAGACGATATTGTAGTATACTTACAGTTCATCTTGTAAGCACATCATTTTATTATTATGATTGTTATCCGCTTCATTAAAATGGAAGATATAGATGATGGTGAAATTTTTGCAGGTTGCTGTATGTTTCAATAGATTCAAATGCGGAGGATCGCGGTCCCATAACTAACTTCCGTCCAATTGTTGCAGCCTACTACATTATTTATATTATTATAATTGCCTTCTTTATGGTAAGTCTTGAGATTTTTACTATCTTCAATTAGTTTCTTCTATATTAATAATGAATAAACATTAATTATTATTAAGAATCATATCTAATATACATATAACAGATAATTCAACTTACTATTTCGATAAAAAAATTAATTTCCAATCAACGATACCACATATGATATTGACTGTCCCTTGCTCATTTAATGAACCACTAAAGCAATTTGCCACATTTTGTATATTTATCATAATTGAACGAATTACACGAATACAATTAAAACTTCTGTTCTTTTTTTCACAAGGTAAATATATTCGTGGGTTTCGTCATAGTGACATTCCAAAACGAGGGTGAACAGGAATACAAGAATTGTGAACTAGACAAGAATCAGAGAAACTGTATTGAGTTTGCGTTGAAAGCAAAGCCGATCAGAAGGTAAGATATGGTACTTAACTAATAAATCTCCATCTAAATATACAGTTTCTTTGAAGACACGGGCACTGACTTACCACCTTAACTCTGCTTACTTATACTGATAAACATGTTTTGTTCAAAAGGAACTTTCTGTCATCGTGGAAAATGATCGTGAATACATCTTAAGTGCGTGATTCCCTAAAATATTGTATCTAGGACATTTGGGTACTGGCGTAGCTGCATCACTTCGTCTTATCCTTTAAGACATGGCGACTTCAACGAAATAAGACCGTTTTCAACATTTAATAGTAAAAGCGTGGTTCTATGTTGTGTGGTCTCTACTAACCACTCTGTACCAGGTACCCATGGACCTATCCGTCTAAATTACTAAAGTGTCCCTGTTAATATGACTCGTGAAGCCTCAGTTTAACTCAAATTTCAAGTATAAGTATTTTTTCTGCTCAAAATTAACAGGTACATTCCCAAACACCGCATTCAATACAAAGTGTGGTGGTTCGTCACTTCACAGCCGTTTGAATATGCGATCTTCGTCCTCATCATGATCAACACCATCACGTTGGCCATGAAGTACCACAACCAGTCCATCGAATATAGCAAGGCTTTGGACATGCTCAATATGTTGTTCACGGCCGTTTTTGCCTTGGAGTTCATATTCAAACTAGCTGCGTTTAGATTTAAGGTAATCATATCTAGTCATAAGCGTAGATATACTATCTAACAAAACAATAATGACCTATTTTATATTATTATTATTATTGTCATATTTTTGTGGCTCCTCTGCCCGTATGATGTCGGCTTAGAATAGCACTACCCATTTATTTGCCGTGGTCGACTTCTAAAAGGCGACTAAGGGATTTGCCTGAGAAAGCGGCGGTAGTTCTTTTTGACGTTCAACAAGTATGTACTATCATTTATGTTGAATAATTTTTTTTTTATTTGATTTGATTTGAAAGGATAATAGACACTGAGCTTTATATGATAGCATTGCGATTTTCATCCGGCTTCTCTAATTGTTGGGAATAGTGTGGGTCTAAGCCGGTGAGTACCACAATCCTGCCTGTTTTTAATAATGCGGTCTATACCAGGATAATAGGACAGGCATTATGCAATTCCATTGAGATTCCGTTCCCACGTCTCAATTATGTGATCACCTATACTCTATTCCAATTACGAATTCCCTTTTGACACTAGAACGTAAATCTTCACGATTCGTATAATTTAAAATAATAATCATTTTTTGTTCATGATCGTACACATCATTTTTTAAATAAACACAATCAATCTAAATCATTATACAATTAGTTCACAGACACAATAATATAACAATAACATATGTCTCATGGAACTTCGTAATTGGAATAGAGTTTAATAAGAATTATATTCATATTTTTTTTATATATATCTAGAACTACTTCGGGGACGCTTGGAACACCTTTGACTTCATTATAGTACTCGGAAGCATCATTGACATTGTGGTTTCGCAAGTAAACGAATTGAAGAATCAGGTAAAATGTATAACAGTTTAGTTAGCGACAATAATGAAACACTGTGTAGTCACATCACAAAACACTGATGGCTGTATTAAATGAAAATGTGAAACAAATTCCCTTCCTTCCTTTGATTCACTACATAAGTTTTATGTATTCAATGATTAAATAAAGGCATATTTTAGAATACCTTCGAATCTAAAGTCATCATTAATATTGTTTACCGAGTTGGGTACCTAATGCCAAATTTACTTTTCGTTCAATTAGTTCTGTAAAAAATACTTCACTTTATTCCATTTTTTTATCATTTACATTTACATGGTCTAGTTACAAGCTAGACTAACATGCTTTAATAGTATTTAATTTTGCAGTTGGCTGTCAATACAAAAGATAACTCGCGTGACAATAATTCCGAAGGTTATTCTAACTCTTAATTTCTGTCGTATTTAGTTGAGATTAATTGAATAGCTGTTCACCGTCGACTCTCTTATACCGATAATATTATCTTTTAACTACACGACACTACATTATTGAAGTTATACTTCTTTAGGCGCCTTATGAAAAATTGATGAGAGTGAAATTTTACGTTACGCGCGCACCGTGACACAAAATTAACAGAATGAAGTTGCCCATTAAATCGCTCATTACAATACGACCGACGTAACTTGGCGAGTCTGAATATAGCCGCAGGTGAACTTTCCGAACCGTACCGAGAATTACCGAATTTATACGATGTGAAGAAAAGGGATGTCCAATATGCGTGTTTGAGGATGTTGTTTAATCGATTTTTTTTCAAATTGATTAAAATTTAAATAATAAAAAAAGAAATAAATTTAATAAAAATAAAGTATAACTTCTTACGCGCGTACATAAGTACACACACCCTTTTTGTTTTAGATACCAGGAAGGAAGTTTTCAGTATCAACCTATTTTAACGATTAATTTTGGTATTCATAATTTCATTTTAATACAGCGCTTAGTTACTGTCCCGGGCATGGACATAGATGTTGTAATAACAGCACACAAGCTAAAGCCGTTCACATTGTATAAATTGTTAAAGTACAGAACTGAAGATGATATCCGTTTCAGGGAAGTGGCATGCCCAGAATACATGTTGTAAAGGTGAGTAACACGCTTCCACGCGAATAACATACAACACTCTGTATATTACTTGAACATTCGAAAAAAACTTACAAAATTGCTTAGATGGGTGGACGAGCTCACAGCCCACCTGGTGTTAAGCGGTTACTGGAGCCCATAGACATCTACAATGTAAAATGCGCCGCCCACCTTGAGATATAAGTTCTAAGGTCTCAAGTATAGTTACAACGGCTGCCCCACCCTTCAAACCGAAACGCATTACTGCTTCACAGCAGAAATAGGCAAGGTGGTGGTACCTACCCATGCGAACTCACAGGATACTACCACCAGTAATAAAAGTAAAAGTAAAAGTAAAGTATGATAGAATAGACTGCTTTGCTGTAGTGAGCAAAAAAAAATTATTATGAATAAAAAATCCATAGAGAAGATCACTCGCCCAATCGACCATTTATGGATTCACTTGATCAATCAATCTTTATCAATTATTAGCAAATGATCTTTGCAGTCTTGGGAATTTCATTTATTGCATCTTTAATAATCATACATACACACATGCACGCGAGGTGTACGGAAGTAATTCAATAGTAAAGTGCTTAATATAGACATTGTTCGATCAGAAACGATGGGTTCATATTTATGGACGCATTAGAATTGTACTTCTTGTTGTGTCCATATTTTGAATATTTTTCACAATCAAAGAAACTGGTTTCAGAACGTGAATGCTAACAGATCACTCCGATCACTCCGATCGCTCAGATCTCTGAACAAAATCGTTCGAGTTCGCAACTACATTTATCAGAATGATATTTCAAACTTTGAATATTATATTAACGTATGGCATTTACGAGGTCGCTTTTGTCACGGTAGAGAACACACAAAAACACACACAAATGAAACTACACAATATTCAGAAAATGCACTAACCAGATCTAACTTTTTAAAAGCTATAGATGTTGTCTGATAAATTCAATGAAGTTGAAAGCTTTTGATGTTGAAGAAGGGACAGTAACGCGAGATATGCAAGACAACAATTCACTTACGAAATTTTAAACGTGATAGTTTTGTGAGACGCTCTTGGACTTAATACTATTTTTAGAGAGAAAGAGAGAGAGAGAGGGAGATAGAGATAGAGATAAATATGAAACGTCTGCAACTTCGTCGCACTCCTTCACATCCACCATTTTACTGGAAGATTACTGGTCATTTCTATATTTTTTATAAGTGGAGTATAGGTATTAATAGCACTATAAGCATCCTCCCGGTGAAACAGAAGATAATCAGAAGCTGAATCACACTAACGTCAATTTCAAAAAATCTTTCACGAGCCCAGGCTCTCCGTAGCGTGGATTCCATTATGATATATCCTTCGTCATACGAAGTGTTACCTCAGCAGTAGACTTTATCTTGTCTGTGACTCTGGTATTGATAGTGTCAATGAGTGCCTGTACCTCCAAACTGTAAGCTAATCCATCGATTAGCTTGCCTGCCTGTGAACATAAGAAATTTAGTTGTCAAACTTCAAATAATGGAACCGTTTATTTGTCGAACTTATCAACAAATGAGCACGCTCTGTGGAAGATCTTTATTTCACAATAGAAGACGTTCATGAAACGTTCATGCCCCTACCGATGTACAGGAACCAATAGAGTATTCTTCTACCCCTTCATCGTCACTGCTCTGTCTTTTTTTTCCTATGCTGATAGCCTTGAGAGGCTATTTCAGCTTCGCCCTAACATGTAGGTGAGCTCACGGGGCTCAAGTCGGAGTATTGCTAATACTAACCCTAGTAAGAGCAGTGCTTCGCAGAATCTACCACCGGATCGGAAACGCGACCCACTGAGAAGATCCGGCGAGAAACTCAATGGGTCGTGACTATGGGATGTCAGAGTGGTCGCATGTGTAACGTAACGATATTTTACAAACAGATACCACTCCTCCTTCCTTACTAAGCGTCTGGTGCCACGTGCACAGGCCAATGCGTTATAACCCTGATAAGAGTGTATTCAAACACAGAAATACAATTTGATTCTGAATCTATATATTTAAATGCGATCTCTCCTCGGATTCTTCGATAAATCTAAAAACGCCAGTTATACGAAGATTTTATTCCCTTCTTAACTCTTAATTTTTGAGATTGGTAAATCCGCCATACGATGCAAATGAAACTTCTGACTGTTTTAAGACAATGTCATTTATGTTATGATATCTATGGGGTCCGATAACCACTTAACAGGTGGTAGACTGTGAGTTTGTCTGCCAAAAGCAGAGGCAATGAGAAGTCAAAGATATATTATGTAGTTGATCCGAAATGCACTTTTAGAGTCATACCAAATGATGAAACTGAAATAACTGATTAAATATTTTTTTGTGACAATTAAACTAGGAATTCTTAACTCTATAGTACATGTATTTATTGATATTTTTAAACACTGAGATGGTAATATGCTTCGCAATTGTTATGATCAAGAGTCAGTTCATCAATTTGTCACTTGCGGGGTCTGCAATCCCAACCGCTTCCACTTGCCGGGTTCACGGAGTACCAACTGTAACAACGGCTTCATAAAATATTATACCATGCTCAAACAACTAGTATTTATATCTGCTTAAATATATAGGATTTTCTGTACACATTAAACTACCGATGTTTTGTCATAGTATGCGTTCCAAATATCTTTAAAACAAAGCAAAAAAAAAAAAAAAACTAGCTGACCCGGCAGACTTCGTAGTGCCTCAATCGATAAATAAAAGACCTAAACTTTTGTATAAAATAAACTTAAAACAACAAAAGGAATCCGTCCGACGGGGGAAACATCAAAGGAAAAACAAAATTGTTATTTTTATTTAATTTCGAGCATTTTCATATTTATTTTAAGCCTTTTAACCCTTCTCTGGACTTCCACAAATCAATCAAGACCAAAATTAGTCAAATCGGTCCAGCCGTTCTCGAGTTTTAGCGAGACTAACGAACAGCAATTCATTTATATATCTTACACGTGTTTCCAGGAGAGCTCAATACCGTCGATAAACTTCTTCCGTTTGTTTCGTGTGATGAGACTCGTGAAGCTGCTGTCCAGGGGCGAAGGCATCAGAACGTTGTTGTGGACCTTCATAAAGTCGTTCCAAGCCCTCCCGTACGTCGCTCTGCTGATACTGATGCTGTTCTTCATTTATGCTGTTGTGGGCATGCAGGTAAATACGCTATCGGCTTGGAAAATAACCTACAAATTTGGATGTAGCATCCAGTGCAAAGTACTGTAACATCTCATTTGAAACTTTCAGGTATTCGGAAAGATAGCAATAGACGACAATACTCCGATCACAAGGAACAATCACTTCCAGACATTCCCGCAGGCTATATTAGTGTTATTCAGATCTGCCACAGGTCCGTGTTTGACTTACTTTATCAGCAAATTCATAATTGCAACGTTGTCGGACTGGGGATAATTAAATATTCAATGTCAATAGGTGAAGCATGGCAGGACATCATGATGGGAGTGTCGCCAGACTCTGAGGTCAAGTGCGATAAGAATTACCACGAGGAAGTGGGAGAGGACAGCGAAGGCACCTGTGGAAGTGTTTTAGCATTCCCATATTTTATATCGTTTTATGTGTTATGTTCTTTTCTGGTGAGTTCTTTAGGAATATTATTATTTAGCTTCAGTTTCATATTAAGTAGTTTTGTTCTAAGCTGAAGTGGGCGGATGAACAGTACCCCTTCCTCATTCACTTATAATCTATATTTCTATACTATAATATTATTTAATATTATAATTATAAAGAGGAAAGATTTGTTTGTTTGTTTGCATTGAATAGGCTCCGAAACTACTGAATCGATTTGAAAAATTCTTTCACTGTTTGGAAGCTACACAAACCCCAGTGACATGGGCTATAATCTTTTTTTTTAAATTAGGGATCCTTATTAAAACTCCTATAATGTCACCCAAGATGTAAAAAAATACCTAAAATATTATTTACATCGCGTGCCCTGCGAAAACTATTGATGATATAATAAAATAATGTACTACGACTTTGTAGAACATATTATTATTTACAAAAAGTGTCGCGACAGCATATGTCTAACTATTATAGTTATGCCGCAATAAGTGTTCTTTTATTTTAAAAAATAAAACAACGTCAAACATCGTTGAAATTTTTGTTAAAGACCCGAGCGAAGCCGGAGCGGGCCGCTTGTGTTAAATAATCACGTGAATATGTCATATTCCGTTAAATCCCCCATTCGAGCGTGCGTCCTTATGCTCCCGAACGCATAAATCACTGTAATAAAAATCAACAGTTTTGCCAAACTCTATTTCCGGTCCGAATGATCTGTTTCTATATCATGTCCAAAAGTTAATGTTCATATTATTACTCGTATTGTGGGTGGAGTCAGGTACAGATTTATTAGAATGTCTATGACATATGAGGCCGTCCGCGCAAAAGTGGCCTAAGCTTACCATAGTTAGTATGGAGCCAATTAGGTTTGAATTTTCTTGAATTTGAATTTGAGTAGGCAAAAAACAATACGTGCAAAAATAATTTTTACAAAGCTATCTGTTATTTATGGGTGAAACTATGGATAGGCCGGAATTGCATCAAAATTTGTTATATTTAAAAACAAATCCAATATAAGTCATATAAGCTTGAATATAAAAAATTGTGGTTTAGGCCACTTTTGCGCTGATAGCCTCATATAAAATCAGAGTAATAAGGAGAAATTTATTACAAAATATGTCACTTCTGACTGCTGAAATAGTAGCGGTCATTGCTTGCTGGCTATGTGTGATTAATTTTCATACAGTGGTGATTACTTATTTAAATCACCAGCTGGTTTCAGCATGCGAGAAAAAAGAAAAAAACAACGAAATTACTGATAATTAAAAAAAATTAATTCAACCTACCATTCAAATTAAATAACATTTCAGATTATCAATTTATTCGTTGCGGTCATTATGGATAACTTTGACTATCTAACTAGAGATTGGTCAATATTGGGACCACACCACTTAGATGAATTTATAAGGTATTTTCAAATACATTCTATTTATTTGGCTTTCGTTATAGAATACAAATTAATTATCTAATCTGGTCATAAAACAGAAATAATATTTCTATACCTTACTAGCAAAATAACAGCGTATAAGATACGTAACCATTGGGTCTGTAGCGCCGGTATTCAGGCCCTCAGACAGGTTCCGACTTTTCTAAACAAATTACGTACTTATCATAAGTACACGAATGTCTTCCACGATGAACGAAAAACTAAAATCTTGTAATAAAAAGCAAGCGCACAAAGTTTATAAATTTGTTTAATTCCCCTATAATACTTTTTTCTGCTGAGAAGCATGGGTTCAAACATTCCGATTTGTAGAGGTGCAGCCGATATATGCATATATTTACTGGTGTTAGGACCTCTTGTGAGTCCGCGCGGGTAGGTACCACCACCCCACCTATTTCTGCCGTGAAGCAGTAATGCGTTTCGGTTTGAAGGGTGGGGCAGCCGTTGTGACTATAATGAGACCTTAGAACTTATATCTCAAGGTGTGTGGCGCATTTACGTTGTAGATGACGATGGGCTCCAGTAACCACTTAACATCAGGTGGGCTGTGAGCTCGTCCACACATAAGCAATAAATAAAAAATTATACAACTGCGAATTCGACTTCATTTCCAAATGTCTTCAATAAATAAATTGAAAAAGCACCGGTTCCAATCACCAAGGATGCAACTTACCCTGCTTCTCATTTTTACAATATGTTTTTATAATCAAAATGTTCTTGTTTTCAGACTTTGGAGCGAATATGACCCTGACGCAAAGGGTAGAATAAAACATTTAGATGTAGTTACTTTACTAAGAAAAATAAGTCCGCCTTTGGGTAAGTGGTGCGCTACATTACTACAATTAGCTTATTTATTACATTATATTTACGGACTCTATCATTCCTCTGACGTTAATTGGTTACCAGAACCGATAGATATTTAAAATTAATAAGACGGCCCAACTTCTCACATCAGACAGAAATCCGTATGGTATATCTGCTAGCCTGCCCTGCAAAAGGGACACACAATTACTTTGCACCAAACGGGTATGATGGTGCCACTCGCCTGAGCGCGTTCTCGTCAATTTAAAGTGAAACTGACCGATTATTTAAGTCTGGCCGAACGGAAAATTATTTTAGGTGGTCTTTTAGGAAAAGTCTTTTAGGGGGGCCCCTGATGTTTCCCCCAAATTTCCTTTTATAACCACTCTTGAACCAAATCTGTTTCTCTCTAAAATAAAAAACTTAACAATAGGTAATTCGTAAATCCTATTCACAAACATAATGTTATGTTGATCGCAAACTACATACAGACTATAAGACCGGGTCAGTTATTGTATCTCTGGGTTACTTTTATGGGCCATTTTAACATTCCCTATGTCCAAACGCCCACGCAGTTGAGCAGCCCAAGCTTAAAGCGCAATGCTGTTACTAAATCAAATTTAGCGTTAAGTCAAATAAAATTAGCGATCACATAACGGTCACTGACCCTAACTACTGTACCATTGGGAATCTTGGTTAAAGACATTGCTATACGGGATGTAGATTTGTCTATACCCCTAAAACGGGTAACAATTCTATATGAACGTCGTGGGATAAACGTTTATCTACGCCAATAAAAGGGGCTTACACAGAAATTATGAATATCTAGGATTCGGCAAGCTCTGTCCTCACCGCGTTGCCTGCAAACGACTAGTTTCCATGAACATGCCTCTCAATTCGGATGGCACTGTTCTCTTCAACGCTACACTGTTCGCCGTCGTCAGAACTTCATTGAAGATCAAAACGGATGGTAAGACGATGCGAAATTTTTTTTAATGTCTTTAGTAAGGTACGATGACACTACCCTGTTAACTTACTACCGAAGTGACTAGCGTGGGTCCTGTCAACTACAATCTACTCTAAGACCTCAGTTCCTAGTCGCAATTGTTTGGTACAACGATTGCCCGTTTCTTCAAAGATACGGATGACTGTTTCGCGTTGTTACGTTCAGAATACAACCTACTACTAACTAGTAACTGATTTCTGCGGTGAAGCAGTAATGCATTTCGGTTTGAAGGGTGGGGCAGCCGTTGTACTGTAAAAACGGAGACTTTAGAACTCATATCTCAAGATAGGTGGTGGCATTTACGTTTTAGATGGGCTCCGGTAACCACTTAACACCAGGTGAGCCATGAGCTCAGATTGGCCGTGAGTACGTCCACTCACCTAAGCAATTAAAAACATATTAGTAATTTACTCATTAGCAGTTACTAATTAGTAGTAGTAAGTAAGAGTTTTTTACAATTCTAAGCTTCGAAAATTAGGATCAACAAGCTGTTTAATTTTATTACAAACATCATCATTATCCTGCCCTTCTCCCAGTCACCTGGGGTCGGCGCAACATGTCCTCTCCTTCCACACTCTTCTATCATATACCACTTCTTCGCTCACTCCCCTCCTACCCATATCGTCTTTCACACAATCCATCCATTTCTTCTTAGGTCTACCTCTTCCTCTAAATCCTTCCACATTCATAGTTAACACTCTCTTAACAACCTCATTTTCATTCCGTCTCATCACATGTCCATACCATCCCAAACGTGCACTCCTCAGCTTCTCTGTCACAGGTGCCACTTTCAGACTTCCTCTAACATATTCATTCCGTATTCTATCCATTCTCGTTACTCCACACATCCATCGCAACATTCGCATCTCTGCTGCATGCAATCGCCTTTCATCCGCCACTTTCGTTGTCCAACACGCTGATCCATACAAGACGGCAGGCCTTATTAAGGTCTTATATATCTTCCCTTTTAGACCTTTTTCCTTTTATTACAAACATAAAATTAAGAATTAAATAAAAGAAGGAGTTTGAATATGAGATAAATTAATGTTTACGCAGGTAACATTGACGACTGCAACACAGAATTGAGAGCAGTGATAAAGAAAATCTGGAAACGCACATCACCAAAACTCCTGGACCAAGTAGTTCCTCCACCAGGCGACCCCAACGAGATCACAGTCGGAAAGTTCTACGCCACCTTCCTAATCCAAGACTACTTCAGGAGGTCAGTAAGCTCGATAATTAGTAATACTATATATGCATACGTCCATCAGTGTTAATGATGTCCATTGTGGAAAACTAGATTAGGTTTAAGCAGATACTTGAACATATACAATACGTGACAGCAGTACTGTATGGACTTCAATTATGTGTAAAAAGAGCTAATGATGATGAATTCCGTCATGCAAATAATTATGTGAAAGCAATTTTTTCATAGCAGCTAAAACTTGCTATTATAAGTCCGGGGCTTGAAGCTTAAAACTTCCAAAGAATCACATAAAATCGTGTTAAGTTCAAGTTCTTTTTCACTAAAAATACATTTGCATTGTTGTGTATAGTTTGGTGACGAAACGGAAACTCCTTGTTGAAAGCTATTAAAAGTTTCCCAATAAAAGTTTATAAAATCCGTATGTGTTTGTATGTGTTCAAACGGAATGATAGCGAAAATCCAAATTAAGATAATCTCGGTAAATTATAATCCAAGAGAAGTAATGTAAATAAATTCGGTGTTAGATATTATTATGACGTCCGATGTATTTTGTTTCACCACAGAATCTCCATTTCTTTTCTTAATTTCTATGTTTATGTTTAACACATGCAATTTTTGTTCCATAGGAACCACGCGTAAGTAACGCATCTTGCAGATACGTATGTGATAAGGAACGAATGTACCCTATAATTTAGTTTTACCAGAAAAATCCCTGAATATACCTAATATGATTAATACTGGAGCCATTGTAACCTGAAGATTGCCAAACAGTGTAATTTTAAAACTGCCTGTTGGACCCCGCATGGTTCCATTGTGTATACCCCAAGAAGCAGTGTTGTAATGGCATACACTATTAGCCCAGCAGTGACAATTGATATTAGACGGCTTAAAATGGGCTCACTTAAAAATATATTTTCGAAATTCGTATGCACTGCAGAATGTAGCGTTATTACTCTTAATGTCAAGATTATCTTGTTCAGGATTAGCCTTTTGAAATCGCTATCAGCATGCCCCTTTAATGAGATGGTGATAATTTCGAAATGTTTTCGTAAATTGCATAATATTGTTGTTGTGTTTTCCCAACATTTGTTTTCGGCTTAGGGCATACGTGCGTACTTTATTATAGTTAACGCAGAGTAGATAGTTAAGACAAATAAGAATAATGTAGGGATGTACTTAGTGAAGAAAATATTTGACTAGATCCTAAATTAATTCAGACATACCTACTATCTTATTTGTTAGATTAGATTTATAAAGAGATTAGATATAGGTATGTTAGTTTAAAATATTAATGATATATGTAGAAACGATCAGCTTAAAGATGAAACAAGAAATACTTAGTTGATAGATGGCACTAGAAAGGTTGGTACTAAGTTTTATCAATAAATTAAATATGTGATTTCAAACCAAAGGTTCAAAAAGCGGAAAGAACAAGAATTAAGGCAAAATGATGAGCAAACGCATCAGATGACGCTGCAAGCCGGATTGAGGACTTTGCATGAAGCCGGGCCGGAACTAAAGAGGGCTATCTCTGGTAATCTGGATGATATAACGGCCGAGTTAGATGTACCTATGCATAGGGTGAGTGCTGCTATGTGAATTATTGAATTTTCAGAAATAAAAAAGGTGCAGAAGGGTAAAAAGATCATTGATTACATTGCTATCGTGCATATTTCTGTCGTGCATCAATAATATGGATTTCAATAATAGGCATTGTTCAATTAAGAATTCGTCTTCAGTAATCTCACTAGTCTCAATCGTCACTAATTTGATTCCGAATTCCAAATAAACTCCAATCATTAACATAAAAAAAAACAATAAGAAATAAATGAAAGTATTCAAAGTTTTTAACACATTATTTTTTAGAGAAATCACTCGCTATTTGGAGGTGTTTGGTCAAGTATACGACGGCACGGTCCTAACAGACATCTTCATAGACACAGAAAAGAGCCGCCGCCAGGTAAAAATAAACCAAATCTTTTATATCCCAATATTGACTATGAGAAACTACTCCATTGCAATTTTTATCATTCGCAGAGGCTGTTGGCAATCATTTAAGCTCCTTAATGCAGAAAGAATATGGGGTTGGACCGTTGCCGCTGACACCCAATTTGTAAGCATTGAAAATAATTTTCGTTGAATTTATTTTGCATTGGATTTTGAAGAGGTTATAATTATTACTTTTTTTTTTAATAAGGGCAAACGGACAACCAAAAGAACAGATACCAATGAGGCCTCTTATACTAAACGGTGAATCAGAAAAAATATATCAAGTCTTAGAGTGAGTATTTTTTGGAAACGATACGAACTTAAACTTAACGAAATCATGCATTCTAGTAATGTCCTACTCACAGGAAATAAAATACAATTTAATAATCGATTAATATTTCACTCGATTTTAAATACCTAAATAAAAAAAATGCTTATTATATTACAGAAAAGCCACAAACGAACTAAAGAACGCTATTCATCAAGGTAGTCGGACGTGTGGTTTTAACTTTTCTCAATAACTTGCAACGTTTTCTTTTAACTCACACATTTTTCATCTCATTCTCTCGCCTTTCTAACTAACCACTACCGTAACTAACGTCACTTTTTTTTTCGTCACCGCCTTCTTGTGGATCGGTACGTACGATAGCAACCAAAAGTCGAACTACCCCGAAATGCTCGGGCAGATCGGGCTCGCGTTCGGGTGCGTGAACTACTTGTCGGCGGCGGGAGGGAGCTCGCGACAACGCGTGCACCCAGAGGACGACGAGCGAGCGGAGACGATCCAGCCGAAGATATCGCCGCTGCTGGCGAGCGCCTGCACTCCCACGACGGAGGCGCGCACGATGACGCTGTACGGCTACAATGCGGCGGCGCGGTTACCGTTCGCGTTCTCTCACGGCGGACGCCGGTCGCTCCGCGCGTGTCGCACGGCGCCGGCGGTGGCAGGTCGGATGGTGCGCAGCGCGTCATCGGGCGCCGCGCCCCGCCTCGCCCCGCACGCCGCCGAGCCCCGCCCCCACCCAGGTCGCGCACGACCCCATCCCTCCCTGCCTCTTCCGACCTTTTCTCTTAAACTCAACCTGAACGTCTATTTCAATCCTTTTACAATTTTCTAAATTCATTCCTTTAGCTGTGACGTTCTGAATAATATGTCTAGCTACTACTTGTCTTAAATGTTTATATTTTTTTATTTTTTTTATTAACCTCCAATTTGATATGAATTGTTATAATTGTTTTTAGTTAAAATTACGAGTTTTAACTGAGTATAGCCTTTATATTCGAAAATTGATGTGCATACTCTAAGTTTACAGGAATGTTTCCGACTCAGCTTATCCTAATCCGGTAAAAAACAAATCACAAAAGCAAATCCACTCAAAGGCTTCTATCGATCTCATACAATTCGTCATNATTAACCTCCAATTTGATATGAATTGTTATAATTGTTTTTAGTTAAAATTACGAGTTTTAACTGAGTATAGCCTTTATATTCGAAAATTGATGTGCATACTCTAAGTTTACAGGAATGTTTCCGACTCAGCTTATCCTAATCCGGTAAAAAACAAATCACAAAAGCAAATCCACTCAAAGGCTTCTATCGATCTCATACAATTCGTCATGATATTTCACCCGAATTATTACACTTCACGATTTATGCACAAGTTTGTTTCGAATAATCAATTCGTTTAAATGGGTTCAGAGTAAAGTTGATGATATAGCTCTTCAAGGATATGAAGAATGAAAGCATTACAAAACTAACGGCACTGGAACTAATCCACTTAATGAGCATGATCACGTCATCTCGATCGCTAATTACGCAATTAGAATAGATGGAAAATTAGAAGGCTTTTAGTAAAAACAGTTTTTGACTAACATTTCGAATGGTTTGCACAGAATATGAATCGTTCAAATACATTCACGATAACATATAACAATAGTTAAATAGTAAAAATAATATCATTGTATTCATCGCTTGAATAGAGCGCGCGGCTTAAGGCTTTGGACCTAGTTCTTTAGAAAAAATATTTAGTAGACATATTTTAAACATCTCAGTAAGTGATACTCCTTAGATAACTGCTCTTAAATTCTGTAAAATAGTAAATACGCAGTCTTCAAAGTTAATGTGGTTAAAATTTATTCAGAAAAAAAAAGAAATACTGCATAATACTTCTAGAGAAAAATAATAACTATTTAATCCTTCTCTCCTGTCACTTTGAAAATCTATGAATTATTCTAAGACACTTGCATAATCACAACAATGTCATCAAGAAATACATGTATAAAACGTTAATTGTTGGAACAGGAACCGATAGCGCTGGTAGAGGCGTTGTATCGCTGCCAGGAAGTCCCCGCGGAAACAGCTCCTCACTACCAGTAGTAGGCTCCGCAGAAAGCCTAGTCACTAGAGTAAGTATATTTTTATGTTAACTTTTTATTGGTGGAAACCATTAGACGTATCAATGGTGAATACGAGCTTAGTTCTAAATATTAGAAGCAAAATGACTATTATGATTAGTATCATCGTAACTAATACTGTGTTTAGATACTACAACTATCGATACTACTACTACTACTACTACTACTACTACATTTAAATGGAAAATCTTAGCGGCAATTGAAGATTATAAACTATTTTACAGAATAGTCTAAGTCTAATGACTATCCTACAGGAATAGGTGAAGATAACATTGAGAAGGTTACCGAAAAGTCACTATCCTCAACAATGAGAGGACGACTGAAAAGAAGAAGAGTGATATTCAACTTACTAAGTCGCAAAGCTCTGTCTGATATATTGTTAGCGCAAAGAACAATCCTAAGGAAGAGAAAATAAAAACTATAATCTAGAAAACAAAAGTTACTCTTTCTCTACAAATTACTTAATACATTTCTTTAACGCAGGTGTTGACTGAACAAGGACTAGGAGAATACTGCGATCCAGAGTTCGTCAGGAACACTTCTAGAGAGATGCAGGAAGCACTCGAGATGACAGAAGAGCAGATGGACAGGTTAGTTAGTCGAGTTATTTCCTATCACCTTCTGCGCTTACGATGACGTGGAGTATTTTTAGTTCTGGTCTTAGGTCTTAATAATTACTAAGAATATGTTCATTTCCCAGAGCGGCTCATCAGCTGATGATTCACGAAAAGAATTTGAAGCAAGCTCAATGTCAACCAACTCAAGTTGTAAGTATAATTATTCTCAAAAATAAATTAACTAAGATATTTCTTTAAAAAACTATAAGGTGGATAATATTTTGAAATTGCAATAAACTAATTTTCATTTAAAAAGAAAACCTAGCATTAATTAACGATAATTAAATCAGCAGTTTCAACATGACGTCCCTTACACAATCATATTTAATAAAATTCAATCTCATCTCAACATTCCAATTACATTGTCCTATTGTCATGAGCCATAGATATTATTAAAACTACTCTCTTGGCTTAACTTGGGAAGCCGAAAATAATAGAATAATAAAAATAAGAAAGTAATAAACATTTTTTTATCATTAAGACATGTAACAAAAATATGATAAAAATGAACAGGAAATATTTTTGTTGATTAATAATTAAATTCTGACCCCAACTATACCTACAATATTATGTTTTAACCAAATTGTTCTCCAACAAAAATAATTTCAGGAAACCAACTATCTTATCAATGATCTAAAAGTAAGTAGTAGTGAAAAATGAGTATGAAACAGACTGTTTAATAGTGTGGACTATTCTGATTGACAATATAAAAAAAAACTGCACGTTTGGCAGAGTTTTTTTTATAGCTTTGTTGGGTGGACGAGCTCACAGCCCACCTGGTGTGAAATTGTTACTGGAGCCCATAGACATCTACGACGTAAATGCGCCACCCACCTTGAGATATAAGTTCTAAGGTCTCTAGTTTAGTTACAACGGCTGCCCCGCCCTTCAAACCGAAACGCATTACTGCTTCACGGCAGAAATAGGCAGGATGGTGGTACCTACCCGCGCGGACTTACAAGAGGTCCTATCACCAGTAAAGAGTTATTTTTTATTACTATTTCGTTTTTTTTCTTTTTCTCCTAAAAATTAAAAAAAGTTTTGAAACATTGTGTAACGAGTGTATAGGCTGATGCTTGGGTTATAGGGCGACATCGTAGCCCGCAAGTTCCACCCTTTTCACCAGCCAACATCGATGCCTCCCCCGGCCTGCGAGCGGTTATAGCACCGACCTCCAAAGCCACGCGGCCGTCCCGCCACCGACGGAAGCGGAAACGAAAACCTGTGTTGGTTTAATGGCCGCCGTTGCAGAAACATATGGATCGCAATGCTCCTTTGAAATTCAGATATATGAACGTCAACGCGCTGTCGATTTATGATTATCGTAATGAGTTTCGTTACGATGAAAATATTGTATAAAACAGCGTTTTAGAATGGCGTTCAATCTTTTCAACTCTGAATATATAGCCGAATTCTTTAGTGGCTTAAGTAAAGAGTGGACTAATATTATGTGCGTAACGTGCAGATCGGGGTGTTGAATTCTTTATTACATATTATGTTGTTTAATGGCCACGGTTACGCAATTTGAGAAATCGCATATGAGAGTCCGTTTCTGTGCAAGTACATTGCAATGCATAATTCTGATTGCATTTTAAATCCCAGGACGTATTAATAGATATACGAATTATATCTAAAAGTGTCAGCATATAAAACTTACGCCACTATTGAATTTATATAAAAAAATGTCTCGCAATTTTGACATGGACATGTTTTATGCTCAAAGGTTTTTAATTTTAAATTCGACCATTCACAAACTTTATCTTATTATTGTAATATAAGAAACACAGTGAGATACGTAGTTAAAATTTAGTGTAGAAAGTAGATTTTGTAACGATAGAAAAAACTAAAAGGGCCATTTTAAAATGTTTGATAGTTCTAAATTAATTAAATGCTCGCGAGATGCAAATGTTCTTAATTATGTTTTGGAGAGAGCAAAGAGTATGATGTATAACAATATTTAGGGGGACTAAGAAAGGTTAACTTTAATTAAAAAAAAAAGGGAACGTCTTAGCAGATGACATTTTCAAAATTGTCAACTTCCAAAATCTTTCATATAACGTTACGAGATTTGCTCTCTGTTTAAAAAATCTTAAGAACAGCACTTTAATCTTTCAGTATTAAAACTAAATTTTTACATTATAGAATATACCTATACGATTAGAAATTTGCCTAAATTTTCAATTTCTTTCAGATTTATAACCAAATTATTTTATTGTGAATCTGAAATTCATAACAAATCCGTGACAATACTACTACTTATACAATTAGCCCTAAGTATATGGGTGTTCCAATTTTCCGTAGTTGTGACATGAGGTTTGACTAATGCAAACCTGAAAATTGTAAAATATACCTATAAGCCAAAATATAACGCAATGAAAGAACTTTACAATTCATTTAATTTTAAATATAAGATTTTAAAGACAATTAGTGAGAAATATTTTGTTTTGTGAGTGTGTCCTATAAAAGGAAGACCGTCATGCTTGATAATCTACTTGGAATTTTTATAGAGGTAAGGTATTCGGAAATTTTGCCAGCGTGATTCCTTATTTGGTCAGTCGAGTTCCAAGCTGGAGCTTGATTGAATTCCCTTCTGTGACGATCTATGTCGATTTAAATATTAAGCAATATATTATTTATTGATTTTAAACTAAAAAACCCACATCTTTTTAATAATATTCGTTAAAGCAAAGCTACCAAACTTCAATACGTTGATTTTAGTGATCGCCAGTCAGTGAGGTTCTGTTACCGTGTTATAGTATATTCATCAGAAATACCTAGGAAAAATTACAAAGGTATCTCTACCAAATATATCCTATCGTTTAAAATTCACTAATAGTGTTAATCTACTTCTTTAGTTCTTGATTAGTGACTCTTTTACTGTGGAAGCTCGATTCATGACCGAAAGCACTTTTTGACGTGACAACGTCTTATAATTCGATGGAGCCGGCTGCACGCACGAAAAAAAATCATCATGGGGCGTTACCTCTCTCTGAGGCGTTTAATTTAAGGCTTGAAGTGCAAGCGAGAGCGCGCAACGAGCGACAAAGAGGCACAATCGGCCTCCGCGTTCGGCAGCGTTCGACATCTGTCTCTCTCCTACTTGAGTGAGCGATGCGTCCGCGTGGAAAGCTGCTATACAATAATACATTTACATGTTTTCGTCAAGTATGAAGTTCAGTGAAAAGTGAATGTGGTGTTAATTGTTTATAGCAACGATAATTGCGATAATTGAAATTCCATCAGTATTTTCTTATGACGTTGTCACGTTCAACTATCATCAGTAAACCGACTTTACAGACAACAGTTTTTTTTATAAATATTGGATACCTACCCGTAGTTTGTGTGTGCTTACTTATTGTCTTGTATGCTTGGAGCGGTTATTTAATACACTGCAAGACATGATTACCCTACTCCATAATGATTAAAGAAATTTAAGTTGATTTGGTTTGATGCAGAGTGCTTACCGTTAGGCCTTTGGACCCAATTAGTAGTGCAAGGTTTCCCAAAAACTAACCAGGATAGAGAAATAAAAAATCTGTACATGTATTAAAACCTTAGACTTGCTTTGTCTATACCTATATTAAATACATAACTGTGCAAAAAAACTAGCCGTAAAAAAAGACATTTATTATTTATGTTTGTCTATGACGGTTTTCTGAACTTTAAGCTATTTTTAATAAGGTAATAAATTTCCTTGCAAAGCCATTAAATCTTCAAAAAAAAAAACAAATCAATAAAATTTTAAAAACAATTTTAAATCAAAACATTTAAAACAAATCAATTTTAAAAATTTTTGTTCCAATTTTTATTAACGTGAAATCTCTTAAGCAATCTAAATTTATAGGTAAATTTATCTTACTTTAAATGAATGAAATCTCGAACACAGCGCATGTTGTCCTTCATTAATTACAAGATCGAAAGAGACAAATAAGTTGTAAATTAGATTTATTATTACAGCTAAAAGCAAGAGGGGGCTTATCCGCCGATCGTATTTTGCCAAATTAGTTATCATTCGATACATGTAATCTTAAAACTTCCTTGTTATAATATATGGTAATACAAATTAAATATGTACTCCCAAATAATTCCTCAAAGTAAATAACATGAAGATTTTATGGAATTCTTGTAGTGTCGTCCTTCCTACTCAATCGTGTAACGCCTCTATTTGTCTCGTCAGAAACCGACAGAGTTAAAAATCGGCTATTTTATAGCTAAATTACATTATAGTAATTGTAATGAAAGACATACCTAATTAAACATGTACTGTTTTTGATCATTTCGATAAAATCAAACGTCTCCTTAGACGATCCGAACACTGCCTTAGATTAATAACAACGCACAATTTTAACCTAAGTAGCTTATACACGGCTAGTTGTAAAAAACAAAATAAGTAGGTATTGGTAAATTAATCAAAATCTTGCAGGTTTGTCGATGAGTTAGAGATAGTTACTGTATTAAGTGCTCTTGTTTAGAAAAGATGTAGTCTAGTAAATGGTATTATATAGGTAAATTCAAAAATTTCATAACCAAACATCATTTACCATGTGTCATGTTATTAACCATTTAACCACAATGACATGACAAGCAATATATTATGTATAAAACTTAACTGATAGCCACATGATAGCCACAATATTGAAAACGTGAATTCGAAAATTATTTACTAATTCACGTTCTATTTTACTGCTAAAATTCAGGTTTCAAGCATTTGCATAAAGTTTCGACTAATTTAACAAATAAATAAAGAATAGGGCACGTGCAGCAAAGCATCTAAAAATAGTGAGTTAAATAACTAAATAATATTTAGTAATTCTAACCACTTTTCGCTTTAAGCTATGAGAACACACATTATCCGTTCTGGATAACTATTGTGTGTTCGTTCTTCATCTAAGGTTGATTTTTCGTACATTTTGGCTACAATTAGGTATGGTCACAAAATTATTGTGTTTAGCAGCGTTTCTTAAACAGCCGTTATCATATTTTCTAGTACAGAAGGAGGGGTTTCCTGCTGTTTTATGTATGTGGCGATAATAGAATGACACCTAAAAGGGCAAAATAAATAAATTAGATAGGTAGTTATTAATATAAAATAATAATGTTAACCGGTAACAGCAAGCAGCATCAAGGATCGATGACTGAACAACTGATAGCGCATTTCTTGTTTTTTTGGCACAGTCATTTCAATGAACATGTAATAAGTCAAATTTTCATTTTAAACAGCAAATAAAATGCCTCTGCCATTTTCGCCAGCCGTAGTAGACATAATTAAAATTAGTTTTACGGTTTGATCACGCGTCATTATTTCCAGACAAAGATTTTTTTTGTTTGAGCGCGAGGAGTAATGTTGTGTCAATTGTTTTATTTGTCAATTGCGTGTTTCTTTCCAGTGGATGGTAGAGTTAAGGAGCACCGGTTTTGTATAGGAGACAGGTTGAAAGATGTCCATCTGTAAAAAGCAAATTATTGTTGGAAGACTCAACGAAATAGCGCTAGTGTAGGAAGTGGAAATGATATGAATATAGCAGTTTTAAACAGAGTGAATCCGGTCATTGTTCTCGTCAAACCCGTCGCTTGCGTCGAAGGGCTCGACGAGTAAATTAACCCACAGACACAGCCCACTGAGTTTCTTGCCGGACCTTCTCAGTGGGTCGCGTTTACGATCCGGTGGTAGATTCTGCGAAGCACGGCTTTTACTAAGGTTCGTGTTAGCAACGTCCTCAGGTTTTAGCCCCGTGAGCTCACCTACTAGTTAAGGTTCCGCTGAAATAGCCTCTCAAGGCTATCAGCTTAGGTAGGAACAAAAAAAAAAATTGTGCTGGATTGACGTGAAGTTTGGTAGTTTATGGCGCTGTTTTTAAAATCTTTCCACTTTCTATTAAGGCGCCATGTTAGTTGGTTGCCTTAGCGGACACTTTTTAAAGCAGTGAGATGGTGCTTCTTACTTCTACTCTCCATATTATTCTCAGTCTCGGACATAGATAATACCACAGGCCTGTATTCGGAACGTCATGAGTAAAATAAATATAAGAATTGCAAAGCGATACCAGTCCAATCGCACTGGCGATTCATACGTTAATTTACGCGTATTCATTATTAAGTAGATACCGCAAAATTACCGGAACAAATCGCTCGCAGCAGTCGCTCGTCCTCTTTTAACACGTTAAGCACATAAACTAAGCACAGATATCCCATACGAGCCGAGACTAATCCTGCTTATTACAGTTTACGACGGTAGCATCGTCTTTTTAATTCAATTTTCATACCCAAACACATAAGACATTTAATCTTAGTCTAATAACTGATAAATTATTCTGTACTTTTAACGTCTACTCTATCGATTGTGCTACTAAATCCTACTTCGATTTTATATGTTTTTGGGAAAATATATAACATGGTAACAGGCTTGTATTAAAATAATATCTATCATATAAAAACGATTATAGAATTTGAAGTTTAATTTCATAACATAAGCATGAACATTACGTACAGTAGCGTTGCACACAACAATCCTTCTCTACTGTTATGGTGCCAAGAAAAAACGTTTATTTTTAATCTTTAAGGATTTGATGACTGATGCGACTAAAAATAAGACAAACTAGAAAAATCATGGACGGAATTGTTTTAATTTCTGTCAATGAGATTAAAATGTTAATAATGACAAACTTTCGGAAATCTTACAAACGTTTACAAGCACGTTGTCGAATTTATTGTATTCATTCAGAAACCAATACCACTAGCCGGCGGCAAAAGTCCACAGATGGATTAGTAAAGTGATTTAAATCTTATACTTGTAATCGGTGAGTGACCACTATGTACCTCATGGTGTCAAATGGCTAGGAAACCCAATAGAAACTACAATAATTGGAATGCAGTAGTTTAGACAGTAGGTGGGCCACAGGTGCTGAGATAGCGAAGTAGTTTTGATACATGGATGTCGGCTTCGAACTGGCAAGGGTAGACTTTCAATACGCCCCTAAATCGCAATTTTTATGCTTTGCGATCTCGACCCAATGTTTCCAAGCGTGCGTCATCCACATTGTGCTTTTTGTCATATTAGATGGGTGGACGAGATCACGACCCACCTGTTGTATCTATAGACATCAAATTCCACCACCCATCTTGGGACATTAGTAATGTTAAGACAAAATTAGATTTGAAAGATTTAAACATTTCCCAGATTACTGAGGCACTACTGTGTGGTAAAAGATATATAATAAATATAATGTATATTTTCCATGTTACAAACCCATTTCAAATTAAATTATGATATTATGAATATTCAATTTATTAATATAAATATTTTCAAATTTTTGTGATACATAATTACAATAATAAATGTATTAGTGAAAGAATTTGTTCTAAAATTTTAAAATTTGTAAATAATGTACAAACTTTCTTAAAAAAAATAAACATTTTTGTAATCTGTATGCTGTTGTCAGTCTTACAGAACTTGTGTACATAAAGAGTGTAAATATATAATTTTTAAGTAAATAATAATTATATTTATTCCGTCAGTCATATTGAAATATTGATTATATATTTATTATTTAAAAATGAAAATTATGTATTGTGAAACTGTTTTCATATGAATAAAAAAATGTGGGAAAAAATCAGTTTTATTTTTAAAATGTGTTTAAGATCAAATCTGATAATTGCATACGTCTTAATATAGTTCACAAAATATTTGTGATTTTTTTTTCAATTGATTTGTAAGTACTTGTTGTTGATTTGTAAAAAATGTTTTATGTTATGGAACTATGAACGTGAATTCTTGAGTCATCATCATCATCATTCTTTCCTATTACCCTCTGCTGGGGTGTAGGGCTCGAATTTTTGAGTAGTATTAATATATTGTGCTTTACAAACATTTACCAATAATAAGTAGCACAATAAGGCGACACTTGCCTTATCTTCTATACCTAATAAAATATCACACAAATAATTTATTTTATAATTTAATAGAGATTTATACAGTGTAATTATTTATCAATTAAAGTTCCTCTTGGCCTCTTTTCTAAAGTGTGTGCTGGAGTCTCAGCTTGACGTTTATTCATACCTTTCCTTTCCAGTTGCTTCTCTATGATTCTTGCATTGTTTGCATAGCTGTCAGCCACTTCTCTGGCCTCAATTTCATCTTCCTCTTCATCAATAGTCGACACAGTCACAGAACTGAACTTACCCATGTTTTTAGTATGTTTTGTGACCATGATCTTCTTAGGCTGTGTCAAAGCCACTTGTTTATATATATCAGTGACCCCTCCCTCTCCCGGAGTCTGGACTAATGCTCCGTCAATTATAAAGGCTACATTACTCTCCTGATCGTGTTTATAATAGATAGGCAGAGCGCATTTTTTACATTTAAGCCTGTATTGTCTTTCGATACCTTTTTCTCGCCTTAAATAAACAGTTTCATCGGGGTCTGAAGTAATTTTGTGAGCGTGTTTCGATCCATCTATGACTCTTGCACTGTCGAAGGGTCTTAACGGTAATTTGTCGATCGTACAGTCTAATATGAGAGACATCTGGCCGCACAAACAGTAATAGATATGTAAAGGTTTGGTTTCATTATACTCTTCTTGATCTTTCGTGTCGGAGCAAACAATACTTCTTGATACAACTTTTGGCATGTTATTTCAAATGTAAAGGAACGGTATGGGTTGAAAATGTATAAAAAGAGCTTTTCTTGAATGTTTATTAATAATTACTTTCGTTGGATGGTGTATTTTTGTGACAGAACTCAAGTGATTATAAGCTCTTTGACAGAACTGACAGAAGTGATAGATAGAAGACATTTAAATAATTTATGCCTTGATTTAATTTTTTTAAGAAATTTTATGACCTGGTAACTAAGACCTTTAGGTCAAATCTTATTTTAATTTTAATATTATTTTTATAAAAAATCTAATATAGAGTGAACGCGAGGAGCGAAGTTGTGTGAATTATTTTGTTTTGTCTATTTATTATTTCTTCAGGTTTAAATGTGTAATAACGATGTTTATTAACTAATTAGTATCTGCGAAAGCACACAAATGTGGGTAAATGAAATAAAGCCGCTGGACGTAGCTTCTCGGGATCATCCAAAAAGTCCACTGAAAAAATCTATATAAATGACCTCCATTTTACTGACACTATATTTCATCTCATTTCATTTAATGTCATGCCAATTGATTAATGTTTCAAATTTATCAACTTCATTTCATTTCACTTCATATTAATATCATTTTTCATTAAATAATATAATTTATTAGGCTTTATATTATGATACTTTTGCCGCTTAAATTATGATACCTTTGCTTTTCCAGTTGGAAAAATAGAACTACTACTACTGTCAACTTCACGTTGCTGCGATTGTCTTTTATTCAAGAAATTTGATTTTCTCCCACATGTTAATTGATTTTTGCGATTAACAATTATTCCACGAATAATTTAGTAAAATGGGTGCTATATCAAGCAGGTACCGTGTCTTCAACTCTGGGCTGACTAGTACCGACTTACAAAATATAGAAAATGATAACAAACGAGAAAATCCAGGGACTTTGGATGAACTTCATAAAAAAACCAAAGGTATGATTATTAGAAAAAACTACATTACCTAACACCTTCCCCTTCGTGTTTAAACTTTAAATTCAATATATTGTAACATTTTTATGTCATAAAGTTCGTATATTAAGTGATCATAAAAGTTTGGTTAGTTTGTGATGTAATTTAATGTGTTTTTGACTTGAATCCTTTCAATTATTATATTCCAACTTCCAAGACTTTAATTTTAATTATCATGTATGTTTACTTTATGCAAAACTGAAATTGTCGTTTTTTTTAATTAGATATGTGGACGAGCTCACAGCCCACCTGCTGATAAGCGTTTACTGGAGCCCATAGACATCTACAACGCGAATTCCGGTGTTCGAATCCCGCAGGCGGGTATAATTTTTTCTAANCTTTCAATTATTATATTCCAACTTCCAAGACTTTAATTTTAATTATCATGTATGTTTACTTTATGCAAAACTGAAATTGTCGTTTTTTTTAATTAGATATGTGGACGAGCTCACAGCCCACCTGCTGATAAGCGTTTACTGGAGCCCATAGACATCTACAACGCGAATTCCGGTGTTCGAATCCCGCAGGCGGGTATAATTTTTTCTAATGTAATATGTACTTAAGAAATGTTCACGATTGACTTTCACAGTAAAGGAATGACATCGTGTAATAAAAATCAAACTCGCAAAATTGTAATTTGCGTAATTACTGGTGGTAGGACCTTGCGTGAGTCCGCACAGTTAAGTACCACCGCCCCGCCTATATCTGCCGTGAAGCAGTAATGCATTTCGGTTTGAAGTGTGAGGCAGCCGTTGTAACTATACCTTAGAACTGATGTCTCAGGGTGGGTGGTGGCATTACATTGTTGAGGTCTATGAGGTCCGGTGACCACTTAATATCAGGTGGGCCGTGAGCTTGTCCAAGCATATAGGCAATAAAAAAATCCTTTTAGCGTGATCTTTTTGGCATAATATGTAAAACTATTAAATTAATATGAAATAGTCAGAGAAGTGTTAGACTTATCTTATTATCTAAATGTTACTTTTTGCAAGCTACATGTAATATCTGGGTCATAATATCTCAATGATATCACTGTCTCTAGTTCCAAAGAATATTTAATGCTGGTATTAAAAGCCTTGAAATCAGTAAAAGTATGTTGTAAAATAATGTTTATTGCAAATACTTGGTTTGAACTCTTATAGATATTAGTCCCACAAACTGACACTTATTACTATAAGGGCTTCAAGTATTATTTTTATTACTTTATAGAGGTGATGCCTGTGAACTTTGAAGGTGGCAAGTTAATGGTCAATAGGGGGCTGTCAAATCATTTTCAGGTGAGAATAAACTCTTCAAAAAATACATTAAAACTGACTCCTTAATTTTAGAGCATAAGTAACTTCATCAAACTTGTTACGTAATGTTACTCTTTTTTTTATGTACCACCTAGTATTTGGTTTATTAATATACTATTAAGTTATTTTCAGCAGTAGTAGGAAGTTTTAAAAATGGTAATTGTATTACAGATGTCTCATACATTAACAATGAGCTCACAACAAAATGGATACAAATTGGGTGGAACATACATTGGCACAAAACAGATATCTCCGACAGAGGCATTCCCGGTGGTGCTTGGTGATGTGGACCCTGCCGGTAATGTGAACTGCAGCCTTATACATCAACTGACACCAGAGATCAGGGTCAAAGGTGCTGCTCAAGTAAGTAATAGTTATAGTTTGACTAATCTGAATAAATTAAAATGTTTGAAATGAGTAAAATATTGTCTTACAATCAATACAAAATTTTTATAATGAAGAAACAGTTATCATATAGGTTGCATTGCAGCAAATGCAGATATCAAAAAGAGTTCAATATAGACTTTTTAGATTTGCAGTAATTCTTAGCATTGATGTATTTTACATAGAATGCTTATTGTTACTAGTCTGAGGAGTTCAGGCTATCATGTTGGTATTTACTGTACCAAATTAAATTTAAGATGGTTGCAAGTCTTTGACATATCCAATGAATTTTTTTAAAGATTTAATTATGGTATATTGCTTATACTACAAAATACTATACAGAAAATACTATACCATATACTATACTATTCAAGATATTCTTTAGATGTGATTATAATTACTTCTGTATTACAATAGATTCAAGAATGCAAATTGACAGCTACACAAGGCACTGTGGAATACAAAGGTTCAGATTACAGCCTTGCCTTGGTGGCGGGGAAACCAGACTTTAACGACAAGTCTGCAATGTTTGTTGGACATTATTTGCAGGTAATTTAAACTTGTTTCGTGTTATTGTATATCGTATGTGAAGAACAATGGAATTCCTTTTTAAACTGTTAATGTTCCTGTAACATAATCCAACTTAATGCAAGGTCATCACACGTCACATAGTGTACATACATTTTTACCATAGTAAAAAGAAGTCCAAGTAACCAGTTCTGTGTAATTTAGATTGACAGACAATTAAATGTATTTAAAAAAACATACATGGTGTATCCATACCATTCAGTGACATGTCCATCCCAATCAATCTATAGTAGATCTTGATGCACTCTTCGAAGTCTTGTAGAGATTTGGTTGTGGACCAACCATTAGTGGTTTAGCAAGTTGTTTGGGTGGGATTCTAATCTTTCATGGTAGGTTAATTACTTCTCTTTTTTAACTTTTCTGTCCATTACAATATTCACTATCATCTTGAGAATTTTAATTGAAACCTTTGAAGAACTTCAATTACAGTCACAATAATACTTGAAGCGGTATCCTACAATTTAATGCTATAAGCTCAAATGGGTTTAAGTAAAAAATTTATTATAATACAACTTGTTTTCAGCTGACAGTTTAGATTTTCTATGGAGAGTGATTACAATTTACATATTTGTTAAGCGATGACAAACATTTTAATGACCTTTAAATACATTTAAGAATAAAATAAATATTGTAATTGTTGTTCCTAAAGTATATGAAACTGAATTGCTAAATTGCTAAATTTCAGTCGGTGACAAAGCGTTTAGCTTTAGGGGCTGAACTGGTGTATCAATCCGGTGCCAGGATCATGGGCGGAGAGATTTGCATAGTGTCTGGTGCAGCTAGATACACTATGGATGGTTGGTTCTCACTGTTTCTAGTATTTTCTCGAAATTTTACGAAATATTTTCGTTTTGCAGTGATCGACTGCTTAAGTTTTATTTTGTTAAGGAAAGCGAGAAATGTGTATTTGTTCAGTAGACTATAATCATTTTTTAGTGACATATATAACATGTGATATGGTAATTATAAAAGTCATTAACCTTGTAAATGTAGTGGCTTATACATTTCATAATAGTCATAAATTCAATGAAAAATCTAATAACACTATTGACTATCAATGACTATAGGAATGTGACGCCTAGAATGGCATGGCGGGGCGCAGCTAGTAATCAAATACTTTTATGAAACAGATTCAGAAGTATCGGCCACACTGAGCGCTGCCAACCTGCACTTGTGCTACTTCAAGCAAGCCAGTGAACAACTCCAGGTAACACACACCCCGGGAACGGCATGGGTCAACAATGTTTATTGCTTTACTAATGGTAGGACCTCATGTGAGTCCGCACGGGTAGGTACCACCACCCTGCCTATTTCTGCCGTGAAGTAGTAATGCGTGTCTGTTTGAAAGGTGGGGCAGCCGCTGTAACTATACTGAGACCTTAGAACGTAATCTCAAGGTGGGCGGCGTATTTACGTTGTAAATGTCTGTGGGCTCCAGTAACAACTTAATACCAGGTGGGCTGTGAGCTCGTTCAAACATCTAAGCAATAAAAAAATTAAAAACAAACCGCTCACCTCTATGTGTGACAACCTTTTAATTATTATTTTTTTGCCCGTGCCCTTGCCTGTGTAGGCAGACGAGCATACAGCACACCTAATGGTGAGTGGTTACCGTCGCCCATGGACGTCAGCAGTGCCAGGGACAGAGCCAAGCTACTGCCTACTTTAGTTCTAGAGGTCCCACATGAGCCCCCGAGATGACTGTTACAAAGAATCCCAGTGACCCCCATTCTATTATTTCCAGGTTGTAGCTGAAATGGACACATCATTCCGTGGAATGGAGTCCGTGGGCAGCATCGGATATCAAGTCACTATTCCAAAGGCAGATCTAGTTTTTAGAGGTCAGTAATATTTTTTACTCACTACAGCAATGGCACCGATATAAATAGAAAAATTTGATTCGAGCCCTACACCCCAGCAGAGGGTAATAGGAAAGAATGTTGATGACAGCAATGGCATTGGACTCAGGGTTGCAGCAATATTTGCAGGCCCAGTCCCTGTCTTCATGTGACCCGCCTCACCTCACACCTAATGAGGCCAGTGACACTTTGAAATTAGAGATCCAATTTGTATTAAAATGATGGTTGCCCTACACTTTACGTCTGAGCACGCGGCAAGGACGTCGTGGCCTAAAGGATAAGACGTCCGGTGCATTCGTGTCGAGCGATGCATCGGTGTTCGAATCCCGCAGGCGGGTACCAATTTTTCTAATGAAATACGTACTCAACAAATGTTCACGATTGACTTCCACGGCGAAGGAATAGCATCGTGTAATAAAAATGAAAACCGTAAAATAGTCATTTGTGTAATCACTGGCGGTAGGATCTCTTGTGAGTCCGCGCGGGTAGGTACCACCGCCCCGCCTATTTCTGCCGTGAAGCAGTGATGCGTTTCGGTTTGAAGGGCGGGACAGCCGGTGTAAACTATACTTGAGACCTTAGAATTCATATCTAAAGGTGGGTGGCGCATTTACGTTGTAGATGTGCATGGGCTCCAGTAATCACTCAACACTAAGTGGGCTGTCAGCTCGTCCACCCATCAAAGCAATAGAAAAAACCAGGAATTAAGGAAAGAGTTAGTAGAGAATTCGATGAAGATACTGTTTCTACTATGAAGAAGAAGGACAGTCATTATATGTTTAATTTTAGAGCCAACAAAATGTTTGCAGGCATGGTGGATTCCAACTGGAACATCGGAGCAGTCTTGGAGAAGAAACTCCAGCCCCTGCCCTTCACGTTCGCGCTGTCGGGCATGGCCAACCAGGCCAAGCAGCAGTTCAAGTTTGGCTGCGGACTTATCATCGGTTAACCCTCCAGATCGGTCGTAGAATCTATTTAATAGTAAAGTTCACGGTCCGGAATATTGAAGCATGTGGCACAGTGTGAGAATGTATTTAGCTGATGAACTCGGACCTCACACGGAGCGTCCGATGTAATTGTGAGAATTGAACGTAACTTTTAATCATGGGAATATATCGCCTTTTCGCATTAAAAGTGTACAATTTCCAAAAATATTCGAAATTGAGTTAATATACGGACTCATTTGGTATCACCAGTATTTTTTCTCATAAATACTGTCAAAAAAGCGTAGTTTAGTTTTAGTTTTTATTTATTAGTTTACCTATGTTTTGACTACTATTAACAAAATTAATACATAATTTTATCTTACTTTAAAAGACAGATAATGTAACTGGTTAAAAATAAAAAATAAATGTTGCAAATATGATTAGTAAAATTAGTAAGTTTTGAGATTATACAGTTTTAATGCGAGAAGACGATATGTATAAATAAATGAACTAAAATACTGAAGTGAAGGTTCAAAAGCAGCTTCGGAGTGTCTAGTGGAGGGCTGCCTCCCCGCGCGGCTGCTACTCTACAACTATGTAAAGGAGCATTAGGATTAGGAGGAGGGAGGACTAGATTGCAATAATAAAATTTAAAAAAAAAATGTTGTAATTGAGTGCGGCCCGCGGACCACACCGGGCGCTCGCTGACTGTTTGTAATATTCCGGCGCGGACACGTCTGTAGTGCTTCAGCAAATGCGAAATGTGAATTGTCTTTGATTAGTTTTTATAATTGTTTTGAATTTGATATATATTGTGGTTTTGCGTTACGGCCAGTCTGTGTGTGTCATCCATCGTTCAGTTCAGATAAGTTCATTGGCATTATCGTTCGGATTGCATCGGTGTGGTGTTTGTCCCTGGGGAGAAACACCAGGGACTCCGCGAGCCCGGGGGAGGGACACCCGCTTAGTAGGCTTGAAGAACGTATTTAAAAATCATATAACAAAAATTTTATTCAAAAATTCATTTATTAATTAAAAATACAATAAACATATTTTAATCGGAACAATCGGTTGAGGCAACGACCTGTCCGTTCTAACACTGTCATTGTTAACGTTGACAGACTGTCAAGTAATTATTGAAATAAAACGGTGTTCTTAGCTGCGGGGGGTTGGGGGGTCTGGATGATACGTTAAGTCTTCTTTCTTACTGGTAGTAGGACCTCTTGTGAGTCGGCACGGGTATATACCACTACCCTGCCTATTTCTGCTGTGAAGCAGTAATGCGTTTCGGTTTGAAGGGTGGGGCAGCCGTTGTAACTATACTTGAGACCTTAGAACTTATATCTCAAGGTGCGTGACGCATTTACGTTGTAGATGTCTATGGGCTCCAGTAACTACTTAACACCAGGTGGGCTGTGAGCTCGTCCGCACGTCTAAGCAAAAAAAAAAGTTTTCACTAAAAATGTTCTCGAAGGTCCTGTTGCAAAACAATACCTATTGCACCGACAGTAACCGGGTACATGACCATTAGCTCCTAAATAAGTAGCCATTGTCTTCAGTAAATATTAACACAGAAATGTGATTAGTAGAAATGTTATAATTGTGTGTAGCGGTCATCGTTTGAAACTAGTGTTGTTTTTAAATGTCAGAAAATATGATTCGAATGTTCGTGTGAGTGTGGCGCCCTTGTAAATATGGCCTGTTGTTGTAATGTCTATGTTTAATAGATTTATGTTGAGAATAAATTGGTGTTTCATTACTTCCCGAAGGCGGATAAAAAAAAAACGGCAACTTGGTGCACGTGAATGAAGTGAAACTTCTTTTTAGATTAGTATTGTGGTTTTCTTCATTTTTCATCCTTAAATCAGATAGCTCTTGTAATTGGGAATGCTGTGTATAAAAAAATGCGACATCTTCAACATTTATATTATATATATTTTAAATTATAGATAGAAAAATAAATATATAAGTATACATTTTTTTTTAAATAACTTTTTTTTTTTTAATAAATATTTTTTTAATACTACGCGCGTGCGTTCGAGTTCCACGCATTCACACTCGCTCTGTCTCTTTCTATTCCACGGTAGCGTTAAACGTTTAACGCAACCTTGTTGGAAGTCGCTTTAGAAGTTTCACTTCAAAAATGAGTTCAGTCGTCGTGGCCTAAAGGATAAGACGTCCGGTGTATTCATATGTAGCGATGCACCGGTGTTCGAATCCCGCAGGCGGGTACCAATTTTTCTAATGAAATACGTACTCAACAAATGTTCACGATTGACTTCCACGGTGAAGGAATAACATCGTGTAATAAAAATCAAACCCGCAAAATTATAATTTGCGTAATCACTGGTGGTAGGACCTCTTGAGAGTCAGCACGGGTAGGTACCACCACCCCGCCTATTTCCGCCGTGAAGCAGTAATGCGTTTCGGTTCGAAGGGTGGGGTAGCCGTTGTAACTATACTGAGACCGTAGAACTTATATCTCGAGGTGGGTGGCGCATTTACGTTGTAGATGTCTATGGGCTCCAGTAACCACTTAACACCAGGTGTGCTGTGAGCTCGTCCACCCATCTAAGCAATAAAAAATAAATAAATAAAAAAACATGTCTAACTAGGTACATAAGGCATGATCGCGAATACTTCCACGATAAAGGATAGAGCATTGAGTGCACTAATGTCCGCAAACATTACATGAGGGGGCACAGAAGGGAAACCTCACGTCTCAAACAACAGCCCATTAGACAAGATCGCTTGTTTCTTCATGGTGGCAACCAGCCGAGGCGATTGTAACATATTCCCGACTCGACGGTATATTAAAGTTAGAAATTCGGTCAGGTAACGTAAACTCGCTCTAAGATTCATCTCATACATTTTTGGTCCTTGATAGTGTGTACAGTACCCGGGCGACAAATATTGCACATCGACCCTGGGAAAGAGACGGTTAATTTTTGCTTCGTAGAGCGTTATATCTGTCGCACATTACCTAATTGACACAGTCTCCATAGATACCGGATCAATTTAGTGTTTCGTCGCACACAGGAAACGCTCTACAACAAAAACAAAATTAGACGACTGTCTCTTTCTAAATATAGATATGCAATATTTATTGCCTGGTACTGTACGGTATCCGCTCACAAAGTACACATACATGTACTAAACAAACAAAAGACAAGAACCATACAATTTTATATTTACATTGTTGTCGAGTTTCATTGACCACAGACAAAGTGTTAAGTAAGAAATCGAAAAGAGGGCTAAATAAAACGCAAATGTACTTAAAATAACGTAAGTTTTATTATATTATGTAAAGAAATAAAATGGTTATTAATATAATTTTGTAACATGCATAACCGTTGTTGGAACTTATACAGTACATTTATCGAGCGACATCGGAACACCATATTGTCAAATATTAAAAATACATAATTTGCTTTCAAAATGTACTATTTACGGCCAACAGTTCACTGTCAAAATATTAAAATATCATCAAAATAATAAAGCAGGGGTGGACATGACGGAATCTTATCAAAATCAACCATCGACAAAAAATTACGTTATTCTTTTCTTATACCAAAATATATTATTATGGCTTTTAGTTTTTTTTTATTATTTCGAAGATAATATATGTCTATAATATTAATATATTTTTTTCGTTTTTTTTTTTTAAATTTAAAATCTATGTTTAACCCTATTCACTTAAATATACAAATTGCAACACTTTTAGTTCGCAACATGTCATAGACTGAGAGATCTATTATGTGTCCAAACGTTTTTTTTTTTAATTGAAGCTTTTTGTAAATGAAAAAAAATATTGATATGTTGAAAAATATTTGAAGAATAAATTAAAATCCATTATTTTGTCTTCATTTAAAGCTTTTTAAAGTGATGGGCGATTTTTTTTTGTAATCAATTAAATTTGTGGCATTATGTTCTTCAAACAAAAAGTACATTGTGTTAAAGTATTTACTTATGCCAAGCAAACCCAGGAAACGACAGAATCAGCGCTCTTCATGCTAGTATTATTTGGTGTACAGCGAATTTTCCTCTATTGCTTGCAACACCGCCGACATTCATACAAGCGTTACAAACTTATTCATAAATTATTTTGGTTGCTTAATTGAATAACAAAATATCAGGAATTAACGCAATTACTACCCGACAACGTCGAAATTATGAGACTAGTACCTATAATTTTAATCAACAATATTATTGGTGATCCAGTTTTTCATTTATTTGCAAGATTTTTAATACAGATTTCTTAAGATTATAGATGTATATTTTAAAAAGATTTTGCATCTATCTTTTAGAATATTGAGACAAATTTTTAAAGGTAAAATGCGTTAATTCCCGTTACTATGTTACAAATGTACAGTAGATTATATTCACATCATGGTTTACGTTCTAGATGTAAAAAAAGGCGGTGTCCAAAGCCCAAACAAGCTAAAAACAACTAAATTATTCTTTTAATTATGAATTATACTAAGTACGATGTTTTATAATTATAAAAAAAAACACTATTGACAAATGAACATACAACTGGAAATAAGGAAGAAAAACAATCACAGATCGTGTATTTCGCGACTATAGACAAACTAAAACTTTCTGTTGCCATAACAAAAATCTTCATTAGAGATTTTATAGTTCTCAGAATGCTTCTTGTATGTATCGCTCGCTCACTGAAAGCATCAACATACTGCCGTGAACATTCTAGGAATATAACGCGCTGATCTAACTCAATAATAAGGATTCAAAAAAAAGAAAAAAAATATATAATTTAGAGAATTTGCACGAACCTTCGTGTGCAATGTCACGGGTCATAAAACACTGCGAAATGCGTCACAATTGATTTTTATTCATCTTTGTTTACACGTACGGGTAATTACTATTGAATTGCAAATCAACGATATGCTAATTATATTTATTTTTTCGTCCGCCGACAGATAAGCGCTCACGCCGCTCACGCGAGGCACGCAACGTTATTGCTTGACATTAAGATATAAAGTCGAATGTACAAGATTTATACTTTTCAAATCATAATCGGTTCTAGTGTAATGCGATTGATATCTAAACGACTATTTGCAGATTAAGATTCATTTAAGTAGTTAATCTACAATTTTAATTTTAATACATCAAAAAAAAAACCCCCCCAGTCAAAGTTATAAGTGCAGTTTTTGTACAACGTAAATTCGACTTTATGCGCTACCTAATTTAAGCAATATTCGTTCGAAGCTAACTGCGAACAGCGACGCTCGGTGCGGACGCACTAACAGAGCTGCGTTACACCGCGAGACGGGGTCATCGTCACGTAACGAAGCGCGATTACCAAACAACATTCTTTCAAACGAAATTAAGACTAAAATTAATTAATAATAAAAAAAATACATTAATACCTATGAGATAGTGCTGACTGTTCCTTTACACTGTTTAGTAAATTTAAGTTCGATAAACTCTATTGTCGGACATATTCAAGTTATGTACAAGTAACTAGATCGATCGCGCCCGTAGCTACTAGCTCTGTGAACGGTACTGAGACAGTTTTCAAATGTATCTATAAGCGCGCTAATCCTTCTCCTTCAAAGAGATAACAAAACGGAAGAAGTACTTTAAAAACTCGTGATCCCGGCCATTTTGATCAGCCCACAGACTCGTGGTCGCAAGTTGCGTACGCCACGTTAACGGGGGGCGGCTGCGGCGCCGGGGTTGGGGGGGGGAGGTGTTGCAGACACGCCATGCTTCATCAGTCTACGATCATAGACGAGTTAGCACTACAAACTTTCAATATGAAGTAAAGACGTTCAGATTCTTTCAAAGCAAAGCAGAATCAACGAGATGCAAAATGCGAGGTCATTACAGTGTGTGCAATTTTCGTGAGGTCAAGTGTAAACAAGCTCCCCATTCCGTCATGCGGAACCGTGGAAGAAAAAAGAAAGATAAGGTAATTAAGGCTTATTCAAAAGCGTTGACCGACAATGCACTCCTCGTAAACATTGACTTACAGATAAGGCTGAAGCGGTTTGAGCTCAGGGGCCAGAATTCGACCGCGGCCTCTCAAATCAACTTTACCTCTAATTTAAAACCTTTAAAATCCTAAATATCTAATATTACAATTTCTCCATTTTACAATAAGATTCTCTGATTTAACGTGAACACTTCGACTGTCGTATTGCTTCTAACCTTAAAGCGTATTCTACTCGCTCGTAACGAAACACGGTACAGACTCGCACCTTCCCAAAGTGCTAACCGACACTTAACATGTCCATAAATTCGAAAAAAAGAGGTGTTCTAAATTGATTACTCTAATTTTATTTTTTAGTCGAAATATCGAATTATATCGAGGTTCTATCGACTAATAACCCCAAGCGTTCAGAGACCTATGACCGGATCGCAGATGAGACAGGGCTAGTGGCCTAATGAAAAAGACACCAGGTGCTCTGGTCCAGTGACACGATTATGGCAGACCTGCAGGCAGGTACCTATTTATTTAATGAAATGGTAAAGTATAAAAATACAACAAAAAAACAACGATAATCGTGATGGAAATAGTTTGAATATTGGGCGTTAACACAAGTCACTTTTTACACAGTGCTGGACCCACACAACGTACAGTGTATTCCATGCGGGTAAAGTACAAAAATACAACAAAAACACAGTAAAGACACTAACTATGAATGACGGGGAAGATGCGTCTGGAGAAGAGCAACCCTTTTCTGGTCGTTAGCACCCGGGACCACACCTCGTGACAAGTACATATATGGGTTTAACAAAAAATCGTATTGAATGTACGTCCACTCGCGCCGGTCCCTTGGCCGTGGTTCATCACGAGCCCCATTTATTAATGACGATTCACCAACAATCCTAGGGTCCGTTTACCGTCTTTACAATTCGATAAAAATACAAGGACATCGCTACACACCGACCGCGTTATGCCGAAAAGAACCAACCAAAAAAAAATTAGTATAATCTGATGATCTGGCAAAAATTTACATACCTTTTAGGATTAAAAGGCCGTAGTGGTTTTGTGTTGACTTAATGTTGACAGCTGTCCGCGGCAGACGTACTTCAGTATTAAGTTCGTATTTGCCTATCAAGGTTCATTGTGTAACCAAACTCACCTGGGAACGCGTTTCGGTCGGTATTAATTTTACCAGGATATTTACAGCCCTTCATTTATAAAGCAACAAGTTTATGATTCAACGCGGAACTGTGCGAGTACGTTTTCCTGATGGGAGCCCTGACGCTTGTTATGGGTACCTATACTACAGAGCAGCACTAAACTCAGCCGCCAACTGCTAATTGTGAGCACTTGTGAACACGGTAGGCGTTTTCATTTTAGAAAACAATGTACGTTCAATTTCATTACGATTACATTTCCGAATTAACGCTATGAATATAAAATTTTCTTTAGTCGTAGAAGAGAGTGACTTTGAACTTTTCTACATAAAACGATCGAATCCTTAATTATTTTTTACAATATATATATTTTTTGAAGCTGTCTCTCTGCGTGTGGAAAAATATTTTTATTGGCAACCCCATTATCTTAATATTATCTGTAGCAGCGATTTTTATTATTTAAATACAGATACAACATTGATCTCACTATAGTGCTTTAGTGTTTTGGTTGGTGTCATATAGTATTATTATTTTAAATTGTAATTTTATTAATACATTGAGTAAGTACATTAGAGTGAAACAAAACGAATTTTTATACGAAAAAAATTAATAGAACACTGAAAATTTAATACACCAATTAGTTTTAATATCTCAATAGTTTAAGAAACAATTATATTCAATCTCTTGTCGTTCGAATACAAAACGAAACAAGCCAAAACGGATACGGTTGTTCAACGATACTTTCAAAAAGTGCGACTTCCGGGTTCGAAATTCGAAAACTAAAACCGTTACAATTCGAATTCGAATCAACGAACGTTTTTATTGTTCTCGTACGCGTTCACAGAGCGGTGGCGGTGAGCGGCCTCGCGCGGGCTGCGGTCCGGGCCAGTCTGTGTTATAACTCCATGTCGTGCGCCTCGTCTTCGCTGAAGTCGCTCATCGAGGACTCCGAGTCCGAGTCGTTGCCGTTGCTCGCCTTGTTGGCGCTGGCCCCGACCCCCGTTATCGCGTCTTTCTCTAGCAACGCTTCTTCTGTGGCGAACTTACGAACGTAGTCTGCGAACCCGAAATTTTCGGTTTGAGGTTTTTTTTGAAGTTATACTTCTTTAGGCGCGTTATGAAAAATTGATGAGAGTGAAATTTTACGATGCGCGCGCACCGTGACACAAAATTAACAGAATGAAGTTGCCCACTAAATCGCTCATTACAATACGACCGACGTAACTTGGCCAGTCTGAATATAGCCGCAGGTGAACTTTCGCGCATGTACACTCGTAAAAAATTTGCTCAGCAGAGTGATGGAGACGGTGATCTCCTACATTTTTAACATAGGAAAGTTCGCGTGTGTTAAGCGATTCCGCAGAGCCCAGACGACAGCGTGGGTAATTGCTATCTCACCCTTCAAATATTGCGCCAGAAATACGAAAACTGTTTTCTCAAATAAAAACGAGCAAGATATTATTACACTTATCAGATGCTATGACCGAGTGGTGGATATGCTATCTCATCCTTCGAATACCGCGGCAGAAATAGGAAAACTGTTTTCTCAAATGAAAACGAGAAATATATTATTACACTTATCAGATACTGTGACCGAGTGTTGGATAAGAGATAAGACACATCTGTGACGTTAAAAGTGGCGATTAAGATTTACGAAGACTTGGCCATCACCCTGCAGTGTGGTCCCAATACATATGACCATATTATAGTTGTGCCTGTCCTAAGGAAACTCACCACAGACTTTTTTCTTGTACTCTTCGGGCTTGTGCAGGTACATGGCGGCCGCGTCGCCGTTCAGCGGGTCGATCGGGTTCGGGTACGTGAGCAGTTGCGGCAGAAACGATTCAAATATATTCGATAAGTCTGCAACACACAAACGAGGTCAAGAACCTTATCGGTCATCGCCAGACCGGTTGTCCAGGCCGTCTTGCTTGAGGACAAGGGATTCAGTATACTCGAGTGGTACAATGCCAAGTTACAATCTTGCAGATTGCACTGTTATTTTTCTAAGGAAATGCATAACCAATACGCTTTTGCGACTTCCAAAATGAAGCAACATCTCGTTGTTGTTGGTGGCATGGTGTATGCTGATTAATGACATGTTCTGGTTCGAAGTATGGGCCAGCACTTACGCAACTGAGACTTCACTCACGTCTCTCAGAGCGGTGCTGTGAGCTCATCCACCGATTAACCCTTTGCGGTCCTGAGACTAAACTACATGTCCAATACGTGTGGACTCTGAATCTCAAAGAGTTAATTCTATATAACCGTGAACGCTAATATATTATATTCAAGCCAGCGGAAAATACAGAATGGTATCTTGATTCATAACTCATGTTAAGTCAATCAATGATGATATTCCTTGCTTGCGTCCTTCTTCGCTTTGTCCAATTTCGATAAATTTGGCACTAAGTCCGCTACCAATATACCAAGCCGCATAGATTCCAGAGGAATATTAATGTCAGACAGACAGCGGGTTGTAAAACTATAATTAAACTAGAGACTACATAATTTTATTGAAATACATCTTCACAAGCGAATTCAAATCTTCGCGACTTTACCATAAGAAAAATGGGCAAGATACTTGTTGCTCATTTCCAAATATGTACATTACAACACCGAAATGAAAATATTTCAATTCAGTACTACCCATGTAGAGTAACTACAATCAGGTTAATTAGGCCCGCAGTACCATTTCAGACCATGTTGGTTTAATTCTCATACAGTCACTGTAAGAAAAACCGTTTTATCACTCACCTGTACCACATATCTTCTCCTCATCTTAAGTATTAGTGGTATGACATGCTGGACGGTGGACGCACGGGTCCATACCAGCATCTTGCCTATTTCTGACGCGTTCCGGATTCAATGACCCTCCGAGTTGGAGGCATTATTTATACGTTTATATTGAGCTTCGGTAGGCACTTCATAAGGGGGAAGTGAGCTAATTTGCCCAGAAAAAAACAAGTTTTCAGAGCGTTAATTGTCACTCAAAAGGAACTCCCCTCCGGCGATACAAAATCGAGGCAGTATTTCACGATAGGTAGTGGCATAGCCGTGTCCACTATCCACCAAATCTCCTGGACGCTTTTCAGTCTATTGAAGTTATAAAAGAGAACAAGAACATACCATAAAGAGCAGTCCACGCCTGGTTGATGACGTCAAGACACACGGTCCCCGACACCTCATCTATGTTGGGGTGGTAGACCTTATTCATGAAACCGATGGACGGAGACTTGAAGGGGTAATGATCGGGAAGATGCACGCGTACTCTCCACACACCACCTTCGTATGGCGCTTAAATTATAAAACAAACGACATAGATTAGAATATATCTTTACTGGCATTTATTAATAGTCTCAAACACCTTACGTCAAAACTGCTGAAATTCCCCTAAAAAAAAAAACATCATATTTTTAATGGCGGTAATACGGGCTCAGTATCGCGTATTATCTATGTACGTGTGGCAGACATGTTATGCATTTTTTTATAGTATTAAATGTGGTGACGAAGATCGCGACCTGCTCGAGGCCACAGCCAGTAGAGTCCTGATTAGTATTGTATAAGAATGTCCCATGTTTTAATTGGGCCGTTAATTTTGAAAGTGGTGTAAGTCCATTTTCTTTTGTTTCGAGAAAATTAAAGGCTTACTGTATTTGTTGATTTAAAAATACAGGCAAATCATATGAGATCTGGCTATGCCACCTACCTCTGTCAATTGGACTTACACCACTTTCATAATCGATGACTATGCAATTTCATTTACCGACCGATTTTAAGTTGTACAAAAGATGGGATTTTTTTGAGAAATTAAACACGGACTAGTTATATATAAAAAAAATTACATTAAATTACGTGATAGCTCATTTTTCTCAAAAATAGACTTACACCACTTTCAAAATAAACGGTCCAATTCTTGGTTGCTTTGCGGTGGAAACGGGCAGAATAGTAATACTATTTACCAGTGCATATTCACGATATCACCTACGATCAGTAAAGTCACATTATCTCTCAATACAGATTCGACCGTTTCATTCCAGAATATTCTAATTGAATTTTTGAGCAAAACGAGATCGTTAACAAGAATTATTAACAAATCGTTTGGACATTTGTTTATTGAGTGTGGTTCTTTGAACTTTGAAGCCTTGTTTTTCAACGCTTTTTATGACGTAACCTGTTTACAACTCCTTTTTTTAATGCGTAGATAGGCAAACGATCTCATCGCCCACCAGGTGGTTAGCGGAGCCGTAGACCAAGCAATATAAAACCAACAGCCAATTATAAATCCTACGACAATGCGTAGCACTTAAAATTTAGCCCCATAAATTATTGAATATTGTAAATAATTATTATCAATATCGATATGTCCATAATTATTATAAAATATTTTTTTGTGTATCTCAGGAATGTGGACAAGATAGGACTATCATATATTTTTTCAACGTTTCGGTCTTTTATTAGACCTTCATCAGATCTTTTCTTTATTAGACCTTCATCAGATGCCTGATGTAAAATAATAATGTAATTTGTTATGATAGTCCTATCTTGTCCACATTCCTGAGATACACAAAAAAATATTGTAAATAATATATTTTTTATTGGCTACGTGGATATACGAGCTCACGGCCAACCTGATGTTAAGTGATTATCGGAGCCCATAGACATCTACAGCGTAAATGCCGTCACCCAACTTGAGACAGCAGTTGTAAGGTCTCACTTTTAACAGTACAACGTGCTTCACGGCAGAAATAAGCAGGGTGGAGGTACCTACCCGTGGGGACTCACAAGACGTCCCACCACCAATAAGTAAGTAATAATTTTTATAGTAAGTAATAATTTTTATAAACACATAAATTTATATATTGACCAGAGTTTATCTCTGTACACGAATTGGTTTGCGGCCATTTGCCGAGATAAGCCCACCGAAGCACTCGGAGAAATGGACGAAGTTAGTTTGTTTACGTTTCGCTTATAATAATGGGTTGTAGATAATAGATCTGGATAAACATGTACTCACTTCCTGGAGGTCCGAAGAATTTCACGCAGAACTCGTTAAGGCCGCTCAGGATTGTCACTTCGTGCTTGCTTTCGATACTGTATAGTTTTAGTTAAAGAAATTTCAATGGTTAACAGTACACACACACGCATTACAATTGCCAAATATTAATTTTAAAAATGCTCACATCCAGTGGTGGATTTACACTAGGGGTAGTCGGAGCAAGTGCCAAGGGCGGCAAATTTTTGAAAGTGAAATTTCTTTTTTATCTTATCAAGATTGCTCAATATAATTAATTAATTCTATTAGAATTAATAATTTTCTGTTTAATTGATAATTTAACAAATTCAATTCATCCATTATTTGTGAATTATAATTTTGGTACTTTTGGTAAAAATTTATAATCAGAATGATTTAATCAATTTATTTCCTTGGACATTTAAAATAATAATCGATTTTTCTATTTTCTGGAATTAAATAAATTTAATTTTTTTTTAAATGTATTATAATGATGAGTCACCCTTAGTGCAAAGTTTATAATTGTTAGAAAAAACAACAAATATTTTACTTATGTTTTTGTAATATATAACATATGATAACGTTTCTGCAATCAATTAGTTATTTTAATATTGAAAAATAAAATATATAAACTATAAGTTAATTAAAATTCCAGTATTGGGGCGGATTTTTTTCCGGTGCCCAGGAGCGGCATTAAGTTTCAAGTCCGGCCCTGCAAACGTCTCTCGTGAATAATTCTCGTTCGAAGTTGGTACAGTATGGGGATGAAGATTCATTCGATCGTGTAATGAAAGCCAAACTTGTACAATTTAAAAATGTGCATTATTACTATTGACATTGTACCACCACTCAGGTAGGTACCACCGGCCTGTCTGATGCTGCCGCGAAATAGTGATTGACTCCAGTTTGAAGAGTGGGACAGTCGTTATGAAATCTATATTTTTGTTTTGTTTTTTTCATTAATTTTTATAATTTACTAGTTTTACTAATTTATACCATATTCTAAGTATGTACACACGTAATTAGCCTTCATTCCCGCAAAGAACCAAGGGGAAAAGGGGGTGACTGAAAATCAGCGCTGTTCGATTTATCAACCTCGAACAGCAATAGCTGAGCCACCTCCTTTTGCCTTTTTCTCTTTTTTTTCTTTTCTTTTTTTTGTATTTCATTTTATTTTCTGTGATGTGAAAGGCAATAAATGATTTTTATTATTATATTATTATTATATATATAAAAATAAATTGCTGTTCGTTAGTCTCGCTAAAACTCGAGAACAGCTGGACCGATTTGGCTAATTTTGGTCTTGAATTATTTGTGGAAGTCCAGAGAAGGTTTACAAGGTAAATAAATATGAAATGCTCGGAATTACATAAAAATAACAATTTTGTTTTTCCTTTGATGTGTCCTCCGTCGGACGGATTCCATTTGTTTATTTTATACAAAAGTTTAGGTCTTTTATTTATCGATTGAGGCACTACGAAGTCTGCTGGATCAGCTAGTATAATAATTACATAATACGATCATCATCGATCGTGTCTCAAGGTGATTGGCAGTTTTCACGTTATTTGTAATCTCACGTCTTTTTGTTCTGATAACCCCGTAACATCAGGTCGTGGGGTCATTCACCCGTCTAGACAATAAAAAGACCATAGTCAGGATTAGTAACATACTGGATCAACAAGATCATAATGGAAACTGGATAGTTAGCAACACACAACAAGCGCACGTACGGACGCAATTTTGTTTTTCTCTGCCTAATCGTTAGTAGCCAAGGACACGGATCGGTAAGGGAGCTCACGGGCTCAACCTGAAAGAATTGCTAACACTATCTAGCAAGAGCAGTGCTTCCCTGAATCTACTACCGGATCGGAATCGCGACCCACCGATAAGATCCGACGAGAAACTCAGTGAGTGGAACTCTATGGGATCGATGATACAATTACAAATTAGCTTAATTACAGATATAAGATATGCTACTACCGGAGGGTATTAATGGACCGCGAGGGACTGACAGACACCGGTAGAGCACGCCTCAGTAGAGTGGTCACTTCAATACCCTGTAGACATTTTGATATATCAAGCAACGCGATCATAATATTAAGTCTTTACCTGAGAAAAGTATACAGTTAGTATACATAAAGTTAGTCATTTTTATAGATATTTTTTTATTTCTATGAATAGAAATATGCACCCATGGTTGTGCATCTCTGCCAGCGCAGTGGTTTCAATGCCCTTCTTATAAAGTTAAATGTTCGTGACCAACTTTTTTAAGGCATTTTGTACTTGCCTATCGAATATTGAATTTTATTCGTGCTAAAAAGCTGTCTAAGCTTTGGAAAAAGTACACGTCTGTAGGTCTAGTGAGTACGGTGGATGACGCAACACTTCCAATCCTAACACTTACAGCTTAGAGACCGTCCGTGTTGTGCTGAGCGTTGTCGTGTGGGAGTAGCGACTAACCCAGACTTTCAGGAGATTCGACTTTTTTCATCAGTGTCCGGTTCCTCGCAGTACAAGCGCGCAGTAATGCTGGTGGCATTTGGCAAGAAACTGTTCTAAATTATACCGGCACTAGACCACGAAACAGTGACCATGACTTTTAGGGTCTTTCGTTTTCGTTAAGGCCTTGCTTGGGTGCTGAACTAGGGTCTAAGCAACATCGCAAGTCACAATGTGGTTCAAAACGTCTTCGCTTCTGAGTTTGTTAAGCAGCGCAAGGCATAAAACGCATTCGTCGCGTTGGTGATCGTTCAATTCATGCGGCACACACTTATCAAGTTTTTTTACCTTATCAATTTTACGCAAATTCTGGAATATTGTTTTGATACTAACGTTGAAAGCTGTTGTCTATTCCATAGATATATACAGCAGTAGATCGAGTATCATCAGCTTCAACTGTCACCTTTGATTCATCTTTGTTGACTTTTCTTTTTGGGCGATCACGGGGTTCATTTTTAGATCAAAATTTCCATGTCGGGAGCGTTCAAACTAATATCGAGTCACGCGTTAGTTTGTAGTATTCGCTCCGTACATAATAATATCATTAATGCTGTGAGCAGTTTGTGAGGAATTTCTAGTTTTTTTTTTATGATTGAATGATTACTGGTGACCCGGAGGCCTTTCCAGTTTCACCAGGACAAGGAATTTCTAGTCTACCGCGACGGAACTTGAATTCCATAATTACTCGTATTTTTATCGTGTCCATATTGATGCAAAAGATACAAAAAAAGCAAAACAGTAATCATTAAACAAATGACTGAATTTTAAAATGGAATCCAATTAAAATAAAATAAATTTAAATTTAATATTTATTGTCAGCCGTAGGTAAAAAAGACCTTTAACAGATTAATTTTAGGTTTCACTTTTCGATGTAACTATGATAAGCAGACAAATGAGCATGAGCGATATTGACCGATTACTAAGCTAGCGAAATATGAAATTGAAATATTTGAACAGGGTTGAAACTATTCAGGGTTGTCTCATTATCAATTTTACCAGGAAGACAGTGAAATACGGAACTTTTAAAATGAATGAAACGAGAACTAACTGTCCACGAGTTTTGGGATCATTTAGGAAGATCAAATCAAAACATATATCTCCGAACTACACACAGAATGAGCTCGACTGCGTTCTACAGTGCTAATTTACGTGAGCTGTTATCACAGCTTATCTTATCGGTGTTGTGAATGGACTCGAATCTACCATTTACTAGACCGATGTATTTTTATATTTGAAAACATTTATGCTGATAGTCATTTTCTTGTAGTAACATTTGTCCTCGACGCGGCGTATAGGTCGTAACGCCCTTTGTAGACATTTCGAGTGAAGCAACTATGCCAGTGTTCAAACCCCGCAAGCAAATACCAATTTAACGTCCGTCTGGTGTAGTGGTAAGTGACATGGTCACTACACTAGGGGGTCGCGGGTTCGAATCCCGCCAAGGGAAGATATTTGTATGATAAATTATATAAATGTATTTTCCAGGGTTATGGATGTATATTAAATATATGTATGTGTATAATAAAAATCTTACATTTATTTCCGATATCTGGTACCTGTAACACAAGTTCTTTACGAACTTATCACGGGACCAGTTAACGTGGCGTGATTGTTAGTAAAATATTTATATATTTATAAAAAAAAGAAAAAGAAAAAAATTCCAAGGAAATACGTAACAGACGTTCATGAGTTAATTCCATGACGAAGGAGTCTCAACAGTAAATGGCCGCATTTACTTTCGTGACCCCAGTCATCGTTCTCGTCGAATCCGCCGCTTGCGACGAAGGGCTCAGCGAGTAAACTAACCCACAGAAACAACCCACTTAGTTTCTCGCCGGATCTCCACAGTGGGTCGCGTTTCCGATTCGGTGGTAGATTCTGCGAAGCACGGCTCTTGCCAGGGTTCGTGTTAGCAACAACGTCAGGTTTGAGCCCCGTGAGCTCACCTACTCGCCCGGTTACACTAAGAGGTCTCTCAAGACCATCAGCTTAGGTAGGAAAAAAAGGAATCCCGGTAGCCATTCAACCACAAGCTCGTATGCTACAGCTATAAAAAAATCAACAGATCCTTTTGGCATACAAAAAAAAAGTTTCCTTTAAAGTTGTATACGCGTCTGGCCTTATTGAAGACTGACATCGTTTGTCTGCCCCCAGTGCCGTTACCTTTCTTTGTAGTCTCGCGCGCAGGGTACTGTAGACTTATCTTCGTAGGCTAGACGATTGCTATTGAACTCTAGTCAGGGTTGTCGTACTTTGGTGCGTATACTAACGCAACTTATTTACAGCATTGGGTTCAAAAATATTAACGAATATTAAATGATCTTTCGTTTCGATCGTTTTGGATGGAAAGACCTCGAAATTATTTTCCTTTGTCTAAAAAAATGTTGTCTTTTTTCATTACATAGCTTTTTATTTTTTTATTGCTTAGATGTGTGGACGAGCTCACAGTCCACCTGGTGTTAAGTGGTTACTGGAGCCTATAGACATCTACAAGGTAAATGCGCCACCCACCTTGAGATATAAGTTCTAAGGGTCTCAGTATAGTTACAACGGCTGCCCCACCCTTCAAACCGAAACGCATTACTGCTTCACGGCAGAAATAGACAGGGTGGTGGTACCTATCCGCGCGGACTCACAAGAGATCCTACCACCAGAAATAGTAATGTTGTTGGCTGTTGATCTCACAGTCTACTTGATATTGAGAAGATACCATGGACGTAGACCTCGTTACAGGTTGTCTCTCGAGATCCTCATTCTCATTGACGAGAACAAAAAAATGCAACAGTATTCTAATGAAATATGTACTTAACAAATGTTCACGATTGACTTCCACGGTGAAGGAATAACATCGTGTAATAAAAATCAAACCCACAAAATTATAATTTGCGTAATTACTGGTGGTAGGACCTCATGTGAGTCCGCACGGGTAGGTACCACCACGCTGCCTATTTCTGCCGTAAAGCAGGAATGAGTTTCGTTGTACCCATGCTGAGACCTTAGAACTTATATCTCAAGTTGGGTGACGCATTTACGATATAGATGTCTATGGACTCCAGTAACCACTTAACACCAGGTGGGCTGTGAATACGTCCACCTACCTAAGCAATAAAAAAAAAGAATGTTTCTTTGTAAAATCATATTAGCAGGTCACAAATATCTAACAGTTCTCGCTCAGGCAATAATCATGATTAAAATCTTATATGATGTATTGTATTTCTGTCACAATTTCATCGCACATACTTACTGTTAATAAAGTTTATGTGTTGCTCACGGGCAAACTTGTGAGCTCATGCATGCCATACATATGACGTTTTGCAAATGAACTAATATTCCATTCTTATCTAAAACTGTTCATACTTATTAACCAACAGATAGCTTAATTAATTGATATATTTTGTAGAGCCATTTACCTTGTTGGTCTCTTATGGATCCGGTAACCACTTAACACTAGGTGAGCTGTGAGTCTGTCCACCCATCTAAGCTATAAAAAAAACTGTTGTCAGTAGTTTTGTTGGGAAGCATGTCTTGTTTCAAACACGTTACTGCTTACACGAGAGTGGCATTCATTACTACTAGGAAAATTACTTTAAATGATGTAGTAATTTTATTATATACTAACGACCCGCCCTCGCTTCCCTTCAGAAACATGAAATTTTATTATTGATTATTTACATCACATTAGAAACCTCAAAAATAACAGTATTTCTCCACTATTTAATGGATGTTATTATACATATTATATAAATCTTCCTCTTCAATCACTCTATCTTTTAAAAAAAAACGCATCAAAATCCGTTGTGTAGTTTTAAAGATTTAAGCATACATAGGGATATAGGGACAAAGAAAATTACTTTGTTTTAAACTATGTAGTGATAAGTGTCTTTTAATTTAGTAAGTTTTAAGTTAGTGTAGGCTATCCTAAATTAAGACAATGGTTCTCTATGATAGAAAAAAGTTGGATATATTCTTTGTTATGGGTGTGGCAGCATATAGAAAACAAGAATATGTAAACTCAAGCTTCAACAAATACTAAAATCGAGGAGTAGAACAGACCCTGGATCTGGTGGTGCAGTGGTATTCATTCACCACTGGACCAACAAGGTAATCAGTAACAATAAAAAGTTTATTGTATCTATGTTGTTTCACGTGCACAGCACAGCCCATGACTATTATTAACAGTTTTCATGCCTTAAAATAAAGTTCAACACTTTGCTGATGGCATAATATCTTTTAATTATCTAATCAGAATTAAGTTAAATAAGTATGTAAGTAGGTGCAAAGCCTATTTATAATTGGGATTAGACACCACTTTATCTGAAGTGTAATTTTGGCATGTGATTCATTCTAGGATATTCTGGATATTTTAGAAATAAGAATAAACTAAATAATTTTGCTTCAATGTCTTTTTAAAATTATAGTATGGTAATTACATCCTATAATGATAATGCATTTTTCAGTACTTTTTAAGTACTATTACTTAATAATATAACAGTGGGTGAAACAGCAAAATCATAAATCTAGAACAATCAACCTAACATTAATTTATAAAAATTATATATTTATATGGTCTCAATGAAGAAAAATTTACTTCCCTTTCTTACATTAATATAATACATTTTAACTAAAGGTAGTAATGACAATTCATTGTCAGAGCAAGTCTCAGAAATTTTGGTGAATAGATAACAAAAGCAAAACGATGTGTGCATTAGTTAGTTAGAGGTATGAGGATAAAAAAAATTCACTGCAGATAAATGTTCTGATTGCTCTATTTATCCAGATCTTTATTCTTTCCAAAACCTTTGGCATACTACCAAAGCACTATAAAGTTGATTTTTTATTTCTCACAATCGTCTTTGTGTACAAGGGCAGTGAACCATAATGTTGTTTTTGCTGATTCAATTTGCAATTAAATTAGTATGTGAACAAATACTTTTTGTAGTCGAATTATGAGTCTTATAAATCTCGAATTGTACCTACTTTCAGTTTTTTTTCGTAAGGTGACTCAATTTTTTTTATTCATCATCATGACAAAGACATCAAAGTTCGTTTTTCTCACCAGTGTGTACGATTGATATTGATAATTATTATTGCGTTTAATTACCCATAGACCAACTACAAACCATGCGTTAAGGTCGCTAAAAAATACGCAATTGAGACCGTGGCCTAGTTTAAAAACGAATTACGAAATATTACAATCTATTAGACGCGGAAGAAAACTGCGTAAACGTAACGTATCTACGTGTTTATCTACGTGTTATATATATAGATACGACACGGGCCTGTACGACCAACACCAATGTCCGATATTTAGAAATTAAATACAAAAGAAAACTTAGTTAATTTAAATTTAATGATGTCTAATGTTATATAGTCGAAATTAATCGATTCTACATAGGCTGGTGACAATCAGCTGATGGTCCTAGGACTAGTTATTTACATGGTGGCCCTAAGCACAGTAGGATAAGTCCTTTGTAATCACGATAACAAAGAAAAGGATACAGTTTGATGACATCGGTGTCCATGCGTCGTTTCCCAGCGCTCGGTGACGACATCTTCGTGATCTATTCTTAATAAATCACAGTATCGAACACGAACACTAGAAACACTAACGCGAAACTCACTCGAAACTAATTTCTCGTCCACCACCAGCAGTCAGAAAAATAACATTGTAGAAAAACAATGGACACAAACCATAGACCTTTTTTGTACTTTTCGTCCACCTGGACTAGCAAAGACAAATAAAAAATTTAAATAAACCATAGACTAAATTTGAATGGTATTCAGCGACAGGTGCTACACGAAGGTATTTTGTGGGGTTTTTTTTCCCTACTTATGCTGATAGCCTTCAGAGGAGTAGGTGAGCTCACGGATCTTTAACCGGAGTGTTGCTTACTCTGGCCCTAGCAAGAGCAGTGCTTCGTAAAATCTACCACCGGATCGGAAACGCGACCCACTGAGAAACTCAGTGGGCAGTTAATGCGCTCGTCGAGCCCTTCGTCGTAAGCGACGGGTTCGACGAGGACGGTGACCGGTGCTAGTGGTACCTAAAAGCACTGTTAATGGATCGGGAGGATCCGTACGTGTTTTGGGCGACGTCGATTATTTACCATTCTGTCTACAGGATCGGGCATGGGTATGTTGTGAGCTAGACGGTAATTATTATGTAACTAACGTATCTGTTAATAAGTCTAATAATAATAATCTCCGTTAATAAGTCCAAAACAAAGGTCATGATAGTGGACAGAACCAGTCAACTCTCTAGAACTGGAGAGCTATCAGATCTAGAATTTGTCAGCGAGTTCATATACCTCGGGTCCTTACTGACCGACCGCGGAGGCAGTGAGGGAGAGATAAGGAGGAGGACGCAGATGGCCAAAACAGCGATGACCAAGCTCAAACGAATATGGCAAAATCGCAAAGTCTCTAACGTCACGAAAATGAGACTCGTCCGAACCTTCGTTTTCTCAATCTTTCTCTACGGGGCAGAGTCCTGGACAATTAAGGCATCCGAGCGCAAGAAAATAAACGCATTTGAAATGTGGTGCTGGAGACGAATGCTCCGAATTCCGTGGACGGCCAAGAGGACAAATAAATCTATCCTAGATCAGCTTCGCATCCGACTCAGGCTCTCAACAATCTGTTACCAGAAGATCCTCAGCTACTTCGGTCATATTGCCCGCTGACAGTCAGATAACTTGGACAAAGTGATTGTGACGGGCAAAGTAGAAGGAAAGAGACCCCGCGGCCGATTACCTAGCCGTTGGTGTGATCAAGTAACCGCTCTAACTGGGTTGCCAGTCGCAACCGCCATTCGAGCAGCTGAGGACCGGACGAGATGGAAACAGCTCACGAGACAGGCAACGGTCAAGTTTCAGGGACACGACCTTCAGCAATGAAGAAAGCGACGAAGAAGAAAGAAGATACGTATCTGTATTATCTATGTACATAGCATCATAGTGATTTTGATAGAATGTACAAGGCAGGTGGCTATATTTTATTCTATAAGACAGATTGGAAACAATACTGGCAACAAGGATAGGTGGTAGATGTGGTTTTTAGGTACGTTATTGTTGATTATTGTTTGACCTACTATTTGACAAACGTTTTCTGAGTATATGTATATAATTTAAGAAAGTATAAGATAAACTCGTGCCCGTAATTATCGTAATCTACGGATCGAAAGTTTGCCACGATTGTAACACTACAATTCACTACATAAATTATAAGAGAAAACTCTTAGTATCATAAAATACCTTATGGACATTGTTTTCCATTCATGTTAGCAAAATAGTTTATTTTAATTTCAACTTTCGGTCTTCAACGTTATAGATTGGTAGTAAATTATATATAATATAATAATAGTAAATAGTAAATGAGAGAGAGAGAGAGATAGAGAGTTAGAGTATTCTTTATTATACTACACCATAAAAATAAATAATACGAAACAGAGAAGCATTGAAATTATCCTTTAGATTTTTCAATTAATATTCAAATAATAATTTCAAATTTATTAATTAAAAATTTATTTTAAAAGTTCTGCAATGTTGTTGAGTTTTAACCTATATCATAGACAAACAACCTTTCATAGAAGTAAATGCGTCAAACATTACAAAAAGACTATCTATGACTTATCTACATTGAGGGAACTTCGCGTGTGTGAATGTCGATGAATTATTTTTAAATTCAACATTTATATTTAGATTCCTAAAAATTCTTACATTTCGTATTTTGTACTTAGTAAGAGAAGCGCACGTTCTAAACGTGCTACTACACCGGCGCGATACAAATGCGCGGAAACATGTGTTTTGATGTGAACATCAAGTCATAAAGTGACAACAAATCGTGATTTTTTTCGTTTGTTCTGTGATTTGTGGTCATCAAGAAGTTATAGAACCGTGTTCTACATAAAAATGTTTTGCTAAAAGTGTCGTGGAAAAAGATGTTAAATAGTGATTTCCGGCAATGACGAAGTTTTACTAAAACTAGGCGTGTTCTTGACGTTCCGGACCAGGTATGGCGAATTCCGGAATGGGGGGTTCCTTCGACCCCAATGACATGAGCAGGTCGGTATCGTAAAATACGAGTCTAAAATTAAATTCTAACATCCAAAACTTATCAAAAGTGTTTCATAACAAAACCAAAGCAGTCGTACGTGGCTGCTGAACTTCTGGTGATAAGCGGGCGACAGCAATGCCAAGGCGCATCTACTTAATAAATTACCACTACAGGAAGTTAATTTATGAGAATAACAATGCCAACATAAATTGGTAATGTATCAACAGAACTTAAATTTGTTTCCCCGCTACGTAATCTTAATCATTTTATGTTCTTCTTTTCATTAACTGCCATGGAGATCGGTTCTGACAGGGACAGGGTTGAATCATGCTTGCAATAATCCACTTGTGCTTCTGTTTTTATAATAGATAGAGTATCAGATATTTTTCAATGTTACTATCAGTAACAAAAAATACTTTTATCAATGTTTATCAACATTAATACATTCTCTATGTCACTATGTTAGGTTATTGATAGGTCATTCATTATATCGCACATACAGTACTTTATAGTCAAATATGTGATTTTTGTTAATACTGAACTGAGTATGAGAAAATATATGTTTTAGTTAATAGTTATGATGAGATGAGAGAGATGTTTGCATTTACTGATGAAGTTTGTAGTTTAAATATTATGATTTTATTTGTATAGCCTAGCAGAGCTATATAAGAATTATATAGTAAGATGTCGAATTTTCCAACATTTCTCCTGAAAAATAACATAGGTGATTTGCATAAGTGACGTTATCGCACCGTACGTGCGATATGAGACAAGAAAATATTTCTAGCTAGTTTTTGTTTAAAGTGTCTCTATACTTTGATGTCCTTTTCGTACTTGGCTGTATGTTCATATGGAGGAAACTTAAATATTATTTTTTTAATCATGAAATGTTAAAATGTCTTATTAATTAGGGTTATATAAAGTTTTTTAAATAGCAAAATGAAATATGTAAGCAGTTCACAAATTGGCATGATAACTGATGGTGAATTATGTTAATTAAAGCGTTTGTTGATGGTTAATTATGTTTAGTGTAAAGTTTTTTGATGATTAACGATGTTTAATGGAACATTTTCATTAATTATTTTTAATGGAACCTTAACTTAATTTGAAATTCTTAGTATGATGAAGCTTGAGCACTAATAGGCAAAAGCATTCAGCTTATTTTTTAAATGACCTAATTTTTTTTCGGTGAAGGAGAGCTATTGTCGCTGCTTTTGGAACCTCTATGTTCTCTGCTGAAACTCAGTTGTAAGAGTAACTGATAATTAATAGATTAACCTTCGTTCGTAATATCAACATAAAACAAGCATAGTTTACTTAAACTCAGATAAAGTTTAGACGTTTTTAAATTCGTTTCGCATTCCATTAAAAAGAAAATTATCTTTTATTAGGTTCACACACTGATTGTTCATACTAAATTCTACAGTTGAATTATTTTCAGAAAAAAAATATACATTTTTGAATGTGAACTGAATTTTTAGCTGCATTTTATAAAGTTTCTATCTACGCTTTTGTGCTGTTTTGAAAAAAATAGATTGAACCGTAAATTGCTAGTGTTAGCAACGTCATCAGGTTAGAGCTCTGTGAGCTCACCACTAGTTCTGTGAATCTAGTATAACCCTATCGAAGTTATTAGAATAGGTACCTCTTGGGAGTCCGCACGGGTAGGTGCCACCACCCCGCCTATTTCCGCTGTGAAGCAGTAATGCGTTTCGGTTTGAAGGGTGGGGCAGCCGTTGTAACTATACTGAGGCCCTTAGAACTTATATCTCAAGGTGGGTGGCGCATTTACGTTGTAGATGTCTATGGGCTCCAGTAACCACTTAACACCAGGTGGGCTGTGAGCTCGTCCATCCATCAAAGCAATAAAAAAAAAAGTAGGGGAAAGAAATGTACAAGATTCACAAAAAAATTCGACACAAGTTGGGGATTTCTATTTACAGAGAGCTGTCTGTTTATTGTATTGTAATCAGAAGTGAGCAAAGTGTTGCATTCTCAAATATTGTAATTAAGAATACATTTTATTAAGGGGCTCCACTATATGATGAGCAAATTTTTTTTTTTTACATATATTGATTGTTCAACGTACACAAAATAGTGGTAAGTTTGATAAAAAATTTGTTCTTTATAAAGCTTAGAAGTTTGAAGAAGAAATTGTTCAGAGCACTTAGTTAAGTGCTAGGAGCTGGCTGGCCTATTGTAGTGTGACTATTGTAATAGCATAGAATCCTCGAATACATAAATTTGAAATTATTACATTAGACCTAAATTGTTTGAGATTGATACATCTTTCTATCCCAAATTTAAATATAATAACAAGTATCATATGCCCCATTTGTTGTGAAGTTTTTTATATAATCTACATGATAAAGGTTTTTGTTGATCGTCCGAAAAAAATCCCAAAAATGCTTAAAAAACTTATCATATAATGGAACCCCTTAAGTAATCATAAATTTAGTCAGCAACTACTGAGGGATCACTTCATTTGACCAGTTTAGGGGAAAATCAACAGGTGAAGTAAGGTACTTCATACTTTTTTTTGAATACCCTGAATGCCCTAAATCAGTGGTGCACAAAGTTTGTTCAACTGCGATCTCTTCAGTAGAGAAAAATTTTGGCGACCCCTAGTTTGGGAGGGAGCGTCTATTACGAACTGCTAAATTGACCAAATATAGAAATTGGCCACGACTCCCGACAATCTACTGGCGTCCCCTACAGCGGTCGCGAATCCCATGTTGTACACCACTGCCCTAGACGTGGGTGTCTCAAGATATGTGTTAGCATGCATGCATGCATAGCAAGTTGTCTGTGAGCCCAGATAACGACTATACCAGATAAGCCAAAAGCTTGTGGCTATGGAATTTAATGAAGTTAATTTCAAATTCATCTTGAAGTAGAAATCGTGCATAAACACTAGTCTCTGTGTATAGTTCTAGAACAATTCTTGTATGTTTCTGTTGACCTGTTTTACCCATTGTCCCATTTTACATCAGCTTAATAGCGCTTTAATGTAATCATGTACACTAACTGAATGTGAAGCTTTTGATCCATACACTGGAGTTTATGCTTTGTTATTAGGACACTTGTAAATATTATACTTATGGAAAAGTAATGTTTTTTCAAATATTTTAACTATTCAATGAAGATATTGAGATTTTAATCTCTTGGACATTTAGTGTTCTATGTTTGAGCATATATAGTAAGGTCTTAAAGTAAAGTCGTGTAAATTGATGAATATCTGTTTTATTCAACATGACTGAGTTAGTGTGTAAATGCGAGTTTTAGAGTTGTCTTTCTCGTGTAATTCAGTGTGACTGCTCATACAGTACCTAGCTATCACAGACATTTTTTTGGTTCCTATCAATAACTGTGAAATCCTCATATCAGAATCTTCTTGTAGTAGTAACTATAGAATTAGGCCGAAAAAGTTTGGGCTGGTGAGTCGCAGGACTTTTTTAAAAAACACGAGAGGACATATTTTTCCACATATCCCACTAACTACATATTATGTCGATATGGAATAAAAAATATAATTTCATTTTCTTTCACAGCTGGTACTTTCACGGCATGACGCGGAAAGAAGCTACAGATCTGCTCCTTAATGAGACTGAGAGTGGCGTATTTCTGGTCAGGGATTCGAAGTCCATTGTTGGAAACTACGTTCTATGCGTCAAGTAAGTCAGACACATCCAATTGTGATTCATAGAAATGAAGCAACTAGTCTAACAATCTCCACGATCAGGACTCAAGTCTTCAGCGTCAATTGTACCAGCTTCTTGGCAGTCACCCAACTTTTTAAACGGTACAATGACTTAAATGTCTTTCATTTCTTTAATTATATTTCAAATGATTTATTCGTTTTTATGTATGTTTCAAGTGGACTTTATCATATCAACATTTTGTATTGTAGTGAAGTGAAATACATACATATTTAAATATGATGGGAATTATTGTGATTCATTTTTGACTAGTGTTGCATGGAAATGTATTTGTTTTGTTTCTGGTGCTGGTATATATGCAAAATTTAAATTTTTTACATGTTTCACTCTATTACACTATGTTAGTCCTTCATCGTTTATAGGCACGTGTTATGTATGTATTTACTTGAAAAAAATAGTCTCTCTGGAGGATCTGAACACCGGTAGAGTCGCAACACTCGTCGGGAGACCTCTGGGACCAATGTTAATTTGTTAATCATGGGTAACAGATTTTTCATAAGTGTAGGTGGATAGTGCACGACCCATCTGGTGCTAATCGGACACTGGAGCCGATTAAGGTTAAATAATAATATGGCTTGTAATCACAAGCTGCATATCCGACCGCAGCCTATTCGAGTCCCTCCTATAAGCTGTACCCAGACCGTATAAGAAGTGTTTATTAAATAATATGAAATAAGTAATATTCAAGTAACGTGCAAACTCTAAAGGAAATTCTATGATGTCGCGAACAGATATGAGTAATAAAAAAAAGCGAGAGCGGTCCAACGTTCTCGAGCTTTAGCGAGACTAACGAACAGCAATTCATTTTAATATATATAGATATCAAGCCACTCAAAACACAACCATATCACCTCAACATCTAGTTTTATTTACAATCCAACAGAGAAGCAGGTCGGGTGTCGAACTATATAATCGATCGCATCGTTTCACCCGACGGCTCGGTGCTCTTCCGCATCGGTGACCAGGTGTTCGTGGACATGGCGGCGCTGCTATCGTTCTACCGCGTCCATTACTTGGACACGACGGCGCTGGTGAGGCCCTACGCGAGGACGGCCATCGCTCACCAGCCTCCGCAGCAGAACCAGACCCTGGAGATAGTTATCGCGAAGTTCGATTTCGCTGGCAACGTGAGTATTTTTTTTTTCAGTTTTTACTAGCCTCTTCTTTTTCTTCTTTACTTTTTGGCTCCGGCACGGTTTGCACATTAGCCAGCGTCAATTTCGCCGTTTTAATTATTTACAGTTTATGAATTAAAAAAAACGGAGGAAACTAATCGCGATATAACATAAATGATTAAAAACGAATTAAATTTACAAAAAAATTAACATGATATAGGATGAAATACAATCTCAGTAAAATGGTGGTCATTTACTGAGACTTTTTCAGTGGAATTTTTGGAGGATCTCGAGAAGCTACGTCCAGTGGCTTTGTTTTATTTTCCCACATTTGTGAACTTTCACAGATACTAAACGGTTAAATAAACCACCGTTATTACGCATTTAAACCTGAAGAACCACTTTAAAGACTAAATAAAACAAATCACACAACTTCACTCCTTGCGTTCCCGCCAAAAAGTCTTTTTTTTTTATTGCTTAGATTAAAGTCTTTACTAGCCTCATGCGTAATAATAGTAAAAGTTTAGTAACAGACCAGAGATTATCATGGTGTAATGGGTACTGGAGCCCATAGACATCCACAAATGCAATTACTGCTTCACGGCAGAAATAAGCAGGGTGGTGGTACTCGCCCGCGCGAACTCACAAGAGGTCCTACCACCAGTAATGTTGATGATGTTATGAGTACTCTTCCACCTCGCCAGTTTTTTATCCACAGGGCTATGGCATGTATTTCATTTAAAAAAGGTGTGAAATTCTTTCGTCAGTTGTAGGCAGCGAAACATTTAAGTCTGTTATTGCTAATTCTCATGAACGACATTCGTCATAAACAGCGTCGTATGTGTCATTCTTATTGGGTGAACAATAAGATCGACTGTCCAAAATTGTTCGAAACTCGAAATATACGCAATATCTTGAACATATTGTTAGCGCCACTCAAGTTTTTGCCAGATTCTCTTTTATGATTACATCGTATATCCCTTGGTCGAAGGCCCGTGCTCAACAGTGGCTTGAAAAGTACATTGTCCCAGGATTCAAACTGCTCCTGTCCTGAATCTCGTCAATATGGGTTCAGTGGTTTTGGCTTAAAAAGAGAATTACTTTCGTATTGATGATATAACTTTTAATAGTATTTATACTAAAAATGCAAACATCCGATTTTAAGGTAACAACGCCTGCATTGTGCTCCAATCTAATCTCTGTCTACGTCTGAAAACTATATAAAAAGCCCTCCTCTAGTCCCAGAGATGTGCGCTAACAAACAAAGGAACGGAAAAAAAATATAAAAAAATAACTCTGGCTAATGTATCTTCTTTAGTTTTCCCTTGCTATTTTGATTAATTTTCAATAATAAACAAACGAACACCTATATTGGATAATACTGTTTTGTCCCATGTATTGATTTGTAGAAAAAGCAATACCTAACAAATTATGTGGTACGTGCCAAATCTTGAGACGTTTTTCCTGACATCCCTGTAACGCGCTAATTTCATTGTACGAAAATCTAGAGCTAACTAAACCCATTTAAACTGGCCGCCCTAATTTTAATATTATTCACGATCTAGAAATTTCCGGCAGCAGAATGTCGTAAATACAATATTCAGGTCTCCATAATATTCTATTCTTAGAATATGGTTCATATGTCCAGTAGCAGACATTTTTTGTTGTGCACTGTACACATGGCTATTTCTACGTACCAACAAACTCGCGAATGAGCTTCGCTCGGTGCTTTCGCAGCGTAATGACAGCCTTTAATAAGAAAATCTTAAATAATGTTTAGTTTGTCTGTACTGTATTCGAGGGTAGAAAAAAGAACAATACTTTTTTAGAGGATTATTCTCTCTTGGGTTATCCGTCTTACACTTGGACTCCTGCGTTACGTCTACTTACCAAGGAAACAATGAGATGGAGATTTACTGGGACATAATGAGAGGTTTCGATAATTCGATGCATCCGTGGACTGAATGATAAGACGGTCCGAGTATTTAATGTCTACCGATTCCTTAGTGCGAGGGTCTAAATTTCGCACTGGGCTTAATCTTTGTGATGTGTGAGCTATGGTCTGATCCGTCAAATGGAATAAGATAAAGGTGATTGTTGAAATTACTCTAGCTAATGGGTGAACGAAACGTCTGTCGTAGCCCTAGGGAGCCAGAAATGGAGTACTCTGATGTCACGATTAATAAAGTGGACAGCTAGACTGGTCGTGTGATATTGCCAGCCTAATAACTCGAGTATGATTATCATATTTGACACTGAAACAGAAGTGTGGCTGTAAAAAGTAATATTGCAACATGGTGTTGACTAGTGTTGAGTGGGTGGGTTGTGGATGAGTTGCATAGATGAGGCTAGTAACACACAGGGCGTGCTCTGGTTCCAGGACGCAGACGACCTCCCGTTCCGGCGCGGCGAGAAGCTGGCGGTGGTGAGTCGCGACGAGGAGCAGTGGTGGACCGCGCGCAACGTGCACGGCCGCACCGGCTCCATCCCCGTGCCCTACGTGCAGAGGGTCAGCTCCTCACTAGCTAGTGTTACATCGTTAGAATAAGGATTTTTTATTTATTGTTTAGATGGGTGGACGAGGTCACAGCCCACACATCTAAGCAATAAAAAAAAAACCTGATATTAAATATTATATTAATATTATTAATCACAGCTCCCACTCAAAATAAGGTCGGCCACTACACGTGAAGCGTTTAAGACGAGGATTCGAGAACTTTTTCTCAGAGAGTTAGCAGAGTCATCTAATTGATAATATTTATTTATATATACATATTTTTATATGTATATATTTCTGTATATGTATTTATTTAAGTACGAATATTTGTATCTATAAATATTATGTATGTTATGTATACATATATACTGAAGTAATATCACTATCACACTACACCAACCAAGGTTTATCTCTGCACCCCCCTAAGGTAGACTGTCAGAGAATGCCTATGGCATTAAGCCCGCCTTTATACTGTCTAGTATATAAAGTTATAAATAAATAAATATTAAGTGGTTACTGGAGCCCATAGACATCTACGGTGTAAATGCTTCACCCACCGTGAGACATAAGTTCTAAAAGGTCTCAAGTATAGTTACAACGGTTGCGCCACCCTTCAAACCGAAACTCATTACTGCTTCACGTCAGAAATAGGCAGGGTGGTGGTACCTACCAGCGCGGACTCACAAGATGTCCTACCACCAGTATATGGATACAAGATATGGACAAGGATATGGCACTTGAGCTTGATTACAATTTTCAAGTTTGCGCGCTGTTAAGTGGTTATCAGAACAAAACTTGTGGCCCTAAACACGTTGTTACGGATCCTCCCGATCTATTAACGGTGCTTTTAGGTACCTCAAGCCCCGGTCATCGTCCTGTAAATAAATTAACCCACAGACGCAGCCCACTGAGTCTCTCGCCGGATCTTCTCAGTGGGTCGCGTTTCCGATCCGGTGGTAGATTCTGCGAAGCACTGCTCTTGCTAGGGTCAGTGTTAGCAACGCACCCGGTTTGAGCCCCGAGAGCTCACCTACACTCTAGGGTAAAGCTGAAATAGCTTCCCAAGGCTATCAGCAAAAGTCACCACCGCGTGAATATTGTGTTACATTTAGAGTCTGAAGATTTAAGTCTCATTTGTATGCCTTGTTCTCGGCTGTCATGACTGACTCGGTAGAGCAGTAATTAGCGCTCCAGACTATTGTGCCGAGGGTCGTGGGTTCGATTCCCACATCGGACAAACATTTATTTGTTTGCTATTTGTCTGGGTTTTTATTATCTATATATTTAAACGTGCTTATGTATGTATGTCAGTCTCTGGTACCTACAACATAGGGATTCTTAATTTGGGACCGAATAAGTGTCCGTGATTTGTTCCCAGTTATTTATTTATTTATGGCAACGAATGTGCCACCTTTAGTCTTAACATCTTTATTCACATTTATGGGTTGTCACTATTAAATTAAAGTTGTATTGTCGCGTTAGACAGAATAACACTAGTTTCATGAGTTTGTTGGTGTAGATGGCGGACATGTCTGCGGAGTCCCTGGAGGCCCCGGCCCCGCCCGTCAACAAGAACTCCCACCTCACCAACATGGAGGTAACGGCATCTCATTTATATTGTTCTATATAGATTATTTGTGAAGTAAACCGCTGATACGAAGCATCGCAGTTCGTTGTAGCCTAAAGGATAAGACGTCCGGTGTACTCGTGTGTAGCGATGTACCGGTGTTCGAATCCCGCTGGCAAGTATCAAAATTTTCTAATTAAATACTTACTCAACAAATATTCACGATTGACTTCCACGGTGAACAAATAAGATCGTGTAGTAAAAATCAAATCCGTAAAATTATAATTTGCGTATTTACTGGTAGAGGGACGTATTGTGAGTCCGCGCGGGTAGGTACCACCACTCCGCCTATTTCTGCCGTAAAGCAGTAATGCGTTTCGTTTTTAAGGGCGGGGTAGTTTTTGAAACTATACTTGAGACCTTAGAACTCATATCTCAAGGTGGGTGGCGCGTTTACGTTGTAGATGTCTATGGGCTCCAGTAACCACCAGGTGAGCTGTGAGCTCGTCTACCTATCTAAGCCATTAAAAAAAAATAGAACCAAATTTGCACTTTGAGTATCTTAGCAATAGTCCGGCAGTCGAGTGTAATATCGTGTTGTTATCCAGCGCAAGCTGCCCGCCCTGGCGCGCGTGCGGCAGGCCCGGGTGCCCAACGCCTACGACAAGACGGCCCTCAAACTTGAGGAAGGAGACATCATTAAGGTGAGTTCCCTGTCGCCCCTCGCCGCCCCCTCGCCGTCCTCCACACAGAATTCTGCACCGCTCGGTATATGGACATTACATTTCGTTGACGACTCCACGAACCAGATCAGTGCTTCTGGCAGCTAACATCTTCGAGCAGGAAGAGATCCCCCCTCCCTCTCCCGCTACGGTACTGTAGTAATCCGGGACAATTCACATACCCAATCCTGTAGACCGAATGGTAAACAGTCGACGTCGCCCAAAACACCTCATTACGGATCCTCCCGATCCATTAACGGTGCTTTTAGGTACCTCAAGCACCGGTCACCGGAATTAACCCATAGACACAGCCCACTGAGTTTCTCGCCAGATCTTCTCAGTGGCTCGATCCGGTGGTAGATTCTGTGAAGCACTGCTCTTGTTAGGGTCAGTGTTAGCATCACTCCGGTTTGTGCCCCGTCAGCTCACCTACTAGTTAAGGTTACGCTGAAACAGCCTCTCAAGGCTATCAGCTTAGGTAGATAAAAAAAAAGACAATTGAACCCGAGAGACAATCTGAGCGTGCGGCTTGCTCGTTGCGCAGGTCACAAAGATCAACATCAACGGGCAGTGGGTCGGGGAACTGAACGGCCGGACCGGACACTTCCCCTTCACATACGTCGAGTTCCTGGACGAGAACACGCCCAGCTAGACGCCCCCTCCCAACCCCCCGACACCTCCCCGGGACGCATTTATTTCCAAACATATAAACCCGTTTTTAATACTTTATTGGTATTAGTTTATTATACAATAGGAATAAATACGCGCCTTTATTAGAATGGAATTGATTAGTAAAACTACATCGAATTTTTGTAAATTTTACACATATTCAATCAAACACCGTCGCGTCGATACGTGCCTGTTTGTTGCAGGAATTTGATTGAGAAACGTAAAATTCGAAATTTCATTATAATTTCTTAAATTGGAACAATACCTTGTACCATAACGGTTGGATTAATTAATAACCTGTGAAATATTATTTTGTTATTGCGTATGAATTGCACAGACGTTGTACGCGTTCTATACTATGCATAATGACGTATGTATGTGGTGTGCACCCTCATGTGGATATATGACAAGATAAGATAACTATATAACATATAAATAACAAAGTAGACGAATTAATTTGAATAAATTACTAAATTCGTATTGAAGATGTCTCTAACCTAAAATAAAATTATACTACCATGTTATAATACATTATATATTCCATGAAAATATAGGCACATGGCTACGTGCCCCTCATCATTGTACGACACATCCTAAAGTTACTAACATAATTATTAACAAATTGAACTGGTATAAAATGTGTTTAATGGCAACCCTGGCGGCCACCACTCCCCCCGCTGCCGATTGCACTACTCTTGTAAATTAAACTCAATTGTAAACGTCGGAGGCTACACAGCGCCGCGCCCCCGGACAGTTCGGGGTAGACACGAGCACCCCCCGCGATCCCTTACCCCGGGGTACGCAGTGGCCCCACGAGTCTAGGCTTGTACTTGTGTCGTTGCCAAATTAACTCGTCGACATCCTTAAGTATTTCGAACTAACACTCATTCGTCGCGTATGTAAATATTAGTTATAAAACGGCGTTCGTTTTGATTTATTAAATAAATAATATCAAAAGTAACGCAAAAAGCTCTTCCATGAAAATATGTAGTCACTAGTTCGTGAGGACCCGGAGACGGCCGGCCCCAGCCGAAACGCTTTTGAGGTCCTCATGAATAAACACATAGAAATATTTTTATAATAATTGCTAACGCAAAATGTATACAATGTATTATTAATTAATTATTTAGTTATTTTAATTACGTCTTCGTTTGTAAGCGCCAATCATTACCACTCGTATAGACGGTCGCCGTGGCGTACTAACAAGTGACGTCACAAAGTTGTCTACAGAAGCAGGTGTACGTTGTGTGTTGTGTACCGAGTAAGTTGCTCGTGATATGAAAAGCTGGCTCGCTTTTACGTTTCGACAAGCTACTTTATAACTAACTACTTTTTTGTTTTAATCAAAAAAGTTCAAGTGTCGCTGTTAGAAATCAGAAAATAATGCCAAAAATGGATGTGGTATACAATATTCAAAATTTAAAAAAAAAACACGACTTCGCGGTAATGGCGAGGACGTGTAATGTAGTTTTTAAGATATGAATTTCTGTGTCATTTTGCATCTAGTTTCGACGCTGGTATCAGAAAAAAAAATTAACCCTTTAACTAACACGTAGGTCACCGGTGCCCTACGTGGCGTGCTGAAGTAATTACACATCGATTTCTGTCACTAAGCGCCTAGATTACCTAACTTCTTTTGTATTAAATGTATAATTAGTGTTTTAGGTCTTTTAGAAATAGATTCATTCTCAGTATCTTCAGATTCGTCTTTCAACAGTCCACTAGATATTCCGTGCCTTAATAACAAGATCGAACCCATGTATCAGCCCGCTGAGTTTCTCGCCGCATCTTCTCAGCGGGTCGCGATTCCGATCCGGTAGTAGATTCGTTCGCGAAGTAGTTGCTCTTGAGTTGTTAGGTCTCCTTCGGAGGCGCTTGGATAGCTGTTAGCAAATTCCACCCCTCCTGGCTGAGCCTTTGCTCGCCCACCTGTCCTGGTGAAACTGGAAAGGCTGCTAGGCCCCCAGTAATCTTTCAATCATAAAAAAACAAGATCGAAAAGACAAATCGACATAATTACTTCAGTACGCCGCGTAAGGCACCGGTGACCTACACAGCAGTCAAATGGTTGATGGTATTATGTGACCGTTATATGTATTTGAGTTTCCTTAAACTATTACTGGTGGTAGGACCTCTTGTGAGTCCGCGCGGGTGGATACCATCACCCTGCCTATTTCTGCCGTGAAGCAGTAATGCGTTTCGGTTTGAAGGGTGGGGCAGCCGTTGTAACTATACTTGAGATCTTAGAACTTATATCTCAAGGTGGATGGCGCATTTACGTTGTGGATGTCTATGGGCTCCAGTAACCACTTAACACCAGGTGGGCTGTGAGCTCGTCCACCCATCTAAGCAATAAAAAAAATTTAAATTCGTATGCTTAATACAGCTGAAGAAACTTAAAACCATGCTCACATATACACAACTTACAATCTTACGTCGAAGTATTTAATGAAATAGCTGAGAAACTATCGAAGGCATATCTGTGTGAGACATTAAATAATCGACTGACTCAAATTGTAGAACCAGTTTTGTGGACAGGGAACTTTACTAATATGCGAAAACCTGATCTGCAGCGAACTGTAGGAAGATGGGGTAAAATACTCTTAATTAAATAATACCGGATTAATTATTTTCATATCCAATAAAACTACAGAATTTTAACGTTAAAGTTCTTCATGGTATTTACACTATTAATTATGTTTAATAATTAATTTAATTGAAGCTAGCGCTTGTTTTGAGGCCTTTTTACAATCGCCAATTGTAACAAAGTCATGTTCATATTGAACAGTTAATTTGACTTTATTAATGGCACAAGTTATTGGCGGGAGTCGTTAATGTTTGTCGATTGTAAAGATGTTGTNAGAATTTTAACGTTAAAGTTCTTCATGGTATTTACACTATTAATTATGTTTAATAATTAATTTAATTGAAGCTAGCGCTTGTTTTGAGGCCTTTTTACAATCGCCAATTGTAACAAAGTCATGTTCATATTGAACAGTTAATTTGACTTTATTAATGGCACAAGTTATTGGCGGGAGTCGTTAATGTTTGTCGATTGTAAAGATGTTGTTTTTAACGTACCAAATGTTATCATTGTAAAAAAATCATTTTTATTTTAGTCTATGGTTATAATGAGATTACCTGTCTATGTATAGTATGTAAGTAGTACATCTGTAAAACAATTTTTAAATCGTCATTATTATTAATATTATAATTTTATTAAGTTATCTGTATCTTTTTTGGTAATAAATTTTAAGAACGATTTTTTTCTTTTTCTTTCCCTAATCTGAAAATTCTTTCTATTAACTCTATTTTCTGTTTAAAAAACTTGTACGAATAAAGCTCGACTTAACACACGCAATTGAAAGTATGACGTACATCTGATATTAAGATGAGAATCCTATTTGAAGGATAAAAAAATACGTCTGGTAATTTTTCGAGCCAGAAGTCTAATACGCACTTCTTGTCATTACCAACTCATGTCATTACGGATCTTCCCGATCCATTAAATGTGCTTTTAGGTATCACAAGCACCGGTCGCCTTCCTCGTCGAACCCGTCGCTTGCGACGCAGGGCTCGACTCGGTGGTAGATTCTGCGATGCACTGCTCTTGCTAGGACCAGTGTTAGCATCACTCCGGTTTGAGCCCCGTGAGCTCACCTACACGTTGGGGTGAAGCTGAAATAGCCTCTCAAGGTTATCAGCATAGGTAGGAAAAAAAATACCAACTAATGAAAGTGGTGTATGAAACAAACTCTAAAAACAGAAACAGAAAAAAACCACCCCTATGCTAAGTTGCAATGGATATACTACTGGAGATATAACCCAAGGAGAGTTGATGTTAGGCAGGCGTTCCTATGCAGTATGATAGGGAGGACACATTGCGCTGTCCTCGTATGATTTGGGGCCGGGACAAGAAGAAACTGGTGAAAACCTTTTTAGGACGAATTGTAACAGATAACAATTATATAATGTCTGTCTCGCCCTTCAAACTGGAATAAATGCTGTTTGTTTAGACAGGTTACAAAAGCTTTGAATATATAATTACATTCATGTTTTTGTTCTCCCTAACCTAACAACACTGCTTGACAGGGGATTTTTTAGGAAGGTTAGTGTCACGCAGAAAGCTATGGATAGGGCTATGCTTGGTATTTCTCTACGAGACCTAATCAGAAATTAGGAGATCCATAAAAGAACCAAAGTTGCTGACATCGCCCGTAGGATTAGCAAGCTGAAATAGCAGTGGCCAGGTCATATAGGGCGAAGGTCGGACGGCCAATGGGAGAAAGATCCGCGATGGAGACCACGTACTGGTAAGCGTAGTAAGGGACTACCAGATGCCACGTCACGTTGGATGCAGGTGGCATAGGACCGGCCGCACGGAAATCAGTTGGAGAGGCCTACATTCGGCAGTGAACAACGGACGCCGAGACGATGATGATGATGACCTAATCGCTGATAGCCTTAAGAGACTATTCATGCTTCACTGGTTTGGAAGGTAAGTTTACAGGGCTCAACCTGGGAGAACTTACTAATGGCAACCTGTCTATGGGTTATAGGTTGCATGTCAAACCATTCAAGACGTTTGATGAGAATAGTGGCCAGTGCTATTAACGTTTATGTCACACACACAAAAAAAATATAAATGAAAGACATTGTGTAACTAAAATATATATGTATTTCAAGATCCTTAACATACAGTTGAATAATAGATGTTGTCTGTATCCATCTTCTGTTTAAGCTGTTACTTTCTTAATAAACTAATTTAAATTTATTAGGCACTAGTATTCTGATTATAAATCCATGTATATTCCTTAAGAATCACATTTAGCGAGTATAATAATAAAAAATGTTTGTGATTAATTCACGGCTTGGTATATTTGCAGGTTAGCATTCAAAAGTTTATATAGATGAGATGTAATTGAATTTTAATCTGCCATGTTATATTTTGTTTAAAAAATTATATTTTCAAATTCAAAGAAATATTATTTATCAATATGAACACAGTTAAATTATTCTAAATCTGTATTCATTCATCCCAGCTTACAATCTTGCAGTCATTCCAGACATACTGGCCTCTTACAGAGTCTGGAGCATCCAGTGCTAGAAACAGAGGAGCGGATGCACCTTCATCGATGGTCAGTACACCTTTGTGGGAGGTCATGTCAGTATCTACATAGCCTGGATGTACTGCATTCACTTTTATATCTAAAAAAAATGGTAAGAGATGAAGAAATGTATTATTTAAAAAAAATCTCACAGATGGCGCTGTATTAAATAGTATGTATATTTCTGTCTCATTCTTTGCTGGCTTCATCCTACACATTTTTGTATTTGTGTCTCTTACCTGTCGTTTTTTCCGTTGCATCCGGTTTGAAATCACAACGATTCTAAAGAAGTTTTCACTTCAAAAAAACTGAGCATCACACCACCATTGGGGCTTTTTCTGCCACAAGCAGTTATTTATTCTGGACCGACGGTGAAATAACAGTTTTACAAGATAATTGAGACTGACTTGAGGTAAAAGGATTGGGAGAAGGTAATGGATACGGTTATCCTCTACTAACACAAAAAAGAGGACATTAACAAATGAAGGCATATTGTATATGTACTTGCTTGTATATTACTTGCATTTGTTTCTCTTTATGTTTCATTACGGTGGCCTGCATTATTTGTGTACTGTGTATTTTTTTTATTGCCCATAGACATCTACAACGTAAATGCACCACCCACCTTGAGATATAAGTTCTGAAGTCTCAGTATAGTTAGCTGTTGCATTGTGTTGTGTAACATCACATCATTATTTAAAATTCAATTAATATAGAAATTTCACTTAACATATAAAGTTATAATAAAATTTATATTTAAAGAGAAAATTGCTTAAGATAAACAGAATGCATATTGACTTCCAAAATCGTTGCACGTAGTGAGAGTAGTTTTGATTGAAGCATCCACAAATAGGTCGGGATAAGCACAGGCTTCCTACATAGTCACTAATTAGCACAAAATTCAGCTTACCTCTGTCAGAAAGCATTCTCTGCTGAACCTTGGTAAGAGCAGTGACTCCTACTTTAGACACAGCATATGAAGAATTACCCCACTCTTCAGCTTGAATACCTTGCTTCGCATCATCCACATACTTTTGCATGAGGGCAGTCAGTTCTGGCAAGGTCAGTTTGGGGTCTTTGAGTTTATTCCTCAAATTTTCACTTGGAATTCTGCTAAGGTGACCGGCACTACTGGACACGTTAATAACCCTCCCACCATTTTTAACTATGGGGAACAGTATCTCACAAGTTGATGTTAACGAAAAGAAATTAACGTACAAAGTTTGTTCGGCTTGAACTGCGACCGGTTCTGTTGCGTTCTGTTTAAATGCTATGGCTGCATTATTTATCAAAATATCAATTCCTTCATATTTGGTTTTTATGTAATCCCGAAAACTTTCCACGCTTTTCTTGTTTGTTATATCAAGTTGGTGGTAGCTCGGGTTTAAGCCTTCGTTTTTCAAAGTTTCCACTGCTATTTTCCCACGCTCTTCGTCACGCGATGTCAAATAAACAGTTCCGTTGAAGCGTTTGCAGAGTCCTCGGACAATTGCGAAACCTATGCCTTTATTAGCTCCAGTTACGACAGCAACTTTAGTGGACATTTTTTTCTCATAAATTTACTTTATAAATTATAAAACATAAAATAACTTTACNAAGCCTTCGTTTTTCAAAGTTTCCACTGCTATTTTCCCACGCTCTTCGTCACGCGATGTCAAATAAACAGTTCCGTTGAAGCGTTTGCAGAGTCCTCGGACAATTGCGAAACCTATGCCTTTATTAGCTCCAGTTACGACAGCAACTTTAGTGGACATTTTTTTCTCATAAATTTACTTTATAAATTATAAAACATAAATTATCTTTACAAAACAAATTCGCTTTGACAGTTGACACCATTTAATCACTTTTAAAACCTTTTCAAATATGTCTTACAAACTGAGTAAAAGAAACCTAACACATACAGCCAACGATTTTACATCACAACGTCGAACGGTTGAAAGCAATTTAGCGTAATGTAATTATAAACCAATGGATAATGGAAATTTAAGGCACTGCACTGTACACATACCATTTGTTCTTTGGAGCCTCACAATTTAAGAGAGCTGCGCATTCAACAATAAATATATTAATATTTAAATAAAACACGAAATATAGTCTTAAAAATATATTTATAAAATAGTACACTAAGATAATGTGTACAAAATCCCTAATTAGTTTGTGTATGTGTTAAAGTTGAAAATATAATATGAATTTTCAAGGAAAGCTTACAAAGTTATCGTTGTATTAAAATTATAAATTAAAACATATTTAAATTCTTAGTTTTTAAGTTTTAAGCAGCTACTGTTAACTGATGTTAATCGTATTTGTATATATCTTAGAACCAGAGAACAAGGTGATTGGCGATTACAGATAAAAATTTACTCTTTGACAAATGAACAGTTTGAACAAAACATAAAAAAATATGGATATACATTTTTCTAAACGTATTACAAAATAATAGAAATATTACATTTAAGGACGGCATCAAGATATTCAAGTCTTAAATACATTTACTGTCTACACTATTTCTTTAAAACCTCTAAGGTCACAGAAGATTTAGAGCCTCTAAACATAATTTTTATCTAAAAATAATTACCCTATTGCTTCATTCGAATAATTTTGAACTATTAAGTAGGAAAAGAAATATAAGCGTTTAATGTGTATTTTTGAAAATTAATGGTAGAAATTCAATCGAGAAACAATTTTATTCATATCAAAGTTATTTACAGCCTGTCTCAGTTACCTGCGTTCTATATTTGTAATCCGGAATCAAATCGACTAGACATGACTTCTTGAAACAAATTTTGAAGTTACGTAAACTAATTTTAATTTTGGGCACAAGCAGACAAATAATATTTCATTGTTGTCTGATTATGATCGCTAGCTACATCAGTCATATTGTCTATTTTTATGAATCATTAAAACAATTACATTGAATATTTTAATAAGGTATAATAAACAACTACATTAATTAATTTGGAAGACATACGAGTTTAATTAATCTATAATTAAAATCTTAACATTATGTAAATTTATCAAGGCCACAACGAGCAACATGCAAATATTAGGTATAGAAACACTCTATTGAATCAAAAAATATCAAATTTCAATCAGATACCACAACGAATATATTTATCTATGACAACAGCAGGTAAAAGGTCTACTTTTTAATTAATTTATAAATTTGAGCCATATTATTGTCATATATTAATGCTGACTTCACACAAAATTCGTGACCTCTTCGTTTGTAGAGATCTATATAAATTATATTAATGCCTTTAAAACTAAGTTGATTCACTCCGTTCAGTGTGTTGTATAAGGATAAATATTTATTACATTATTCACTTTCAAAGTTATCCCATTGAATTACATTTTAAAACATTCATTTATAAAGTTATAATAAAGTATAATTGCTAAAATGAAGTATTAGTTATTCTCAATTTCTTATTTAACATAAAATATTTATATTATTTAATAAAGATAATAATTACTGTCCATCATTAATAGATTTACTGTGTATATCAATTTATCACAAGCCAAATATATTTTTTACATTAAGGCACATTATTATTATTTTCTCTTCAAATTATTTAAGGAGTTTGCTCTGAGGGCATGTTATTATAACATACGACCTTCGGGAGCTGTGGAAACATCGCCAAGCTTCGTCGTCTAGTTTAATAATATTGTGTTCAGTGCGCGAATCAGCTGTTGGATATTTAATGCAAGCAATATTTCTCCTTTGATCATTAATATTGATATTAGTTACTAATGAAATGCAATCATTGTGGGGAGAGGGGGAGTAATCACTTCTATAATCAATTCAAAATATAAGAAAAGATGACAATGTTTCTCAAAGCGAACGGTATAAAGTCAGATCTCGACGATTTCAAATTTTACATAATAGTATTTAGTAATCTATACTAATATATAAATCTAGTGGTTTTTACGGATGTTCCGTTATAACTACTGAACCGTGCATCCGATTGACTTGAAACTTGGTATCCATGTAGAAAATACATGTAATTAATGGATAGGCTAATATTTATGAGTGTTGGACTCCCTACACCAGTTGCGGGGGCATTAATGATGAGAAACATTGTGGGGGTGAGAAATAATAATGTTAATTTTAAATGCCCAGCGAGGTACAGCTAGTACTTATTATTTGTGTCTATTGTCCTAATTGTTTAATTGAAGTAAACGTTAGGGGTCCTCACCGTTCGGCGTTGAGCAGGTAGGGGATGGCGTCGTCGATGCAGACGTCTCCGAGGAAGCCCACGAAGAACACGTCCTCTATGAAGGCGGGCGGGAAGGCGCGCAGGGCGGGCAGCTGCAGCAGCAGGCGCGCCGCCCGCCCGCCGCCGCCCAGCGCCCGCGACACGCGCGCCTGCGCCTCCTCCAGCCGCGCCGCCGCGCACGCCGGGGCGCCGTCTGCCGCACGCACACACACACTTACAGTTACTTACCGCTGGCTGGACTAACATCTCAAAAGCATGTTAAATCAACAAACTAAAATTAATTATTATGTTGGTTACGTCGAACCCGCGCCCCCGCTGCGCTGTTCGCCACGAGGTCAATGACCTGGACGCCGGGGGGCTGACTTGCTGTGCATTAATTTTAAATTTATTTTATTTTTATATTGAATTGTCATCGGTCCTCGATAAATCTACAAAGTTTGAATGAAATCTGGCCGTTTAAAGTTGGTCAAAATCGCGTCTAAAGGAGTCAGTTACAAACATACATACAAGTGAAGCTAATATAAGGCGTGTAATTTAAAAATTTAAAAAAAATCGCAATTGGGAGGAAATAGTAAAAATTTTAAATTTTTTAAATCGAATCTCTTAAAATATAACATGGAGTAAGTCATCAAATGATTTTATGGACATTCTAAATTAATTAAAAAATCTTAAGTTCATATTGCCTTAATCTTGGATACAATGTTACAAACATTCCTCTCTTTAGTCTATCTATCTCGTAATATTGGGTGTAACCACATATTCTCTATTGCCTTCGCGTATTGCCTCCGCCGTCGTCTTTTAAAGCGACGGTATAGAAGCCATACACAAGCGATCACTTCGACGTCCATTTCCAAACTGAGCTAGTACTTAGTACAAAACAATTGAACACCTTTGTAACGCTCGTTGAACGCAATGCTGAGCGCGCTGTATGTATGTTACAAGCGCGCGCCCAATGCAACGCCGAGCGCCTAATGTGTACTCGCTCTTAGGTGCTCATTAACGGTGCTTTTAGGCACCACAAGCACCGGTCACCGTCCTCGTCGAACCCATCGCTTGCGACGAAGGGCTCGACGAGCGAATTAGCCCAGAGACACAGCCCACTGACTTTCCCGCCGGGTCTTCTCAGTAGGTCGCGTTTCCGATCCGGTTGTAGATTCTGCAAAGCACTGGTCTTGCTAGGGCCAGTGTTAGTAACGCACCTGGTTTGAGCCCCGTGAGCTCACCTACTAGTTAAGGTGAAGCTGAAATAGCCTCTCAAGGCTATAAGCATAGGTAGGAACAAAAAAGCTCTTAGGTGTATTACGTTCGTCTGTTTGCCAATTTCAATCAAAAAACGATTTATTAATTTTGTTTGTTGGTTTCGCTGATGACGCTGCTTGTAGTTCTCCTCGTGCTGTGGTTGTTCTCCGGGAGATGTCGTTGTTTGTAGTCCTCCTCGTGTGGACGTGTCTTTGAAAGATGGCGCTGCTTGAGTAATTATTGTGTTGACTCTCGTCACCGATAGATGGCGCTGACTGTACCCCTGCCTCGCGCTAGCGGCAGTTGTTCGCGCCGCTTGGTATGGGCGGCGCGTCGTTGTCATAGTTTGTCGTACCGTAGGAGCGGTACGATTTATCCCACTTCTGATTTGTAAACTTTTTGGGGTCCCGATACGCCGGTTTTAGTGTCGGGACAAATATATAAATACATATATCTTAAGATCACTCACTCCCGAACTAGTAGCTACTAGACGTGCGCTAATCATGTTCGGAACTGGATTGAACATGACATCGTTCTTTTGAGTGTCGGAACTAGTTCCAGTAAACATGTTCGCGGAACTGCTTAGTTCCACGAACATATTAAGTCTAGTAGCTGTTTGAAGCTGTTTAGTTCCGCGGACATATTAAGTCTTAGTAGCTGTTTGAAGCTGTTTAGTTCCGCGGACATGTTAAGTCTAGTAGCTGTTTGTAGTGTAGCGAATCATGTATTAAGTTATTATTAATTACACAATATTTTTCAAAAAAGATATTAAAAATACAATTTTTTAAAAGCACTATATAAAAATAGATTGCCGCTTATGGCAATTATTATTGTAATTATTATTTTGTAAGGTTTTTAGTTTTAGGTTCTTTGTTACAGCTGGTTGCATAATTTATTAATGTACTGTAATTACTTTGTCATAATTTCAACTACTCTACTACTTTCATTATTTTTCAATGTAGGTATTGTACGATGCACCGGAAACTATAACCTATCAGTTGTTAATTAAAATACCACGTTATTCTGATATACAACGTAAATTGAGCTGTTTGTAGCCTTACAACCTTTTTCCCATAACCGAGATACCGAATAGCGAAAGTGGTGAATGTTTTAAAATTCTCTAATTTTGAATTATGATTTTCTGAGAAATGGTCTACAAACACTTAAGGTTAAGTGCTCGTAGGAATGATGCATGGTCAAGGTCAAAATCCATAGCAAAACATTTTAATTTATTCAACTATCGACTGTAACACGTAGGTCGTAGAGCATAACTTCAATATTAAGAAAAATGTAATATGAAAGAGCTCCACACGCAGTTTCATGCACTCGCTCCATCTCACTCTCTCGTATTCGTGCCATATGTCGCCTTATCTCTTTA